TAATATTTTTTCTCGAATAAAGTGACAATCAACTTCAATATGTTTGGTCCTCTCATGAAACACAGGATTTGATGCAATGTGAACTGCTACTTGATTATCACAGAACAATGGAGTAGGAGCTTCAACTGTCAACCCAAGTTCTTTTAGAAAATGTTGTATCCATGTTAACTCACTAGTGGTATGGGCCATTGCCCTATACTCAGCTTCAGCACTAGATCGAGCTACCACCGTTTGCTTTTTACTTCGCCATGTAACTAGATTTCCTCCTACAAATGTGCAGTAGCCGGTAGTAGATCTCCTATCTGAAGGAGAAACGGCCAGTCGGCATCTGTAAAACCTTCCACCCTGAGATGACCATTTGATTTATATAGTAACCCAAAACCTGGAGCTTGCTCGAGATATCGAAGAATCCGAAGAACAACAATCCAGTGTGGCATTCTAGGGGCTACCATGAACTGACTTACAACACTAACAGCATATGAAATATCAGGTCGAGTGATAGTGAGATAAATTAATTTCCCAACAAGGCGACGAAATCTGCCCGGGTCATTAAATAGATCACCCACATCAGCTACAAGTTCTGTATTTGAATCCATCGGAGTATCAACCGGACGACCACCTAACATACCTGTTTCTTAAAAGTCCAACACAAACTTTCGTTGGGATAAACTTATACCTGTCTTGGATCTAGCTACTTCAATACCCAAGAAATACCTAAGTTTACCCAAGTCTTTAGTGTGGAATCGATATTGCAGAAATAACTTCAACTTAACAATGCCTTCAGAATCATCACCTGTGATCACAATATCATCAACATACACCACAAGAATTATGAAGCTAGCTTTAGTGCGCTGGTGAAATACCGAATGGTCAGTCTGACACCTTTGAAGACCAAACTTTAATGCCGCCTCAGAGAATTTTCCAAACCAAGCCCGTGGAGATTGTTTCAAGCCATATAGAGCCTTTTTAAGGCGACAAACAGTGTGAAGATACTCCCCCTGAGCAACAAACCCAGGTGGTTGCTCCGTATAAACCTCTTCTGCCAAGTCACCATGCAAAAAGGCATTTTTAACGTCTAACTGAAATAGAGGCCAATGCCTATTAGCAGCAAGAGAAATCAAAACACGAATAGAGGAAATCTTAGCAACAGGTGCAAACGTCTCATCATAATCAATACCATAAGTCTGGGTATAACCTTTAGCAACAAGACGTGCTTTTAAACGCTCAACGGACCCATCCGGAAGATACTTCACAGTATATACCCAGCGACAACCAACAGGTTTGACACCTGGAGGTAATGGAACAAGTGTCCACGTGCCATTCGTATGCAAAGCATCCATTTCATCCTGCATTGCCTTCCGCCAACCCGAATCAGACAAAGCATCCTGCACAGTCTTAGGAACAAATGTAGTAGACAACTGAGAGGAAAAACATGAGAATGATGGTGATAAGGAATTATAAGAAACATAATGAGCAATGGGATGTTTAGTAGCACACGAGCGAGGAGCTTTACGAAGTGCAATCGGCAAGGAATCAGACACAGTGGAATTTGTCAGATCTAAAGACTCTGAAGATGATGGAGGAGGCACGACAGCAGATGGCTTTGGTCTTCGTTTGTACACCTGTAACGGGGTAGATGAAGGAACCAGAGATTGAGATTGAAGAGAAGGTGAGGGAAGAGGAACTGCAGAAGGAGGCGACTCAAGATTGATATCAAGAAGTGAATCAGTATCTGAAAAATACGGGATGGACTCAGAAAATGTGACATCCGCGCTAATAAAGTACCGTTGAGAAACAGGACTATAGCAGCGAGAACCTTTATGAGAGCGAGAGTAGCTAAGAAATACACACTTTGTGGCACGTGGGTCTAGTTTATCAAAACCAGGACCAAGATTGTGGACATAACATACACATCCAAAAACCCTAGGAGGAAGAGAAAACAAGGGAGAATCAGGAAATAAAATAGAATGTGGAGATTTGCCATTTAATACAGATGACGGCATACGGTTAATAAGATGACAAGCTGTAAGAACAGCATCACCCCAAAACCGTTTAGGCATACGCATATGAAACAAAAGAGCACGAGTTACTTCTAAGAGATGTCGATTCTTACGTTCTGCAACTCCATTTTGTTGTGGAGTATAAACACATGAATTTTGATGAATAATTCCTTTATCACTAAGATATGTATCAAAGGGAGTCGAAGAATATTCCTTAGCATTATCAGAACGTAGAATACGAATTGGACATCCAAATTGAGTTTTGATTTCTTTGTGAAATTTTTGAAAAATTAAAAATAACTCAGAACGATCTTTCATTAAAAACAACCAAGTCAGGCGAGAATAGTCATCCACAAATGTCACAAAATAATGAAATTTATTGATTGAAGAATGTTTTATTGGACCACATACATCTGAATGAACCAAATGAAAAGGACTAGAAACACGATTATTAACTCTAGACTTGAAAGACACGCGATGGTGCTTACTAAGTTGACAAACTTCACATGACAAGAATTTCAAATAACTAAGACTAGGAACCTGACGCTTCAAAACTTGAAGTGACGGGTGAGCAAGGCGACAGTGCCACTGGAATGGAGACAGAGAAGACTGAAGAGCCACAGGAGAAGGTTCGAAATCAAAATAATATAAGCCACCGGCTTCATGTACCGTACCAATCGTCCTCTTCGTCTTGAGATCCTGAAACACACAAGAAGTAGGATCAAATATAACAGAGCACTGGAGAGATTTAGTAAGCTTACTGATAGACATTAAGTTAAAAGGAAACTGCGGAACATGTAAAACAGACGAGAGAGACAATGAATCCCTAAGTTGAGTTGTCCCCAAACCTGAAACCTGAATGGATGAACCATTAGCAAGAGTAACACTTTGAGAAGTAGGTACAGAATGAAAATCAGATAGAAGAGAAGAACATCCGGTCATATGATCAGATGCTCCAGTGTCTATGATCCAAGGACTGCGAGTGGAAGACAATAGACATGTGTGTGCAGTACCTGACTGGGCAAAGGTAGCCGTGGAAGATGAATTAGATGCTTGCTTATAAGACAAAAACTGAGTATACTCATCCCGTGGAACATGAACTGTATCTGATTCAGCTACATTGTGCGATCCAGAAGCGACATCATTCGGAGAAGAGGAAACTTGATTTGCATAACTAGATGGTTTCCCATGAAGGTCCCAACAAAAGTTTACAGTATGATTAGAAAGACCACAATGAGTACACTTTCTTAATTCCCTGCCACGGCCACGTCCTCCACGTGAATCACGACCACCACGGGCGGAGCGTCCCCCACGACCTCCACGGTAAGTATTATGTTCACCATTTGAAACTACCAATGCTGAACGCTCACCACTCTGTCCAGTATTCAAATTTGAGGTATCACTTGCTAGTGTAGCACACTGAAGTCGAGAAAACACCTCAGCAAGAGATGGAAGTGTTGGACTGCTCATAATCTGTGCACGAAAAGGCTCATATGCTGATCATAAACCACTAAGAAAACGGACAACATTAAAGTCCGCACGCTGTTGTTGCATACTGCGAACATCAGCAGTGATGGGCTGATACATATTTAGCTCTTCACAGACTCCCATAACTTTGGAATAATACTCTTCTATACTTTGAGTACCTTGTTCAAGATTGAAGTACTGTTTACATAGCTCATAAACACGGGTGATATTACCTGTCCCAGAATATAACTGCTGCAATCTATCCCATATCTCCTTGGCTGTATCCAAATAAAGTAACGTTGAACTAATTTGGGGTTCAATACTGTTTATCATCACAGAGATGATCTGAGCATCTTCCTTTTCCCATTCATCAAAGGAAGTATCAGTTACCTTGAGTTTCTCTTTAGTCAAGTAAGAACCAAGACCTCTGCCTTTGAGAAAAATGGCAACAGATTTGGCCCACAATATGTAATTCTTCCCATTGAGCTTAACTGAAGTCATGGGAGAATTAAGACTGTTCGTGGGTGAAAGCAAATCTGAACTTGAACTTGAGGCCATGTTGAATCCAGCAAAACAGAGAAGAAAAAGGAGAGAAAACAAAAATTCTGTATTCTGGCCGAACCTGGAAGCAGGTCTGTAATGGGCCGGATTCTGAAACCGGGTCGGATCCTGGTGCAGGTTGGGTCCTGATGCGGGTCGGGTCCTGGTACGGGTCGGATCTTGGAACCGGACCGGATCTAGACTATCCCTGGTTTAGTAAACCGGGATTGGAATAGTACAATCGTGTTGCCAAACACGGGTCTTCTTCTTCACTCTGTCACAAACTCCGGTAAACAATACGGCGGAGGCGACGGCAACCCAACCACGAGCAGCGGCCGAATCAACTTCCGGTCGAAAACCAATCTCACCTCTGCAAATCGAGACGAAGAAGCTTCTGCCGGCGACGACGAAGAAACCAGAGACGACGACCACCAAAGAGGAGCTACCGGTGACGATGAAGAAGGCAGAAACGACGAACACACTTCAGATCTGATTACGGTGAACAAGAAATTGCCGACAGTTACATCAAAACCACATTCACGATCTGAATCACGATTTGAATCACGATTGGAATCGTGATTCACCACCAACCCACCTACTAACTCTCACACTCATGATCATTGTGCTCCGATACCATGTTCTTGATCAAGAGAGAAACAGAGAGAGAGCAAATCGTATTCACTTTGTATATCAAACACTTACCAAACCTAATAAGCCTATGTAGGCTTATATATGTTACAAGGTTTACATAATAACACAAACAGCCTATTAACTAAACATAATTACATAACGACCCACTATTATATATATAACTTCTAACCATGTATGAGCAATACTCACTTAGGATTTTATCTATTCCACTTTTATATGCTGTTAAATGTTCTCTTGTTTAGAAAATGTATTTAGCATACCCATAGTGCTTTTACCAATTCTAAGTGTGTTTTTCCTGTCTCATTTTACTCTCCAAAAACATATCCTCCATGATCTTGTGCATATCCTATCCAGTCATGCTTTGTTTACTAGTTGAAATTTTAATAGGTAGGAGTGACTGAAATTTTTGTCACAAAGCCTTTGTGGAGTTCTTACTTGCTACGTTGGCACCATGTATTTGCAGTACCTTAGCAGCCTCTGTAACCATGCCATTGGACTTCAGTATGGCGGTATGGCTATGTTTTTGTACAATTAGAGGTGAGGTACCTGTGCACTGATTTAATGTTCGCCCATCCCTTTGAAATTATTTATTTATTTATTTTTAAAGTTAAGCGTGGTTTTCTCTTTTGAGGAAGAGTAGGGAAACATCAGTTGGTGGATATAATTCTATTGGGTCTCTCATCAGTTGATCATGCTTGTTTACTTTTTATCTAGGATATTAAATTGGAATCTTAACTGAAAGAAGATAGGAAATAAACAAGGTTGACATTTTTATTGAACACGTTTACCCCCTTATTACTGACACAGTTAAGTTCTGGAAAGAAAGAATTGCCAAACCTAAATGGATACATATATCGATTGATGAAAGCACCATATAACTTTTAGTTATGCAGGATGTGATAGTTCATCCAGATAAATGCCATATTTGAGCTTTTATCACCATTGAATTGTGCACCTGTACATGCTGTAGATGGAAGTTTGCCAAATTTATTCGCCAAATAATAGGCGCTTAATCCATGTTTCTATATAATGACAACTTTTATTACGTAAGATGGAAGACGCTCTTGCACTACAGTAGTACTAATGTAAATGTCACACGAGGACTCAAATAATTCATGATTCAATATCTTCAGAACTATCTTTTGACCTGAGTAACATGTTAGCTGTTCTGTTTTATCAGATACTTCCAGTGGATTTGATATTACTTAATATATATGTATATATTTATTTATTTATTTAAGGACCACATAGACTGTTAACACAAGTGGCTTGCATTTTTATTCTCATTTTCATTTAGTCCTTGCATTAATCCTTGCCCTAATAGGTGCTTTTGTTAACTGTATCTTTTTTCAGGACCATAAAGCACGTTTGGAGAAGTTACTCACATTTTCATTTTCATTTTTAGTCCTCGGTTTGTTCCTTGTCATGATAGGTATGATTTTGTTAATTATATTTGTTCTCCATTTAACTTGAAGCGTTTGCTATTACTGAGACAAACAGACATGCAACCGCATGCATGCACACACTTGAAAAATAGAAAAAAATGAGGAAAATACTAGTAGTACAAACTTAAAAAGCATATGAGATGACCAATGGGCTAGTGGCCCAGCCGTATCAAGCCCCTACTTTCCAAATGGAGGTTAGGGGTTCGAGCCTCCATGGAGGCATGTGTGTGTGAGTACCAACTATGAAAAAAAAAGCATATGAGATGTTCCAACTCCAGAAATTCAATATCTTTTTACTTGGTTGAGAATATAGATTGCCCCTGGAAGTTCCTCACTGTGAAGACTCATGCTGTCAAATTGGGATATGTATTTAGTCTAGAAATGAAGGGCAAATCCAATGCACAAGGCTCCCGTCATTGCGGGGTCGGGGAAGGGTTGGATGGACACAGTCTTACTGCCAAATGCGGGGAGATGCTGTTTCCTTGGGTCACGATGGAGCAACCTTACCGTTGTGCCAAGGCTTGCCCTTAGATTGAACTCCAAAGTGGCAAACTTAAACATGGCAGAATACTCTGAATAAATACTTTTATGCTCTATACATGTTGGTGAGTATCAATACTGCTATTTTTGTCATTGGGTGGTTGAATATATGAAAATTCAGGAAATGCCCTATCAATATTTAGTTCATGGCAGTTTCTTAACCCACCTTCCAGAAATTATAAGGAAAGAAAAAGGAGAAAAAAAAAATTATTTACAATAATTAGCCATTTGTTTATGTAAGAAATATATTTTAAGGATTCATTTTTTTGTTAATGATCACACTATTTGTTCAATCAGATCTAATAAGTTTCAAATAATCTATGAAGTTAGTGAATCGCACTCAGATATGGATTTGAATTACTTGTTAATGTAAAAATGGGCAATGTGAAACGATAACTATCAAATGAAGTTTTTACCCGCAATACTTGCTTCTCAGTGGTTGCTTGTAGCTTCATATATGCTAATGATTCAGCTGTCTTGTAATTTAGTGCTGTAGACTTGCCATGTTTTATAGTTAAAGATTACATGTCAGAACAAAATATTTCATAATCTAATGAACATTCTTATCTCTGCTGCAGGTAGATGTTTATAATTACAGGCGCTTCGCTTTTGTTCTCGAGTGGATGGGAAAGCATTCTCCAGGTATTTTTGTTCTAATAACTTCCAACTTAAGCTGTTATTGCAATTCAAGAATTCTACTGGACTGCTCCGAGAATAACATTGTTAGTGTTTGAGGCTACTAATTTTTGACCCAGAACACAGAGTCACTCGTCCTCTTTCGATCATAAAAATTGCCAAGCTGTACCGAGGTGAAATTCCAAACAATAATGCCAGTCTACTCTTGCTGCACTTTTGTTCAAAAGATCCATTAAATCATTACGTGCTTTGTGCACACATGATATGGTAGGTCAGACTTGCAAAGGTGCGAGACACTGACAGGCTGCCACACTGGCGAGCTACGGGTGCACAATCCCACATCGCCTGGGAAAGGAAAAGGTGAAGTGCTTATATGTAGGTGTGTCACTATAATTGGTATGAGGCCTTTTGGGTTGAAGCACAAGAGCAAAACCGTGCGTGTTCAGGCCCAAAGCGGATAATATCATAGCATGTGGTGGAGTGGGTCATTACAAATGGTATCAGGGCCTGACCCAGCCAGAAGTGTGGTAAAGTGCTTATATGTAGGTATGTCACTCCAATTGGTATGAGGCATTTTGGGTAAAGCCCAAGAGCAAAACCATGCGGGCTCAGGCCTAAAGCGGACAATATCATACCATGTGGTGGATTTTATTCCTGTTTTTCGCTTTATGTTGTCAATTTAATAACATCAATGTGCTATACATTGAAGGAAACACCCTTAGGTCCTAAAGCATTTATCTTATTATTGTGTGTTCTCCTTTCAAACAACAAACTCAAGCTCTCACAGTATGTTGATTCAATAAAATTATAAAACTAATTAATATGATCAGAGTTCATACAATATTCACACGTGTTTCTTTTAGTCATAATATATGTAACCCGGATGTCTAAAATCATCATTTTGTTCAACTTCTCTCCGTGGTCAAATCATAAATCACTTGATTCAGCCACTAGGGCTTGCATCCATGACACACAAATCCTAAATTGCTACATCTATTTCATTATATTCTCTCTTGATTTTGTTTACAATTACCACCTTTATTTATAGGTGAATTGGGGAAGACTTGTAATAAAGGAATTACACAGAAAGTTAAATATAAACATGGAAAGAACTTGTTGCCCAAGTATAGCAACATTAACATTCTGTCAATGGCTTAAATCACTCATATAATTATTCTCCAACACCCCCTTAAGTTAGTACACGGAGATTTAACTCAAGTGTCCAACTTGAAATTAAATATGAAGTTGTCGAAATTCTGAAATGAGTAAATCTGCGATGAGTTGATCCGGAGGTCCGAGACAAATTGATCCGAAGATCCGAGACGAGTTGATCCAAGATCCGTGACGAGTAGAGTATAAAGTAGGGTATGATAAACCTACTCTGATACCATGTTGAAATTGAAGAGAGATATACAAAATGAAGAACACAAAGATATAACGTTGTTCAACCACTAGAGCTTACATCCACGACACACAAATCCCAAATGGCTACATCTCTTTCATTACATTCTCTCTCGATTTTGTTTACAATAACCACCTCTATTTATAGGTGAATTGGGGAAGATTTGTAATAAAGGAATTACACAAAAAGTCAAGTATAAATATGGAAACAGCTTGTTACCCAAGTATAGCAACATTAACATTCTTAAATCACTCCTATAATTATTCTCCAACAACTTGGCTATTAGGAATGACTCCAATCCTGAGGAAGAAGAGGAGGTCCGTAGAGAAAATGCATGGGTGTGCCAGTGAAACATGAAGCAATCTATGCAATGTCAATACCATGATAGGATTGCTATATTATAACATATTCTATGCAGATTTGTTTACATTGATAAAATACATGGTTTCTTTTTGCTTTGTGAGAACCTCTAACTTCCTTTCCAGCAAATTTTAACCTTCGTTATTGGCATGTTACGACATTGGCTCTGTGGTTGCAAGGTTTTTATACTAATGCTTTTTTTCTCTATGGTAGTAGTCTTGTTGTTCTTCTCTCAAAAAAGAAATATAGTGCTGGAAAGCTGAGCACTGGGGTTTGGGAATTATTGTAGAGAACCACCAAAAATGCCATGGCCTCAGTCGGGAAGGGTTGGAGCTGATTTCCAATCACCCGGGAGTTACAAGTGGTAGGATCTGAACCAGCAATTTATGAAACTCATAGTATCTATTTGAGCTTTGAGCCAAACATTCAAGTACCCAAAATCACACAGAAGAGTGGACCAACATTCAATTGTTGTAGTTCGCCGTGCCTATGCAACCATTTCACCAAAGGGTATGTTTGGCAGCACCGAATTGGAGCTTGGAATTGGTGGTATTGGAAGCTCCAAAATCTGCTGTTTGGATGTTACACACTAAGACCGATTTGGAATCGGGTTATAATCCCAAATATCTCAATTACATTATTTGAATCCCATGGGTTGAGTTGAGAATCGGAACACCAAATCAACGTGGGATTGATTCACCAGATCGAAACGTCCGGCTCTGGCTTCTATCGCTCCATCTACCAACCTAGCTCTAGATTGTTCATCTCTAACCCTATCTCTTCCATCCCAATCTGTCTTCAAAAGCAAACTCCAGATTGTTCTGTCTCTATACACTTGATCTGCCTTCAAAATCTAACTCCAAATTGTTCATCTCGAATGATCTGCCTTCAAAACCTAACTCCAAATTGTTCATCTCGAACCCAGTTCATCAATCATATGTTTCGATCCCTAGCTCAAGATCAACACACAAATCGTGCAGTTGAAGATAAAGATCGCCATTAGTAGTAAAGTATATGTAACAGTTCATTTCCTCCAATGGCCTCAGAGCAAATCCAATGCAGAGTTCCAGCAAATTTTTAGACTGTCTTTTTCTCAAGATGAACAAACGGATACCAAGTAATATAGGTGACATGTCAATTTCTCTCTCTACTGATTATTTTCTCTCTTCGACTTCTTCTGCTTTAAACCCTGACTGCGCATTTGCTACTTTGCAGAGAACCAAATTCACGAAAAATCTCTCTATCGCAACTTTTCTCTTCAGTTACACTTAAGCGGTCGAGGTCTTCATTCGTCATATAAAATACACCAAAACTGTTCTAGTGGCTTTGTGATTGAGGTTAGTATCTAGTGATCTATCATTTTTCATGGTGAAAGATTGAACAAAATTATGATTGATTTATTGGCTTTGTGATTGAGGCTAGTACCATTTTTATGTTGTGGTTATCTGAGCTTTTTAGAGATATTGTTACTGGGTGAAGCTGGAGATTGATGTGGGACTTGTTTTGCAGCAATCATGGTTTATGCTTTAGAGACCATGTAGAAAGAGTATTCCTATATAATTCTTCTCTCATCTAGTTCCAATTATGTTTACTCTTGTATGTGATGTTCTGTTTGTTTGCATACACTTTACCATTAATTGCAGTGCACTTTGCACTTCCTTGAATAAATGTTGCTATGTCACCACCAGTTGTGTTCTTATTAGTTTGCGAATTGCAAAAGTTGGACAAAAGAAATTCAATAAACCCAATTTGACTTCTGAAGTTTCCTTATCCTTTTTTGAGAATTAATGTTTAGAGGCACATCCCACCATTAAATCCGTGTACTAGTTCAGGGGCTATAATTGCAGTTAGACAAGCTTGATAAATCCCTAAACAGGTTTTAGAAACCCCAACGGTAAAAGGACTGGTTGGCTGAAAATCAGTCCATACTAAAATTTTAGGCCACGACTGATGCTTTAGATCACACTTTGTTTTCCATTTTTCTTTCTTTCTTTTTTATCATATAATAAGAGTTAAGAGTGAAGAGCAGGTGTTGGATGTGCTCGAGCATATGTGCCTTGTAAAGGAAAATTGAGCTAATGCCTCCCTTTTTCAGAGAATTCATTCTGCCATCTCATCAGTTTATTATCCACTTACAATTTTGTTGCTTTATTATCTATTAGAACTAATGCATTTTACAAATTACAATCTATGAGGTTGCAATTGAAAATTATAGAAGTATTTCATTTCCAAAGGTCATTGCTCAGTGCAATGAAAAAAATTCTGGTTATCAAGCTTGAGTGTGAGTAACAGTATGAGACAGCTATTTTATACAAAAATATTGTCAAAGCTCAGTATATCTCTTTATCTTTCTTTCAGCATTAGATGATGGTCCTTTTTTTCTATTTCTTCTCAACAGCTGCTTGGTAAATTTAGTTAGTTTAGTTGGTGAAGTCTCTGCCTAGTTGTATCAAATATTTTGGTTAATTCCTGCATAAGTGATTCATGAATAAGAATACTATATAAATTGGGAAAATTATATTTTATTTACCAAAATTTAAAATAATTACAGCACACTGATCAGTCTTTCTCATAATATTCTTTCCTTCATAGTCCCTATAAAAATTCCTATCCCTTTACCAAAATCAGTTTAATTATTACTACATGTTTGTATAGAAATGGAAAACCTCAACATATGACTTTAATGTTTACTCAATAATAAACATTAGTAGTTGTAATAATAATAGTTATAATGATGGTTTACTCTTGTCTGACGGATGAGATTCAATAAAACTGTTTATGTATGTAAAATTAGCCTTTTAAGTCATCAACCATTATGTTTCTGTGCTGTCCATAAAGTTTTATATATCTTCAACAGAGCAACAAAGGCCTATAGGGACTTGAGGAGTCATTCAGATCATAAGCAGGTGGTGTCTTTGCCCAAATACTTAGAATTTGGTATATTATTCTTTTCCCATTACATGAATTTTTTTTATTTAATTAGGTGTTATTGATGTTTGGGGTGTTTTGTAATTAGAAAAATGTTTGCATTCTCATCTACATAATAGATAAATATTGATAGCTGTTAATCTTGTCGTGACAAAATTATCCATCTATCTATACTTATGACAACATGAAGAGGAAGGACTTTTATGCAAGAAAGTATTGTTAAAAGAGTCATTTCTTCATCTTCTTGAAGACATCACAAAGTTGTGGTATTTTCAGCTCCTGCATGTGGTTGTTATGGGTTGTTTATGAACTCCAAAGTTCTTTGTGACCCATGAACAACCCATTCAATAACTCAAGCTTTTTTAATTGAATTTTAGTTTCCATCTATCTGCTTATGTGTACAGTTAATTTTTTCCTCAAATAGAATTGTTTAATGTACCTTAGTTGATCCATTGTGCTTACATTCAGATGCCTATGCTGAGTTGCCCTACTTTTTCATTTCAATTCTATGTACAGTTACTGCATTCTCTAGAAATGTTCGGCTTGTGTGATATTTTACTAAACAAGTTCAAAACTTCTTTGCTACTTACAACATTGACTTAAAAATATTCCCATTGATGATTTCAGTTGTGGTGTTTCCTGACAAATTTATTGCCCTTTTGCTTTAGTTGTGAATGTGAAACTGAGGTCCTGTCATTTTTTAGCATGAATGCACTGAAGTGGCCTGACATATTACTGAAGACGGTGTTTTTAATTATAGTAAGGAACTGTCTTGGATCAGCTTTAGTTAAACTGTAATATGCACATGTGTTTCTAGGAACTTCAAACCTTTTGACAAATTGAGTGCCACATCTATTATAATGTGTTTAGTAAGTTGCACCTTCCGACATTTCTCTATATCCTTCAATTCAAAGATATGAAATTTTGAAATATTGTTCCACTTGAGAGCAATAACAATTGTGCTCACACTATCACAATTCTAGGTGATTGCTGTTTATGCATATTATTTGGTAAAAGTGCAATGCTACTGCTTCCTATTATTCTTTAAAAAAAAAATTTATCATAACTTTGTATGGATGAGATTCATCATTTAACTCAGTGGAACATCATTGCAAAACTTGAAGCTCTATGTTACTTTTACTTAATTTTATATCATGTGTGAATAAAGAAATGGATGATACTAATGTGTGGAATATTAAACCATTTTTTTGGAGGAATCATTCGGGAATGATGGGTTGAATGACGATGCTACTAATGTGATTCAACGATACTACTAATGTTGTTGAATGCCAGCTTGGAAAATCTTAATCTTCTTCAGTTTCACAATCTAGAAAAATAAAATAATGCAACTCAGATGCACTCCATGCGGTTTTGGGACATGTGGCTAACTCCCTTGAAAAAGTTTCTTTGAACCTCCAAAGCCGAGTACCAAGATGGGGTTAGAAGAAGTCTTTAAGGTTCCAAATTTGAGCCAAACACAACTCTTGACTGGCAGTAGATGTATCGAGGTGTGATCAAATGGAAGTTTGAGATATTTTGTGACCTTACTGATCTTTGAAAAGACAATGGATAATGATACAACTTTGTTGATTCTAGGCTGTTGGTTCTCTTCGAGGCTGCTTTTGCGTACTGTTGTTTATAGATATAGTTTTAGATTCATTTTGATGTGATTGGTTGCTATGGGTCTTAATGCATTGATGATGTAAAAAGTTATTGGATAAATGTACTAGGATTTCAGGATTTGCTGCCTTGAAGATTTTCCTGTTGCTAATCTTTAGGTTGAACTGTGTAATTTGAAGATATACAATTTATGATTATCTTAATTTCAAATGTTATATGTATACGAGTTTGCCCTTCTGATGAGGGAAATTTAAGGAAATTAATGCTTGTTCCATCAGAAAATATATAAGAGAAAAAAATGAATTATAGAGTGCAATGGTTAGTTATCAGTTTTCCAGTGGTTAGTATTAGTGGGAGTCCATTGATGACTTTGAAGCCTAATTATTTCAGCTGTTGCTAGGCATGCAACCTGTATCATAACGGTACATACAATATTTCACATAAGTATTTATAAATCTATATATGTTTATGTAGTATATGTTAGTTATTTAAGTATGTATCTATATAAGTATGTGCACTTGTATATCACATATTTATATGTGCTTGTAATTCTATATATGTTTACAATAATTAATTATATTCCAAATCAATGATTCAATTCCATAAAATTAAAGTTGCAATTCAATTGCACTTGAATTTCAATATTTAATCAAGACAGTTGATTTGAAATTGAATTGGTGAGAATGCAATCCCATGAAATTTCAATCCCAATGATTCGTGCGTTGTCCTAAAATCTTTACGTCTTCCTACGTGCAAATTGTGACGACTATGAAAAGCTTCGAAATATAACTTCAGTGTCTTCTATGCACGCATTCACATAAGAACATTTATTAAGTTTTGTAGTGTTGCAACTCAAAGATAAGAATATAATATTATATATGGGTTGCAAGAAGAGAATAAATAAGGGACATAAGGATATAAGTTAATCATTAATTACTTTATTTAAGAGATCATATATTTACCTCTAGTTAATAGACACAACCTTTATCAGACACCTTTTCATATTTACTCACACTTCTTTAATTTAACCATAAAATGAAGTTTTAAAAACTTTATATGGTAAAAACCTAACACCTTCCACAACCATCGCCACCGTCTTACACCACCACCGCCATTGCTTTTCACCACCACCACTGCCACCATCACCGATGCCGCTACCGCCTTCCACCACCATTGCCACCACCGGAAATCTTTCTATAATTCACGAACTTAATTTTTTCAATTCACAAATTCAATTTATTAATTCTAGAATTTACAACGATTTCTCATTAATTAAATTATGAGCAGCTACATGCATGTGAGATTGTTTTTTTGAGACAATAACCAAATGTGCTTAATACTGAAAAAAAAAAAAAGATTAAAAAAGTGAATAATTAACCTACAAAGTTAAACAAGAATAACATGTCATTACCATATTGTTCATTTTTGTTTTTTTATTTAAGTTTAAAAATATTAGATGTGTGTACAGTATATACATACATGTATATTGGTTTTACTTTTAGTAGTTAAGATATTTATTATGTAATAATTCGTTAAAGTAATCATTTCTATGAAATGTTAAACAATCTCTTTTTTAAGAATCTAGAATAAATATATGAATTTTGGAAGTCGCATTTCTTTATAAATAAAAGATATGATATAGTTTTTGCATTTTAATTAATATTAATATTAATATTATATATTTTTTAATACAAAATAAATAATGTTACTAATAATTCAAACAGTTTTTTTATTTTATTTTATTTCCACTCAATACTATATATACAAATATAGAGATTAAATTTTGCCATTTTCGCACTCCAGCTCATTGTGACTTGGATTTTTATCCTTTCGAAAGAGTTTTGACATAAACAACTATGAGCTAAGCTCTCCATAAAAGATAATATTTCTTTCAACTAACAACTATTTAATTTCAGTAACTGAAGATACCAAAAATGGCTTGGGCCGGGTATAACCCATACCACTAAAGATTGGATCGGGAGAGAGCATTTGACTCAATCGGATGACAGCTCATCAAGACCAACATTCATTAAGACAATTTCCAAGCCCAATCTCAAAGCAAATGAAGTAAGCCTGTATCCAAAAAGGAGCCCAAGGGATCGGCCCAGCATAGAAGACGAAAGAAGAAGCTTCTAGGATACTTGTAAAAGTCTATAAATAGAAGGAAAATAGAGAAAAAAAAGGGTTAAGATATTTTGAAGTGTAAGAAATTAGCTTTCCAAATAGAGAGAGTATTTTCATTGCATTTTCAGTAACACTTTCCCTCTTACCTTTCAAAGTCTTAGCTGAATTGGTATATTTATACATATCCTTCCTCAATTATTAGAGGTACATGGAATTTCTGAGATAGGAGCTAGCATTTTCATTGTCAAGTTTATTTTTATTTTTTTCCATCAAGCAATTTGTATATATTGGTTTAATAATGTACAGTGGTGGGCCACAGGCCGAAAAACAGATAAAGCTAGTGTTGGATCAAAGTTCCATGGATCAAACGATGCGCCCAATTCAAAGCCCAAAACCCAACTCAGTTTAGATCATAGATTTGCTTTGATTGGTTAATTTTCTACATATATGTTTATTTATTTTTATTTATTTTCCTTCTTTTGAAATGGTTTCCACCTTATATGTTGTTTGTTGCTTTATTTATTTTTCTTGTGAATAATTAGTAAGCACAGTATTCTACAAGATACATACTCTTTTTCCCTCAAAAGTGTATGGCTTTAATTTTTCTCAAAAGTGAAAGAAATTTTAAATTATTAGCTTTAAAGTCCTTATTTGAATGGAAAAGGGTGAAGGTTTTAAATTCTCTTTAAAATTTTTTTAAAAGGTTGTGAAGCTCTGATTACACACATACCAAATCCACTTAACCATATGTGTTATTTTCAAATCTTTAATGTACAAGTATTTGTTTGAGCTTTCTATCTCAAAGAGTTTTTTTTTTTTTTTTTTTTTTTTTTTTTTTTTTTTTTTTTTAAGTCTTTTAAAAGACACTAATTACAAAATCTTAACAAAAAAGATGATGTAAATAATTATGGGTAAGGGTAAAAAAGGCAATGGCAATAATAAGTTTTTTTTTTTTAAAGGGTAAAAAAGGCAATGACAATAATAAGTTTTTTTTTTAAAAAAAAAGAAAAAAAGAAAAAGAAAAAGGAGGAGGATGGGATAAAGACGAGGTCTTGTCGTCAACAAGAAAAACAGACAAATTCGTCGCTTCTCATGCCAACATCATCATTGTCTCCTGATTCACTTTGGAAAATGGCGGGCCCTTGTGGGTCACAGCTCAGGCATTTAACGTGCGCCGATGGCTAGCTTCACCCGCCACCCCAACCTGAAAATAAGTGTGAACAATATAAAAGCAAGGTCCAAATTAACTACTTAACTTTTAAATATGAAAGTTAATTTACATATACAACCTTAAGACACTTAACTATTATTCAAAAGAAAATTTTAGAAGGAAGTTGACGAGGGTAACTTATGTTTTTACCCTTTTTTAATGGGTTCACCGTTATTTTTGGTTACGTGGACAATACTTGTTAACTTAAACATGTTCTTTTTTGGCCTCACTATGTGTATGGGCAGTAAACATGTGTATCAGTGATGTGGGCACCTTGTTTTGTAAATTAGTATGCATGGAACATGAATATGCTTATTGGCATTGGTACTTGAGAACTTATATGATGTAATATTTATGACTTGTTGGTATATATGTTAGTGAATTAGTAAGGATGATATAATATATTGTACTACACATTCAAAAAATACTACACCACGTTACAAATAAAAGTGTGAAAAATATAACAGTAAGGTCCAAATTGACTATTTAACTTTTAGATATGAAAGTTAATTTACATATATAACCTTAAGGCATTTAACCATTATTCAAAAGAAAAATTTAGAAGGAAGCTGATGAGGGTAACTTACGTTTTTACCCCTTTTTAATGGGCTCACCGTTATTTTTGGTTACGTAGGCAGTACTTGCTAACTTAAACATGTTCTTTTTTGGCCTCACTATGTGTATGGGCAGTAAACATGTGTATAAGTTATGTGGGCACCTTGTTTTGTAAATCAGTATGTATGGAACATGAATATGCTTGTTGGCATTGGTACTTGAGAACTTATATGATGTAATATTTATGACTTGTTGGTATATATGTTGGTGAATTAGTAAGGATAATATAATATATTGTATTACACATTCAAAAAATGCTACACTACATTACCAATGTCCCTGTCACTAGGATACAAAAGTATATAACATGATCATACCTGGAACACAAAAAATAAAAATGCTTCCAAAGACCATTGTCTTGGCTATTTCTAACATGACCTAAGTTGTGCAGTTACATACAAAAGTTTGATGGACCATTGATGTTCCATGCAAAATTTAATTCAAATAGTGGAGGAAAAAGTTTTGCATGGCTGGACGTAGAGATAAAGAGAAAGGGTACTTTTGTCTTTTTTAAATGATATAATTTCAATTTAACTAATGGACAATTTGGTTTTCTAACAATATCAAGGTTATTTATGTCCAAAAGTATAATTACCCAACATTGATTTGATGCATCACTCAAGAGTGAAACCACAAGGGTGGTTAATGAATATATCACGCATATTTCTATTTAAGTGTACAAAATGAAAACCTCATAAGTGTTAAATGTAATTTGCCCAAAAAAAAAAAAAAAATCTTCCTTTAATTATAATATTTTAACTTATATTTCTAAATACATGCATCACAATACTTTTAATTAATATTTATAGTTACGAATGCAACAACATGCTATTTGTTTAGCATATGTCTAACATATTTAAATATTATAGTATTCATTCCCGCCCCCCCCTTTTTTTTTTTCAAAAGAAAAGAAGAAGAAGAAAAGAGCCTATTATGTTATGCCATTCAATTAATTTTTTTTAATTAAATTCATTTTGTTTTATCTAATTTTTTATCAAATGCCCATCTCATATAGTTATATATATATATATATATGTATGTATGTATGTATGTATGTACACATTATATAAAATAAAAAAAATATAATAATGGTATAATAATATATAATGTGAGTAAACATATAAAATTTGAACATATATATAGTTGCACTTAGGGGTGGACAAACAATTCACAAATTCGATCCAGGCCGATCCGTACGGATCGATAGCGGATTAAAAAAATAGAATTTGTAGCTCACGGATCGAATCATGGATTGGGCTATTAAAAATTCGATCCGACCCGTGAATTGAATCCGTAAGATATATATATATATATATATATATATATATATATATAATATTAGTTAATTTAATTAGTTGATGATCATTTAATGGACTTTAAGAATGTATTAGTTAATGATCATTTAAATATCTTAATTAATGACGATAAATTTAATTTTATCTATTCAGTTATGGTTAAAAAATATATAATATTGGACTATTTAGGAAAATTTTCAATCGGATCCGATCCGTGGGATAACGGATTGGTGATAGATTCAGATTTTTTCAATCCGTTGGGAGCGGATCGGATTTGGATTGATGCCTAATCCAATCCGATCCATTCATGGCCACCCTTAGTTGCACTCATAACTATAAATTATATTTTTTAAATTTTCTTCTATGTTTTTTTTTTTTTTTAATTAAAAGTATAGTGATGCATGTAACAAAATATATAAGTTGAAATATTATTTATTCGAGAATGGAAAAGATAAAAAAAAAAAGAAAAAGAAAAAAAAAAAAAAACTAACTAAATTCACCAAGTTGGGCAAATTGCATAAAACCCGCTTGACTGGTTAGTGAAGGTATTTTTGACAAAAATTCTAAAAGTCACCCTCCTCAATTAGTTGAGAAGGTTTTTTTTATTACAAAAATAATAATAATAAAGGAGAATTTACTGTAAAACGTTGAAAGTTGAAGGAAGTTAAATGCACTCTGTCCTAAAAAAAATAATCCTAATAAGAAGTCAGAGACCGTGATTTCTATACTCTGCAGGTGTAAAAAAAAAAAAATGCAAGAAATTAGATGCATTATACATAGAGAGAAAAATTCAGGTACTGTTCTTTTGATATTTTATTTATTATTATTATTTTCACCTTTTGATATTTTACACCCTTCACTTCTGTCTTTTATTAAAAATAAAAAGACATAATAAAGTACAAGCATACAGAAGTTTGAACAGAATTTTCAGATTCAGTCCCTCCAAACAATTTCTTATTTAATTCGCTAAAATAATCATCTCTTAAACAAAAAAGTGAGAAAAAATAAAATAAAAATAAAAATCGTGTAGTGCTTTTTTATTGAGACTCAATTGATTTTGTAACTTGACTTGACTATAAGTTCACCTTCCTTTAAGTTTAAGGTTAAAGTCCAATTCATAAAGTTAAGGTAAAGCAATCAATATAGTGCTCCCCTCGATTAAATTGCCACCTTACCAAAGATTGTAATTGTAGTATATTTATCACGTCAATATATTGTAGGTTGAGAGGGTCGATTGTATGTTATTAAAAAAAAATATAAAAACAAATAAATTTCAACCCTAATGTCAATCTTTGTCAAAAAATTATTAGAAGCAATTTCATCAATAGAAAAGTTATATAATTATATAATTTTGGTCCATTATAATTTAATAAAAAAATAAAAAATTATATACTTATTTATTTATCAAATTGTGATAGACCGAGTATATAATCTCAAATCATGTAAAAATATTCTTTTTACTAATAACATAATCTGGGATTACGTACATAAACTTCACAAGTAACCAAAAAAAAAAAAAAAAAAATTTGACGCATTGTTTTTACATATAAAACAGATAAAAATTTAAATAAAAATAATACATTCATTTACGCGCCACTCCCTAGCATATAAAAATTTCTTCTCCTCTCAATGCCCTTTTGTGGGTCAATGATTAAGCGAGTCTGCCACACGAGTTATTGCGCGCGTGGGAGGATTTGTAATGAGCTTAGGGAGGTGGATGGGGTTTGCAGATAAAGATGAGAGGACAATGATAATGGTGGCCCATCCGAATGTCTATCTTTTTCAGCCGTGATCAATGCCAGCTGGGTGCCACATGATCTCCATCAGATGGGTCCAGATAGTTCATGATTAAGGGGTATAAAAAGACAACTTTGACCATGGTTCCACCTAATAAAGGGTAAGTTATCTTCATTATCACTGAATAAAGAATGTGTTTGCACATAGAACTGTAAAAGCTAGCACTACCAAAAAAAAAAGAAAAAAAAAAAAAAAGCTAAGCACTAAAGCTTGTAAAGCTAAATACTTTAGCATTTTTTAATTGCTAAGAATAAAGTTTGAGAAATATTATAATCTGAGCAATTGTTTTATTTTTTTTCCGTTTTTCCTTTTTAGTTCTAAAATAATACATGATGTGTCAGTGAGTGCATACAAAAAAATGAAAAAAATGAGTTAAAAGATAAAGAGTTCTTACTATAAAAAAACAATAAATAAAATAAAATTTGATTCAAGTGATATTGAACACTTAAATGCATAAATGTCACTGCACTAACCATATTATTTTGACATTAGAGTATTTATTGGATCCGACATTAGAGTATTTATTGGATCCAACACTTAGGGCTGGCCATTTGTGTTTGCGAGTCATAATTGTGCCGTGTTGATTTAAGGGTATTCTATTAAACAGTTCATCCCCAACGCGACCCGTTTAATAATCGTGTCATGAACCCTAAATACTAATCCGACCTATTTATTAAACGGGTTACACGTGTAACCCATTTAATAACCTGTTTAATAAAATCAAATATTTTATTTTTTAAATTATTAATAATACTCTGTCAAACATTAAATACTAGAAAAATATAAGGTTTAATGCAAATAAATTACTAAATAATGTCTAATCGACAAAAGAATAAATTATAAGATATTAGATAGTAATTTTGGAATTTAAATAGAATTTTGATTATGACACATATAGTTAAATGATTTATGCGGGTTGAATTCCTCAACCCAAATACGACATAATTAACTAAATGAGTTAATCGCGTCGGTCCGTTTACGACCCGAATTTATTTAAGATCAACCAAAATTTATTTAACTCGTGTCATATTCGAGTTGTGATAACGAGTCGTATCAAACTTTGTCAACCCTATCAACACCTCAAGTTGTATAAATGGACAAAACCCTTACAAATACGATCTTTCGCAGAATATTCATTATTCCTTGCAAATTTTATATTTGACAACCATTTAAAGGCTTTGAGTTTTGAATGAATCACTTAATCATTATGTTTAATAGCCATTGCCATATCACATAGATTTTTATTATTATAATAATAGTAGTAGTAAGTGACAACCATTTAAAGTCATTAGGTAATCAAATATGGAGATCTTAATTATTAGATTTTACCATAATCATAAGATCAGTGCTTTTTGAAGGTTCTTATTGAATAATGGAACTATGTTTAGAAGCATTAAAAACAACTTTTAGGTGAACCAATACAAGTGAATACATTAGTGTGAGAGTGTGAAACGGTGTATGAATTAATATTACTCTAGGAGCATTTTAATCATTTTATTTGTAAGATTTTGATTTTGTATTTGATAAAAATACAATACAAAATAAGAGTGATATAAGGCAGGAGGAAAAAAACAAAATGCATATTTAACAACCGTGTCGCTCACGTGACCCAATGATAGGGAGCGCCCCGGGGTGCCAACAGCTAAAAGGGATAGAATTGGAAATTTAGAAACAAACATTATTTTGTTTTTGGGAAGTTTCGTAACAAACTTTTTTTTTCGAGAGAAAAAAAAAAAGGTAAGAAGAAGAGACAACATGTAACGGTTATAGCGTGGTATTGGTTGGATGCCAGACTGACCATTCCATCTAGGCCCACAACAGTTCCCAAAGAAATCAGACGATCAGATCAGCCTCAGCCTTACCTTTCGTGGTCCCACTCTTAACTTTCTGTCTACAAAATGAAATTATTTCTCTATCTGTAATTTCCAAGAAAGCCCCTACATGATCCATAAATGCGTCATGTTTCAACGCTGCTCTCCATTCTTAAAAAGTAGTCACACCAGTGGCATTCCCTAAAGCTTCAGCGATCAAAGAGAGCAGCTTCTAGCATTTTAGAGAGAGAAAGAGAGTGAGCAACAGCAAAGATGTCGAAGGAATTGAGCGAAGAGGGACACAGGAAAGACTATGTGGACCCACCACCAGCACCACTCTTGGACATGGGCGAGCTCAAGCTCTGGTCCTTCTACAGAGCCCTCATCGCCGAGTTCATCGCCACCCTCCTCTTCCTCTACATCACCATCGCCACCGTCATCGGCCACAAGAAGCAGGCCGGAGACTGCGGCGGCGTTGGCCTTCTGGGCATTGCTTGGGCCTTCGGTGGCATGATCTTCGTCCTAGTCTACTGCACCGCCGGAATCTCAGGTAAAATCCCAAAAAACCCATCAAAACTTTTTATAATCCTTCAAACCCCTTTCTTCTTTTGATGTAATTAGTGATCTGTTTTGGGAAATTATACAGGTGGTCACATTAACCCAGCGGTGACCTTTGGACTGTTCTTGGCAAGGAAAGTGTCGCTGATTCGAGCTGTGGCTTACATGATGGCACAGTGTTTGGGTGCTATCTGCGGTGTTGGGTTGGTAAAGGCGTTCATGAAGCACTCTTACAACGGTCTCGGTGGTGGTGCTAACTCTGTTTCTCCAGGGTACAACAAGGGCACTGCTCTTGGTGCTGAGATTATCGGGACTTTTATGCTTGTTTACACTGTTTTCTCAGCCACTGACCCCAAGAGGAGCGCACGTGACTCGCACGTCCCTGTAAGTAGTAGCTGTGTCTGTGTGTAGTATTATTTGTTTGGGGGAAGGGTTGGTTACATATATGGTTTGGGTTTTGAATGATGTGTGTGTGGGTGGATGCACGTGACATGCAGGTGCTGGCTCCTCTGCCTATTGGGTTCGCTGTGTTTGTGGTGCACTTGGCCACCATCCCCATCACTGGTACAGGCATCAACCCTGCTAGGAGTTTTGGTGCTGCTGTTATCTACAACAATGACAAAGTCTGGGATGACCATGTAAGTTTCCTTGATAAATGTTTATGTGAATGAATAAATATTGATACATGTATGTACTATATGTTTTTATTATTATTATTATTATTGATACATGAGTTGTGTGATGTGTAGTGGATCTTCTGGGTTGGACCGTTTGTGGGAGCACTGGCAGCAGCAGCGTATCACCAGTACATTTTGAGAGCTGCAGCTATTAAGGCTTTGGGATCATTCCGCAGCAACCCCACCAACTAAGTACCATCAAGGAGAATAGAACACCTCAAGAAAAAGAAAAAGAAAAAAAAAAATGTTTTGTGAATCTAATTTCTCATCTATTTGTTGTATTGTGTGTGTATGTATTGAGATGTTGATATAAAGAGCACTGCTTTTTCTTTTCTCTACCTCATCTTTTCAGTCTAAAAAGAAATTTGGGAACACATTTTGGTGCTTTCAAAGTAAAATTGTACTGTTGATTATCAGTATGAAACTGTTAATTGTCAGTATAAAATTATAAATTTCTCACATTATCAACTTAAATGTATAAGAAAATGCACAAATGTACAAATTTGTGGTCAATTTTAACGGGTCAGAACTCGAGAATTTAACCTATTTGGGGTGACAACATTCTGAGCCCTGGACCAAAGATGCTTATCCATGGCAAGTGTTCTGTCCATCTCAGATAACAAGACAACAAATGACGAGGGACCTAATTGATAGCTCATGTGACATGCCACGCTAGAAATTTACGCATGTTGTGATGTGAGAGTAGTAGTGGTTGGAACAACTATGGCTGATCAAAAGTAATTTTCTCAAAAGCCGTACAAAAGAGAGCAAATTTTGCTTTTCATTTGCCTCCTTTAACAAATAAAAGTTATTCCCACAGTCAGTATTGAATGCGCTGGACATCATTAGCAAAAATATAATATATTATCTCATTACCCGTAATAATATAATATATTATCTCATTATCCCTAATATTACACCCAATGATGCTACATACCAATAATATCTACCTATCCAAAGCAGACTATGAGGGTACCATTTAACCATTGTATTGGCAATTTGGGGCAACGCACTTTGCTGGCATACAAGTTAGTAGATGCAATCTTCTACCAACCTCCACCTTTTGGAGGATAAAAGATATGTTAAATTCAAGCCTGCAACCAAAATATGACAAATCAGACCAGAAGGGAATTGCACTCAAACACACATTCTGATTACGATAAACAGAGTCAAACACACATTCTGATTACAATAAACAGAGTTGATTGGCCATCAGTTTCTCTATTTCTTAAATGATAAATAATGCACATTACAAAGAGCACTCGATTCGTAGGCCCAAAATTCACATACATAATATTTCAAAAGCTACTACTTCTTCAGCACTGGATAATCCTAATCCACCAAGTAGGTGATTGCAATAAATCATTCTTACTGTAGCAAAGCCAAAATTTGAGATAAACTGATCTTAAAGAAAAGCACCCGTAATTTACGATTCTATCATCCGTCACAAGACTAAGCAAATTCAGACGAACATTTAACTTAGGGACCACAAAAGTTGTGGAGTTCAAATCCAAGTTCAATTTGGATTGGGAGCAGGTCCACAACATTTGATTTCAGACTAAGGCATAAACTTTCAAAGATCACCAATCAATTTCAAGATAAATGCATGTGATGAATCAGCAATAAGCACAATATTGAACACAAACAAAAATAGCATTCGTTATTTAGCAACATGGCCAATAAATTCAGGGAAGTGCACATTGACGAAATGTTAACAAACATTGATTTATACAAATAGCAGGACGAGTAGAACTAACCCTCAACAAAAGTATTACATGAAACTAACACCCAAGTACGTTTAGTCAGGCAAGGCCGTCCCTCTCTCAAGGTTGTTCTTAATCTCCAAAGTGTATTTCCCGAAGGCTCTCTCAATCTTCTTATTGAAATGCTCATTACGGTCATTGATCGAGTCGATGTCCTTCTCTTCATGGAACTTCCTCCTCCTGCTAAATGACTTCCGCTTCTCGTCCCTGTCCGTGAGCTCCTTTACCATCCTTTCAATCTTGTCTTCTGATACCTTTGGTGCCTGTCCAATCAACAAGAGTAGAGTTTAAGGAATTTGCCAGAAGTTCCCAAATTTAGCTGGTAAACTTCAATTCCTCAACAAAATTGCTTACCTTTCCATACTGGAGGCTTGAAGCTTCCCTGTAGAATTCTGGATCTGCTTCTTTCATCTGATTGTATTCTTCAACGTCGACCTCAATGTTCTTTGTCCGTTTTTTGTATGCATTGTACAATGTTTTCTGATTAAAAACTGTTCAAACAACCACAATAACATGAGCTTCACTGTAGCACTATTTTTTTAAAAACCTACAACACCCTTTCTGAAGACCCAAATATGTATTACTATGCATAAAAGGTCGGTCAATTGATTTATATTTTAAAAAAAAAAGACAGAAGAACAAAAAGCAACAAGATAAAAGGTGCACACATTCAAAGAAAATCAAAACACAAAAATAATTTAAGAAAATCTTTATTCTCAAAATTTACTAGGGTTTATTTTAACGGAAAAAACAAAAAGCAAAAAAAAAAACAAAAACATTTCCTAGAGCAGAAAAAAAAAATTAGTGGGAAACTTTAAGAAATAATATCCCAAATCAACAATTTTGAAATTATCTTCATCATCTTTTTTTTCCTAGTTAGTACTCACACACACGTCTCTTCTGAGACTTGAACTCCTGACCTCCCTTTGGGAAGGTGAATGTGTGCAGTGAGAGTTTAAACCAAGAAGGATCCATTGGATTACTTATTGAAGTAACATCACATATACATACAAATGCATATGAATGCACCTATGTTACATGGACTCAGGTACGGGTGTGTATCTATAAGTCGGACGTGTCAAATCTCCAAACAGAAGGACACACGGACACGGCTAAATATTCATTTTATTAATAATTATTTTATTTTTTAGAGTAAAGTAATATTTTTATCTAAAATAATGTTCAATATAGGCATTTAACTCATTTTAAAGTAATAATATAATATAATTGAATGATTGGCTATACTTTTTAAGTAAATGTCCAACCAAAAGTGTCGGACACATATCCCATACCCATGTCCGAGGAATATGTGTCCGACACGGGTACTGCACTACTTTTGAAGAGTCCATGTAACAAAGGAATGCACATATATAAACATAGGAACTGAAGATTTATATGCCAATAATGCAGCACTATTTTAATCTATTCATTTGACCAGACTTGCAACAAATTTTCTTCCAGTTTATACTCCCAATATGCAAGTCCTCTTCTAAGATGATACAGTTCAAAATAGTAGCAACCTAAGTTAATGATGAATTAATCAGAATCTCACAGTTTTGAAAAGAATGATGCAAATTATTGGAACATAAATCAGGTCAAATTTTCTACAAATTTGGACACACTTGTGAAATGCAAGCCATTACATGCATACATGCAATCAAGACACATAACAGACTCCAACAAAATGAATCAATTACGTAAACTCATGACTCACGAAGTACTATATAAATAACTATATCAATGAACACCTAAACATACCATCCCAACCGAAAGGTGCAGGTTCCTTTTCCCATTTCTTATACTTTCCCTCTGCTGCTTCTTGTGTATCGAGCATATATGCCTTAGTCATATCCAAACCATTGGCATCTAGAAGTTTGCCAATTTTCTTCTTCCTCTCCTCAATCCATTTTTGCTTTGAAACCCCTCTAGAATCTGGTGGAGCTTCCATTCTTTTCTTCTCAGACACCATGGCAGTTTGATTTGCTTTTCGCGCCTCATTCTGTTTGCAGGGAGCCCAAAGTCGCAGATGATTAGAAATGTAAAGAAATGATTGAAATAACATCCTGACAGAGCTAACTTAACATAATGAAAAAGCTTGGCTTTTGCAATCCAAGCCAGCAAAGATAAAAAATAATTGCATTTCAAGGATTATCCATACCATCTTTAACCTTAACTCAAATAATTTTTTCTGCCTTCCTGTGAGTTGTGTGATGTCACCTTCCACATTCTCCTCAGCAAAATTGTCACTATCACCATTTGGATGACCTTCAAGATCATGTATTTCATCATGTGGATTTTCACCTTGATCAGGACTCACAACTGAAATAGGATGAATATTGCAACCACTGGCTTGCATAGCTCCTGGTAAAGTGTATAGGAAGTAGTTAGAAATTTTTAAAAAAAAATGCAAACACACACACACACAGAAAAAAAAAAACAGAATAGGGAGCAACACGGAAGCTATTAGAGTAAGGGGAGTTAGGCTGGAACTTTCCAGCACATTTGTAGGGATTCAATCAGTTTCAGTTTATATTAAAATAGTATGGTGATTACTGATTATACTATTAAGAACTTGTAACACTTTAGTATTTGCAGGACAAGAAATGAATTAAGCTGGCATCTTTTTACTTGGTGGCAAGTGTTATAAGAAATAATCATATTTTTCATTAAGGGCACTTCCATTTGGATATTATTACAGATTTTAGACGCCAATGGTTTAACAAATAGATTCTAGACATGTGATTTAAAAAACATTTGTTAACACTAACCACGGGACACTATTAACCTGAGAGCATCAGTGTAACTAAAGTTGATGCTAAAGTTGAAGGTAACAAAAGCGCAAATCTGTAAACAAACAACACATAGTATTAAGGTTTTTCTTTTATAGTCTTCAGCTAGGATTATGCAGGCTATTGGTAGTCTGGTTACCTATTTTGTCCTACTAGGCTACCACAAAATATTATCAACATCTTCGTCATTGCCTTTATCCAATATGAACTGGGTCGACCAAATGAATTTGCTTTTTTCATTCTTTCTTTTATAAGCCATTTCTCCTACTATATTTAATTTTTTAAAATCATTCTCTATGTTATTTTGTCCTACCACCAAATATATGGTAATATATTATATAACCCCGGTAGACATTTATACCTAATTAATGTCATTCAACTAAATAGCAGTAATTTAAAAAATGTTACCAATGAAGCTAGACTTGACAATGATATAAAGAAGGAAATGGGCATAAATACTGAGAAGTGTGCTAATTGACCAAAATAAGAGGAGCTAGCCTTTATTACCTCAGCTAACCATCCCCCTGACTCAGAGAGAGATCTTGATGGAAATAAAGATAATGCCACGGTGTTCAGGGAAAAGTAGAATACATACATGTAACTAACTTGGCATGCCACAGATATTTGTTCTGTAGTTGTTCAGATTACAGGATAGATGATATTGTATTTATATTTTGCAGAAATAAAAGGCTTTATAGTGACAAGCCTGTGAGCGGATAAATTTCTGAGAGGACATGGATAAATATAAAATTTTAGATGATTTTTAAGCATTCAGCATCGCCTTTATGGGATAGGAGAGTGTTCAAAGTTCAAACTCTTTTCACCGTAAAGGAGGGACCATCATTTGAGGTCAATCATACGATTCTAAAACTGATAAGAAATGTGGACACGGGCACAAGACAAGAACACAACAACAAAAAAAAAAATTAAAAAGGTAGGACATGAACGTGGCAAAGGAACAACATAAGAAGATGTACTTTATATATAAAAGTTAATTTTAAATATACACAGATAACATTACTTCATACTAAGTAAACAAAAAAATCTATAAATGTAACATGAAATTTGTATTACAAAAATCATAATCAAAACTGCCACATAAGGGAATACATAACAAAGACACAACAACACAACATATTTGTATGAATGTTCTTATGCAGGCTTAGTGGGAAAAAAAATATTCTTATGCAGTATGTGTATATATATATATATATATATATATTTAAACACATAATGTCATGACTCCTCTCCTACACCTGTGCCCACTCAATGGTGAAAACCTTCCAATACCATTTGCTTTTTCTAAATAGAGTCACACTTCTATTAGTTCTCATAAACTTCCAATTTGATGTCTAACACCTTTTCGACATGGACACGACTCATCATTAAAATCGTCCATGCCTCTTAGTTTTATTTTCCACCTAGAAACTGAAAAATGTCCAAAACTAAGCACTAGAAAATATTTTCAGTATGTTAATTATCAAATAAAAGAGAGATCAAAGGTGCATAGATACAAAATTATTTATCTACAGGTTACATGTCCTACAAAATCACACTGATATATAAAATAAACAACAGAACATAAAGTACCATAGTAATGAAATAGAATCATTTACCTTTGCATTACTTTCAATATAGCATTACTCAAGGAATATAATGAGAAGAAGCCCAAAAAATAGAACTAACCTTGGTTGTTTTTATCCATCCGAGCCTTGACTTCAGCAATTATCCTAAAGCAATACTCACTACATTCGTGGTAAGGGTTTGATGCATTTCTGCAGTCTGGATGCACTCTTCCCTCTTCAGCCATCCTTCCTCAATAACTACTTGGATACAGAACCTATTTTCAAACTGTGGTTTGTAAGTAAAAAATCCAAGTTTCCTTCTTCCATTTGGTTAATCATAGTTTTCATTTTAATTTTAATGCAAATAGTGTGTACATGAGTGTTCAATTATTATAAATCAGGACCTCAAAATACTAATTCTTGTGAAATCTATTAAATATTTAATTCCAACTGAAGATTGATGTATTATGAATATACTTTCAGAATTTTAAATAGCACAGACTAAAATCAATTAAAAAATCACTCAAATCTGAAACCCTTAAGGCACATAAATATCATCCAAATTAGAAATTTTGGTGTCAACAACCACCCTGACTACTAACACCATAGTTGTGCACAGAACTTCACAAAATCTATTTTCTGTTGCCAACAAAATTGTGACTTCACTTCATTCAGTAATTTAATTCCTACAGAAGCATAGCAAAACAAGTGTGTGAACGATAAAATTAAAACCTAAACGAGATAACTAATTCATTGTTTCCACCTCAACTCATCTTTCGATTAGTTCAATCACATCTTATTAATGTCAATAACCCTTCTTTTATTTCAACAGACAAATATATAAAAAGTAATAATTAAAGAACTTAAACAAAAACCCTAAATTTGGATGAAACCCCCTTCCATCAAATTTTACAAGTAAAACAAATTTAAAAAAATAAAATAACGGCGAAGGCAAAACCTTTTTCTTTCTGTTATTCGGTGGTCGTCAGTGGAGCAAAACGATGAGGTCGCTATCTTGATTCTTCTTTTTTTCTCTTGATAGATCCCAACCAGGGAACTTCAGGGAATCGATTTGACTTGTTATGTTATAGCCCGCGGTTAGTTGAATCTGTAATGAAATTAAGAAACAGGTGGAGTTCTTCTATTCATCGCTTCCGTTTCTTCCATCCTCTTATAGAGGAAATCTCGAACACAAGAAGCAAGATAGGTCGTCTTTGTGGCGGCCTCGAATGTTAGGCTTTGTTTGGAACCAACCATTTTGGGATATGGAAAAGGATTAGGAAATGGAATAGGAATTAAAATGAAATTCCATTTATATATTTGGAATAAATTAGATTTAAAATTGGATTTCGAATAAAGATAATATTATATTATTTTTGATATTGTTTAAATGAAAAATAAAATATTTATTTTATTATAAAATATATTTCAAAGTTACATTAAATAAACAAACAACGTGAATAGCTACGATAAAACTGAAACATAATTTTTTTTTAACAAATCATTTAAAAAGGGAATAATTATTTATTAGTTAAAAAAAATAACTTATTCAATTACTATCACCAACATACTTAAGCCAATGTATTAAAAAAAAAAAAATACTAAAATGTAAACATAAGCCTAAACATTGATTTAATTAATATTTTAAATAAGTTCATTTATTAAATACTAAGCAAGCTTAGTAAAGTATATTAATTACTTTGTAACAACAATAACATGTATATTAACAAAAGTTTATATAAATATTTATTGATAATTGATTATTATATAAATTACTCAGCATATCAATTACTAGCTAGTAATTAAAAATAAGCCACTTAGAAATTGATACACAACAATTTATATACTAAAAAATTAACAAGTATATTAATTGATAACTATATTTTCACTTATAGATTAAATTTTTAATTACTAATACATTATTTATTTTTTGTATAAAAGGCTGATGAACTTGGCTTATAAAAGTGTCATTTTTATTCGTTGAATCTATATCATTTCATAACTTTTGATTCTAAAATTCTGTCATATTTTATATATTTTTTTTAGGTATAAAAATACAAAACTGATGATGGATCATTTTACATGATGCAGTTTGAGACATTAGAGAATACCAAACATAGATATTTGATTACTAACTTCTCCAACCTCAACTGTGCCGTCTAAAGAGGGTGGATATCCGAGAGTAGGAGAAGAATGCGGAGCTTGTTTTCTATGAGGAGAAGAATTGGGATAAAAGGGAACGGAGTCAAATTACAAAACAAAATAACAAGGGTAAAACGGGGACTCCGAAATTCACTTGTGTCTTTAATAAAACCAAAGTGATAAAACCCTCTTCTTCCTTAAAACAAATAGATTTGAGATTTCGTGCTAAAATAATTTTACAAAAATGAAAATTTTGTGGGTATTGAAATTCATTTTGTATCTGTAAAAAAATTAAAATTGAATTATTATAATGGAAATAATTTTTTTGGTACAAATTATACAAGGTACTTTATTACTTTGACCTAGCTCCCTCCATTTTTGTATTTTTGTTTTTGACAAATATGAGGATTAAATTTTATAAAATGACAATTTTATCTTTTTTTTAGACTTCTCCTGATATTTGGACAAATTACACTCTGAGTTACATGAATTTTCATATTAAGAGCTATTTACAATATAATATATTATTATAATATAAAATCATTATTGGCTATTTAAACACCCTTCGAACTAGTTTACGAGAAATCAAAATATTAAACATGGAGCTGTTTATTAAACTTCAAGAGAGTTGGTGTAATTTATCCTATTTCTTTTAATATTTTATAAATATTAACTAGATTTGCAATCTTATTTTTATGAAGAGAAAGAAAAGAAATTACAAACTTGTCAATCAACCAGTTTATAAATGGGTTAAAAAAAAAAACATTTCTATACTTTCAAAATGTACATAAAACTCAGTAGAATTTAACAAAATCCTAAACTAACAAAACTTATCAAGTTACCCTCAAAACCGTAACCGACCGTTAAATGGGTTGTGACATATCAAATTTGACATTGCTATTTATATTAAATTATAATTATTATTTTAAAATTACAAAAATAATATTGGGATAACATCCCATCTAACATTTAATAATATATTATATAGGGGCTTTTTTAATTTAAAACAATAATTATAACTTTTAATTTAATATTAAATCATAAGGTCAAATTTGATATTTCACATCTCATTAAATGGTTTGATCATGAGTTTGGGGGTAATATATTTTGTTAGTTCATAAATTATTTTTTTAATTCTACTAAGAGTTGAATACACGATTTTAAAAGTGGATGGAGATTTTATAAATTTAACCCTTTATAAATCTCATCAAATATCACTAATTTCCTCCTTTTTTGAGAGAATCAAAATTCTTTTTAGGGATGGCAATTTCTTCTGCCCCGCTCCTAATGGGATGGATTTGGTAGGACTCTAAATGAATGTGGAACGAATATGGTAAAATAATTAAAAACCCGAAACGGGTTTGAGGCGAAATCGGATTTATTGATAAACCTGCCCCGCTCCAATTATACATGTACCTTTAAAATTTTTATAAATATATAATATATATTTAATATTTTTAAGACTTTGTTACTTTGCTAAAAGTTTCCGTTAATTTATTAAATATTCACTACTTTGTGATTTAAAAGTTGGGCCAACTTATTTATAAGTTTTATTTGAATACATTGAGATAGTTTTATTTTAATAAAATAATAAAAGTGGCATAACCCGCCCTACCCTGCAATTAAACGACGTACGTGAGGCGGAATTAGTACTTTGTCTTCCGGAATAAGAGTGGAGATGGTATACAATTTACAAACCCGTCCCGGAGTAGGAGTGGAGTTAATATAACAAATTTTATAATAAGGTGGAATAGGGTTTAGCCAAACCCGCCCTAACTTTGCCTCCGTGCCATCCCTAGGTGGATTCACTCCATATTGGTCCCAGTACAATGAATACGTGCACTTTCCATTTGAGCATAGATGGAGCTATGAATTTTTTATTTTTTTTAGTAATATATCTTTATTATTTGTTGATTTTCAGTAATATACCCATAAAATATTACATTCTCTGGGTGAAATTATTAAAAAAAAAATACAATGTTGCCCACCAAAATTCATTTTTGCTTCCCTTACCTTACATCCTGGCTCCGTCCCTGCATTTGAGAACGGTATATTTGAAATTTTAAATACTATAAAATAAATAAAATTTTATTTTAAATTCTGCATGTTGATTCATATATATATATATAGAGTAAGACAAATTATATAGAACTTTAATACATTACTTTATAATTTCAATATATGAAGTAATTAAATGACGAAATTTAGTTGCAAATGATCAATATTCATGTATGAAATTCTTTGCTAATGATCCTAAATTTTCCTTTCTGATTTCATGGTGCAGAGTGGTTTATAAGTGGAGTATATAATTCCAAACTGAAAATTGATCACCTCATATGACATCAAAAAATATAAATAATTGAAAGCAGTGAAAAACTGAGGGAGGTAGTTAGAGTTCTGTACGCCATCACAGGTCATGCAATATGCTCCTGCCATCACAACAACTCATATAATATTTCTTTTCTTTCCCACTCTACTTCTTCTATGCCTAACAAATCTCTCTCTCTCTCTCTCTCATGCATGCATTGCAGTTCAACTACCAGTAATATAGTAACAGCCAAACACACCACATAAAAAGAAACATTGTGAGATAAGATTGGCTCAATTGTTGTATCCTTAATTTGTTTCTTCTTCATTGATGATCAAAAGCTCCAAAACGTACACACAAACAAGTTATCATTTTTCTTGATCTTTTTATGAGATAGAGAGATATCTGGGATGATGTGTGTGTGTGTGTATAAAATAGGGTGAAGAATGATGGCGCAGTTAACAGTTGCTATCAATAAGTAGAGTTTGTATATGGATCTTTGGCTTCACTTTTTCTATTTCAGTTTCGTTTCTTGTTCCATTCTTGTTTTGTTTTACCTACTTTGTCCAGTCAAAAGAGTTTGCATCAGAGGGGTCATAGCAAATAAGAGAGGAAACTGTTTTTGGTCAGGTATGACTAGTACTCTCTTATGATCTAGACTTGTCACTTTGTGTATATATGTGTAATATTGTGTGTGCTTGTGAGTGTACAACATAAAGAGGATGAGTTTGATTTCATAAGCATATAAACTTTGACAACACTTTATGCTTTTAATATCTTTTGATTCGCTGACAAACTCTCTAGTGGTACTATTAATTGCTGAAGGAAATATAGGATATTCTGTCTCTGTAAATCCATTGGCTTTTGTCAATCACATGCATATGCATCATCATCTCTCTCTGTGTCTTAAGTGGACAAAGCTAATGTATTGCAGGAAACATGAACATCGTGCAATATCTGATGGAGAGACTAAGACCTCTTGTGGGCTCAAAAAGCTGGGATTATTGTGTTATTTGGAAATTGAGTGAAGATCAAAGGTTATTTTAGAAAGAAAGAAAAAAACTAAATTAAGTCCATATATATATCCTTCTCTTGCAATCCTATCCTAGTTAATTAATTACAACTCTCGATTATGTTTTCGATCTTCAATTATGGTTTAGGTTTCTCAAATGGATGGATTGTTGCTGTAGTGGGGCTGAGAACACTCAAAATGGTGGAGAAGAGCTTCTTTTTCCTGTTTCTTCAATTGTTCCTTGTAGGGATGGCGTGTTTCAGCATTGCAGAACCAAAGCTTGTGATCTTCTTGCCCAATTGCCTTCTTCTGTCTCTCTGGGCTCTGGGTAAGTACTCTCTCGTGCTTACTGGTATGGAAAGAATTTATCCACGAATAAACTGCCTTTTTAGCTATCCAGTGAGATCTAGACGGTTAAGACTTCACTCGTGTGTACATTTTTTTGCACACGAAAGAGCAAGTGAACATTTCTGTATATACAAATATATCTCACTATGAATACACATGTTCATTTACAGGATTCATGCACTGACCTTAATGTCAAACCAACCCAAATGGTTGAACTTCTACAATTCAGATTCAAATGTTTCAGAAGTGAGTCCCCAGAAAAAATCTCCCTTGCATACACTAACCACTTTATACAATTAGCTGCCACTAAATTATGATCTTTTGCAGGAAAGCGTCGGGACTAGAGTTTTGATTCCCTTGCTAGGAGGACTACTTGAGCTTTTTGTTGCTAAACAAGTATAACATTCTTGCTCGTAGTTTGTTTGATCATAACTTGTTCTTTTTTTCTCAAACTCATTTGGTTTAGTGATGTGCAATTATAATTTTTCTTGTAGGTACCAGAAGATCAGCATTTCATAGATTTTATTGCAGCCCAGTGTAACATATCACTTGAGCATCAAGTCATTGATAATCCAAGCCAAATGGACACTAGCTTCCCTGCGAATATGAATACAATTATCAATGGGGTCCAATCAAAGCCATTTCTAGCAGACGGAAATGATCACAAAGATCACAGTAATTCTTTCCAGCCACCGGTTTCGCCCGCAACAGCCTTGGAGAATCTGAATCTGCCATATGACATCTCCGTTGACCGGATCCAACTGTGCGATTCTCCCATGAACTTCTTGCAACAATTCAACCACACCTCAGAAAATAGAGCCAAGAATGATTTATTATTCGAAGAAATGAGCAACTATTTTAAGCCTTCGGTAGAGGATGGATCTCAGGAGATGGATGAAATGCATAGGCAAATGATGAACAACACAGACATGAATGCTTATGTTATGGAGCCTTTAGCAAACAAGGTGCAGCAAGGGAATGATAAGGATTCAGTCAAACACGAGACGGGTCGATCAGAGTCAATCTCTGATTGCAGTGATCTGAATGATGATGAAGATGATGCCAAGTATCGGAGGAGGACTGGAAAAGAGCCTAAATCGAAAAACCTGATGGCGGAGAGGAAGAGAAGGAAGAAGCTCAATGACAGGCTCTATGCTCTTCGATCTTTGGTCCCCAAAATCTCCAAGGTACAGTATCCAAGTCTACATAATAACGTGTGTGTATCATGTTTGGTGTCTTATCTTTACCCAACAAAGCAAATAAGTGCTATAAAGAAACATTAGTATTTACTTTTGATTGCGTTGATCAACCCTTATATAAAGAGTAATGATACATAGCTCGATCAATAGTCAGACAGCTCCGACTGTTTTTATATAATGATGTCTCCTCTTGTTTCAGTTGGACAGGGCTTCTATCCTTGGTGATGCAATTGAGTTTGTAAAGGAATTGCAGAAGCAAGTAAAAGATCTCCAACATGAACTTGAAGATCAGTCAGATGATGAAGGGACTAAAAACAATGGTACAAATAGTAATCACAGCAATGGCCGATTAGAGATAGTGAACCAAAATGGATTCCATTTGGGGCCAAAACCAGAACATGAAAAGGCTCCCAATGGATTTCTTATACAGACACCTGCTGGCAGTGGTGTCGTGGACTCGTCCAAACAAAACCAAGACTTGGAAATCCCTAATGAAAAGGCACGGCAAATGGAGGTACAAATTAAAATATTGTACACTAGAAAATTTAATGGATTTTTTTTGTCAATTTTATTCTCTAATCATATTTTTTAAAATGATTAAATTTTTGTGACAATTATAGCCACAAGTTGAAGTAGCTCAACTAGATGGAAATGAGTTCTTTGTCAAGGTATTCTGTGAGCACAAGCCTGGTGGGTTTGTGAGATTGATGGAGGCTTTGAATTCTCTTGGCTTGGAAGTGACAAATGTGAATGTAACTAGCTTCAGATGTCTGGTTTCGAATGTTTTCAAAGTAGAGGTAAGAGCCTTGAACAAAAACCTCAAAATATTATGCATAAGAGCAAAAAGATAGTGATATTTTCTTTTTCCTTTTGGTGATTGCAGAAGAGGGATAGTGAAATGGTTCGAGCAGATCATGTTAGGGACTCCTTGCTCGAGATAACACGAAACCCGTCTGGGGTATGGCCCGAAGAGATGGTGAAAGCATCCGAGAATGGCAATGACAATGGCATGGATTATCATCATCACCACCACCACCACCACAACCACCATCTCCACGGGCACCAAATTGGTTCTCACCACCACCACAACCTACATCACTTTCATAACTAAGCACTCCTGGAGTTGCAATGAAGATGTCATTTTTTTTCTTTCCCCTTTCCTAGTATGAAATTATGTATGAGCTTCATAGACATGGTCTACAATAAGATTATATTAGTCCAAGTTCATAAATGTTACTCTCCTTTGATATATCAATGAATTATTAGTGATCGATGCTCAGTTTTTATGATCGCTTTCGCGCTACTGTTTTTCCCCTTTTTTGGGTAAGATAAAATTGTACTAAAGAGATGGATGTACAACCAAAAGGCCAAACAGGACATTGATTCAAAAGGCTTAAGAGAGCAACAAAAAAAACTATATTTAATGGATGGTGAAGTGCAAAAAACACTGAAGTGTACTTTTCGTAACACTTTTATCTCCTATTTAAAAATACATGTAAAAAATACCCTTATTCTTTGCACATTATGCAAAAATAACCCCAAATAAAAAATTTGACATAAATTAAGACTATAATGCGCATTTTACCATTTTACACTTCCAAACAAGCCTATACCAAACTTCCCCACTCTCTAGAATTTCCAACTCCTCTTAGGATCTCCTCTCCTCATCACACACCTTCTGTGATATCCCCGGATCTTCAAATGCGGGTTGGCCAAGCCCACACCCGAATACCCGAAGATAACAAAACAAATCGGTAATAATCGAACACAGAATACAAATATGATCAATAAGAATAAATAAACTGCTGAAAAAAAACTAAAATGATAATCCAACAATTCTTCAAGATATACTTCCATTAATAAATTCCTCTAATACAAGTAATCCTCAAATTTAAAATACAACTCGAGAATCCATAATATGTGGACCCCTGGAAAACCAAAACTAAACAATCAACGGTTTACAACTAAATACAGAAATCACAAAGGGAACTCCTATGTAGACAACCCGGAAGAATGATGTAGACAATCCCTGCTCAGCTCGAACAATCCCTACTTTTAACGAATACCTAAAAAATGATAGTGGGTTAAGCCCACAAACAAATTCTACTCTACTACAATCCGAGCAGAAACCCGATACGCAGATATATCCTAGATAACTCAACAATTACTATATAGTCCATAACTGGACTACAAGGTGGTCTCAACCTGATTAGTAGGCAACATGCAAAACGCACCGAAAGTGGACATGAGTACCTAGACCTAATAGGGTACACCTCTACCATCATAGCCAGTTATGCATCCCACTGCATATATGCTCTTTAACCATCGATCCTAAGACTCAAGCTTATATCGTGGTACCATATTTATATATATATATATATATATATATATATATATATATATATCCATCCTGATACAAAACATAAAACAACCATCTGGTGTGTCATCCAACTGATTCAGCTGACCTAACATGAAATATAAGTAGGAATTAATATTTTAGTTAATCCATTCCCTTATTCCAGAATAGGTAGGATTTAGTATTTTGAACAATCCGTTCCTAATATGCCACCGTCCCATACCAATGCATACAATCCACAAAATCCATATAATTGACAGAACAGAATAAATAGTTCATCAATTAAAATCCAGAGAATAATATAATGGAAATCAGATATCTAACTGAGTACATTATATTAAAATATTCACAAGAAATTTATAACAATCCATTTAATTTGCTAGAACAATAACAAGCAATTAAATCCTCCATAAACATTGACAGCATGCAAATCAGTAATTAAATTTCATGTTATCCTATTATCTAGCATAATAGTATAGATGAATACATTTCTGGGATTTTAACATGCTTATATAAATCATTTAACCCCCCCCCCCCCCCAATTAAAGTCCAAAATTACACTTTAACCCCTGAAGTAAAAAAATATCAGAACTACACATACTAGTGTAGTTGCAGCATGAAGCCGCTTCCCCTAAAGAGGGAGTCGGCTCTCCCTCTTGAGGAGCCAGCTCTTCCCCTTGGGGACTCCTTAGAGAGCCAACTCTCCATGAGGGAAAGCCGGCTCTCTCTCTCCTGGAGCCGGCTCTCTCCATCTTAGAGAACCGTATGCTGAACCTCTTCGTCTTCTTCGCCTCCGGCGATGTTAAACACCTCTGTAACTCTTTATTTAGGTTCTTAGGAGTTCAATCTATGTCCCGAATTTATTCAGAAATTCATCCAAACCCCAGTATGCATCATTAAAACATTTAAACCACATAATATGAAGCGATTGATATAATAAATCAATTTCAATTAGCAACACATAATGTAAGTAAAATTTTGAATTACCAAGCATACAAGATCATTTTAATGTCCGATTAAGTCCTGGAGATTATCTAGGCATGCACAGAATACAAGTCTAAGGGAAAGAGTAAGATATAGAACTTGCCTCTAGGTTTCGGATTGAAACCTTAACCTCTACTTCCTAGTTTTTTCAGCGATCATTGGCCTCCGTCGAAGTCTCCTACTGCTCTGGTTTCAACCCTCGAACAGCCCTCAATCTACCTCATTGATCTGACCTTAAGTCCTAGGCCTAAACCCTAGTTTCTTCTCTCTCAAACACTCTTTGTTTTCTCTCAAACCTCTCTGTTCTTTATCTCTGCCTCCACTGTTACGTGAATAGGGTTCTAAAACCCTTGGCAGGCACAACTTTACATATATGTAGGTTTATACAAACCCTAATCCCAACCCAATTCCAAGTCGGCTAATCATAAAATAAAAGAAAATTAAAATGTTATTACATATACATACAAGGTCCTACACGTGATAACCAAATATATATACATAATTTATAATTATATATATATATATAACCTACTAACATACTATTACTATTATTAACATCAAAAATAAATAATTAATAATAATAATACCATATCCTCTTAAACATATATACTCAAGTACATATACAACCAACCATATATGGGTAATTATCCATACCCATAAGCAAACCTTATTCAAGTAGTTCATGAGATCTAACTGTTGGTCCATTACTACTATCCAAATCCCTCCTTTTTAAACTAAAAATAAAATAAAACACACATTTAATCAAGCAAATAAAATTACATTTAAACAACCACATCATCTTTTAACAAATAATTACATACAATAATTAATTTAAAAAAACACTTAAGCACAAACTTATAATTAAATAGTTAATTCATTTAAACATATAACATGAAGCCATATAAACACATAGCCACGTAAGCAACTAAAATATAATAAAAAATAATAATAATAATTAAATCCCTTTTATATCCTTTTGAAAACTAGGGGTATTACACCTTCTCACCATCTGTCCTTCCCCATGGCCTTCTTATAGTATAATACACATATAAAACACACTTGCTACACACACACACACACACATATACATGTGGATTTCTGGGTTTAAATTAATTTTTTGTGGGTTTGCGATAGGGAGTTCAGATGGTGGCTCATCGGGAAACATGGGGGTAAGGGGCTTTGACGTGAACCTAATGCCGCCGCAGTAGTGGTGTCATCTCCGAACAGTGCGGCGTCATCGTTTCAAATGGATTTTTGCATTTACAAAGGCGGCGGATCAGATGGTGGAAACAGGAGGGACGGCGGCGGGAAATGATGTAGTCGACAAGGATGAGAACGATCTGGCTTGCAAAAAACTCCGGTGACCGTGACATCCCGCCGAATGATGAACGACCACGCAATTCGCCGCCGAAGGTAGGTACGTACTCAATGTATCAGAAGTTTTGGTAATGAAATAATTTATAAATATGCTCAAGATAGCATAAAGGTATATTATAAAAAAAGACAGCATAATGGTAAACTATATATGCTGTACAATTATGCAGACTGCAATTATATATATATATATATATATATAATTGAAGGCACCTAAAAACTTGTTAATTTTTTGGTGTTTCAAGAAAGATTTTAATTTAGATGGAGAGGGAAATAAAAAGTTGAATATTTCCCTCGATTTGATTCGCACTCCATCTCATTGCAGCTTTAAACACCAAAGCGGGTGAAGTGTGTGTTTGTGTTAAAACTTAAAAGCTAGATTAATTAGAGCCATTTGATTTTGTTCTGTATTCATTGAATTTAACTTATTCAAAGCCATGGCTAGTCTGGGTCTGTTTGAAGAGTCTTGTTCCTACAAAAAACAGTGTCCAAACTGCAATCTGGGAAGTCCCCAGAGTTTTCATGCTGATCGTGAAACTGAAGCCCAAGAAACTGAATTGGGTTTCGCAGAGGTGGGCCGAAGTCATCACCGGAGCTTGGCCAAACTTGAGCTTTCCGTTGGTTAATCAAGTTGTTGAGTCTTTTAAGATTGCTGAACTTTTAAACAAAACTCTTGCCAGAACTGGATCAGTTCAGTCATGTTGTTCGTCGTTGCTGAATATTCAGTACGTGCTCACCCTTGAATCTTTTCTCGTCGATCCTCTCATAGCCATCGGAACTATTTAGCGTAATTTTGGTTTTCGCCGGCTTCAATGGAGATTTTAAGTGACCACAGTTTGGGAATTTTTTTTAAAAAAAGATGGTTTTGGGTACCCTTTTAGTCATTTCACATAATTTTATTTTTTTATATATATTATAAAATATGTAACTAAGGGCATTTTAGTCTAATTTTATCTTAAATGGGTAAAGAGGACCTATTTGCACAAATATCATAGTTTAGGGGCTTTTTTGCACGTAAGGGGTACAATATGCACTGTAAGCATACTTCAGGGGTGTTTTCTGCACTTCACCCATTTAATGAAGGGCAAATTTCACGAAACCCCCAATACTATCACTTTCTTTATCAAATACCCTCAACCTACTTTAGAAAACCCCCCAACACTATGAAAATTGATCACATTGCACCATGTCTGTGATAAAAGGACGAAACTATCCTTCTGATATACCAAATCAATTAAAAAAGCCAAAATAGGTATTTTACCAATAACTAAAATACCCTTGGTGACATTTAAGTCACCAAATCACAAAACGACCGCCTCTTGAGTCGTCTCCGGCTATAGAAGGTCCTTCGTCAATCAATAGGCCTTTGTCTGAAGAACCTGCAACTATACCTTCTACACCAAACAGCACTGCTTTCAACATACTCGACGTCAGATCAATCATTGTTGGTTTGTTTAGCGTCGCTTTGGTTGCCTTTAATTGATCGGAGGTTTCTCTCTAGACGTAAATCGCGCCGAAAGGTGGCGGCTCTGCCTCTTCTTAATGGCACTCATCCCCATCTCCAACTACCGGCAATTCCACATACTGGATGGCCGCAAGCAGTCCTCGTCGCTGATTGCGTTGCACCCACCACCAAAATCAGCAACGTTAAACCCTGTGGGGTGGTACTCCAAGCTTCGGAACTGAAACCCATCTTCGAAATTGACCTTCATCCGACCTAGTCACGACAGCCATCACCATGCCCAGCTCCCTGCCATCGCCACCACCGGTCATATCACAGTCAGCAGGAGCCATTCAAAGCCGAGTCATCCATGGCCGAACCAGCCGCTACCAACAGTCGAGCTCGCCGCTATTCCGCGCTCTCTGCTGTGAGCCGTCCCGTCATCTCTGATTGCCGTCACCGGAAATCCTTTTACGTCGCTCTCTGCCGCCTCTCTGTAGGTATTCTCAACTTCATCATTACACCACATACATTATGACGTCTTCACCACCGGCGCAGCCATCTGACGTCGCTCTCACCACCACCCTCTTCCGTTGCTCTCTGTGCATCGTCAACACCACCAAAGCCCACATACTTTGCATCCTCTGCCAATTCTCCATCGATCTCAGCTCCTCTCTTTCACCTCCCTGGCCGACGAAGTCATCACACAACGTTTACTTTCTCTCTCTAAAACTATTCTCTCTGTATACATATTGCTCTGTCCATATCAACACACAAAACACAGTCGTTTTGTGCTTTGGTGACTTAAATGTCACCAAGGGTATTTTAGTTATTGGCAAAATACCTATTTTACCTTTTTTAATTGATTTGGTATATCAGAAGGGTAGTTTCGTCCTTTTATCACAGACATGGTGTAATGTGATCAATTTTCATAATGTTGAGGGTTTTTTAAAGTAGGTTGGGGGTATTTGATAAAAAAAGTGACAGTATTGGGGGTTTCGTGAAATTCGTCCTTTAATGAATGATCGAAAATCTTGATTAGTTACTCAGGATGGGAAATCCCAGTCAGCTGCAAGAATTCTAAGAGAAGGGTTATGAGCTATGACTTGTGACTCGAGAGGGAATCGGAATCTCTCATGTGTCATAAGAAGTCTCGTGCCAATGCAACAACTTTACATCACTTATACAATAATTATCTTAAATCATTTATACAAAAGTTAACTTTATATTGTGTTTCGTAATATATGTATTATGTTCCTTATAGCAATACAGGACCCGTTTAATTAATCAGCAAAAATAGAGTAAATAAAATAAATTAGTGTCATACTTTCAAACCCAAGTAATTGCTTAACGGTAACGTTTCTGTTTGTTGAGCTTATTTTTATTTCAAAAACAACATTTTAGACACTTTCTTTCCTGTAAAAATTTAAATTACACTTTAGACAACTAACCAGCTCAACTTGTTCATACAAGTGAGAGCAGAATTGAAGACAATATATACAAATGGCTATTTTGTATTTTTTAAGAATCAATAAATTATTTCTCAAACCTTCAAACAAATATCAAGAAGAAAAAATACAACAAAAACATTATTTTTATTTCAGTGTAAATTAGGAGTACTAGTTTACCTTGAAATAAATGAATTGTGAATCCCAAAGGTTAATTTAAATGGATAAGTTATTTGTCCTGATGCCTCACAAAACATCACAATCTTAAAATTCACTTTCCTTGAATGCAAACAATTAGTGGAGAGGGGAGTCACTAGTATCCAATAGAGAAAAAAAAAATGTGATTCTAGAATTAGAATTTAAAACAATCTAAATATTCAAGTTTGAACTTAAATGTTCAAATTTGTGATTACTTAAAAAAATTCCTTCATAAAAAAATAAAAAGTCAAATACTTAATTTTTAATCTCATTAAATAGCTCAGGACGGTGTATTTCGAGATTGGACGTTATTAAGCAGACCACTTAAAGGGCCTACATCATATCTTCATTGACATTGTAAGACGGCCCACGAAAAATTAGGTTCAAGCCCAAGACTTGTACCATAAGTCGCACAAATTGACGCAGACTTGCTAGACATTACTGCTTGGACAACAAGTCCATTTTGCTTGTCTGAAAAGTTAAAATCCAAAACCCTAAGACCATAAATCAAAACCTCTGAAACCTCATCGTCCTCTCACCTTCGAAGCTCTCTCTCACACTCTCTCTCATTCTATATATATATATATTGTGTATATATTATCAATGGCATTTACTGGAGGGCGATTCAAGGAGCTATTCAAGAAATACGGCAAGGTCGCATTGGGCGTGCACTTCTCAGTCTCAGCAGCCTCTGTCGCAGGCCTGTATGTCGCTATCAAGAACAATGTCGATGTCGAATCGATGCTCGAAAAGGTCGGTATGGGAGGTGTCTCCACCACCAAAGCAGAGGAACCCAACACCCAGCAACTGCCCCAAACAAATTCCGAGATGACCAATGGGTACATTCTCGATGAAGCACCGCGAGGTCAGGAAACTACGACGGCGACTAAGAAGAGGAATCGGACGGCTGAGTTGGCTGCTTCTAGTGGTGGGGCTCTCGCTCTGGCTGTTCTTTGTAATAAGGCTCTGTTTCCGGTTAGGGTTCCGATCACTATCGCTCTCACGCCGCCGATTTCGAGGTTCTTAGCGAGGCGTCAGATTATCAAGAACAGTGTATGATATTGCCTTTTACTGTCTTAACCTCTCTTTTTTGCATTATATTGTAGTGTTTTATGATAGAAGTGGAAGTTGTGAACCTTATGGATTATCAAAGGAAAATAAGAGATGGGAACTTTATAATGTCCAGAAATTCTAATTATATGATGTTTTAAAATTGTTTAATTTGATAAGGGTTTTAGTGGATAATGTTCAATTGTTTATTGTATCAATTGTATGTTGAATCGCGTTATTTTGACTAAAACATGAAGATTAAGTGTTTGGTTGCCTTCAATTTGATTACCAATGAATTAAAAGGAGTAAGAACAGCTGGTTAAACAGATGTGTTTTGGCCCTTTGGGTTCCTACTAATATTGTCATTTTTTCTTAATTTTAAAATTTCTAAGTGTTTTAGTTGTAAGGAAATTGAGTAGTGAGGACAGAGAAAGGAAAAGGAGAGAGCATCTTCTTTACTTGTTTGATAGTTTTTGAGGAGGGAAAAGAAACGAGGGATGGTGAGCACTCTTCGGCCCTACTTCTGTTTTCCTCCCAAAAGTGGGAGAAAGTAAAGCAAAAACAAAAAATATGAGTTGCTTATTTCTGGTTTTGCATTTAGTTGTTATTAGAAGTGATTTTCTATTTTGCTTATTTCTGGTTTTGCATTTAGTTGTTATTAGAAGTGATTTTCTATTTTAACTTTCCTCTAACAAAATAAAACATCTCCGTTCATTTCCCTCCTTATAAACTCCCTTACGAGGGTTGGAGGAGGTTGTCACCTTCTCTTTGTGTTCTCTCCTAAAACTCCCAAAGAAGTGGAGGAGATATTACATTCCTTAACCTTCTTTTCTCTTTCCTCATATGATAAATGGTGTTCTTGTTTTTTCCTTCACTAAAAACCTCCCAAACAAAAGAATGAAAAGAGGGCTAGATTTTCTTATGTCTGAAGAAGTTATGTTTCTTGTTATGTTAGACTTCTTCATTTGAGGAGTCTCCCATACTGTTAGAATAGAGAGATCTAGGTATGTGGTTGTAATGCAACCCTTGGTGTTAACTTTGACAATTTGACCATTAACTTGATGTAGGAATTTCTGAAAGAAGTGTTAAACTGGTGTTGTTGTCCTCGTTCACACACATACTCGTCTCGTTGTTTTCATGGTGCATTTCACAGGGTGCACTCCCTGGATGGCTTTTGTCGTTTACTTGTATCTATTAATAGATATGTATCTAGTCCAATTTGATCCAAGAAAAACCCCATTGAATATGCAGAGTGTAGAAACTAGAAACTATACATTGGTTGGCAGTTGATTTTGTTATGTCCCAAAAGGTTTATATATATATATATATATATGCTTTGGTTAATAGAGCTGTTTAACCAAACTGTAAAGTCAATAAGTAAACAGTTTTTTAAGTTTTTGAAATTGTGAAAAGCACTAGCAACATTAGAGAGTTTCAAATTGCAAAATTAGGGTAATTTACTTATTTTATTCATATTGTACGTGTAGATTATTAATGATTTTAGCATATCTACTTGTATTTTATTTTATTTTTTAAAAACTATATATTGTGAGATGTTGTGCACGAATGCTTCTTCCTATTGAGAATTTTATTTTTATTTTTTTCATAATAATTGAAATTTTAAAAAATGAGGAGATGACTGTTGTTTAGTTTGCTGTAGAAAATATTAATGAGGCTGAGATTTTTTGAGTAATGTTTGGTGTTTGATCTTTAAAAAAAAAAAGAAACTTTGATTTTTATCATCAGTCCATACATTTGTGATGGACCAGAAAATTGATGCCTGTAGGTGTAGAGCACCCTCAATATCATCTATATTTGCAAGAACATATGTCTTTTTATATAAACATTCTTATGCATCTTATATTTAATTTTTGTTATTTTTATTTCAACTTTTATGCATTTATACAATGTATGTATCAAAAAATATCATCCATTGTCTGGACCCTGAGTTTTATCACCAATACTGATTTATCTTGAGAACTCTCAGAACTATGCACAACAAAAAATCTAAATCCTTGGTGCCATGTCCAATGCAGGAAGAAATCAGTTGGTTCGTAAACAAATTAGTAGCATGCTATTAGATATAAAATAATTAAATGAATAACATAATTTTCCTTGTACTGAAGTACATGAGTAACATAATTCTTATCAATTTTGTTATTTGCACAGATGTAATGGTGTGAGGGACAGGCCTTTATTCCCCTACTCTTCCGGTAGTATAATGTCGTGAATGAGTAATAGGGTTCATGTCATAACTTGGACTAATACCATAAGGAGAAATATTTTTGTTGGGAACATAGCTCTAGCTTAGTTTTTATCTCAGATTTTTAATAATTTGTTGAATGACATAGTATACAGCATGTTAACCTCATGGCTTTAATGGATATTGAATAATGGCATTTTTCAATGCATAACATGTAAAATGCATAAAAGAAGGGTCATTAAGCAGTCTGGTCTCTGTTAATTGAGGGTGCTGGAAGGTAATTCAAGCTATCTATCTATTATCCAACATATTATTACTTATATGATATGCTTATAATGCTTTTATATTTGTAGATACTATCCTCAAGTCAGTTTAGGTTAACAGCTCAAGACACTGAAATTAGAGAAGAATTAAAATAAGAAATCAGACACAACGACAACATACATTTAGTAATAAAAGGAAGAAAATATATTATATACTTGTGATGAAAATATTTTTGGATTAGGTTTGTGTTTAGTGCCTTACTTGTAAAAGAAAGAACAGGATGGATAAGGCCTTTGATTGTGACTCAGAGGTCCTGTGTTCAATTCCTGAGGCATCAAAAACCTTCTTCCTAGACTTACCTAATGCCCATGGTTTGGAATGATTGAGGGTATCCGAAGGGATTAGTCACCCCAGCGGAAGGGGATTTGGACACGGACAACCCTCCATAAAGGAGGAAGAAGATGAAGGATTCATAAAAGAATATCAGAGTAGTAGAAAAGATACAGAAGAAAGATTATAAGATTTGGGGGGTTTTGCTCAAATTACAGAAACTGACTGAAGCAATTACTTAGAAATGTATTTCTGTTTGTTGTACTGCAGCAGTACTGTCTGTATGTTGCTGTAGGAAACTGTTCATGCTACAGCAATTGTTATTTTTATGTGCTTTTAGATGTATAGCTTAGATTGTAAGATATTAATAGATAGTATTAAGGACTATTACCATATAACACACAGAAGTTAGGGTCGTCGTTTGGTCCAATGGTAAAGCTCGGATTGGCAATTCTGGTTTGAGTGTGAGAGCCACTTTGTTCACATGTTAGGTCTATCTCCACTCTTTCCACCCATAGGTAATACCAACACCGAATGATGGTTGTATGTATGTGAATATATGCATACATATATAAGTTATAATCAGCATTCTGAACCTGGTGAAAGGTAAAAAAAAATTATTGTCAAACGTGAAAAAAAAAAAAAAATTCACTTTGTGGAAACAATATCAAAGTTAGGACCGTACCTAATCCACCCCTTCCGAGCACTTTTGGTTGGTCGGACCAACACTCACTGAGTAATAGCTTTTCTTTTTTCCTATTTTTCTTTTACTTGTATGCTATTCTTTAAGGAAATAAAATCTCCTTTCTAGGCCCGTGGAACCAGAAGACCAGCACTTGGTTGTGTTTAAATCTTGTTCTTTCTCTTGGGAAGTTTCCTTCAATTTGACTACTGCTCTCTTAGTCCTGAAGAATGTGATTAAGATCAAGGCTAGGCTTCGCTTTGTAGATATTCTAAGCTTTGCTCATCAGAGCAATGCTCTTTCAATTTTCTTCCCAATCTTCATTTGTCCTTGTACCAGTAATATTATAAGCCTAGCAGGCCTATTTCCCCCAAATAAGCCTACCGCATACATAGCTTGGTAAAGACACCAGAACTTATCCTACTCAACCCTGGAATTCTTTTTTCTGCACTCTGGAGTAACTTCTAAAAAATGAACAATCATAGCAATTTTAGAAATCGTGATCCATCTGTTGATTGTTCCACATCAAATAAGCGTTCAAAGTTTTGTTGTTATGGCAGGGTATGGTTTAATTGATATTAAGACCAACGGGAGTGCTATGGAGATGCGTGGAATCATGATTTTGATCACTTGAAGCTCCATTTGCCAATGATTCAACTATGGAAGGATTAATAATGTGATCTGATGTTTACCTAATGCTACTTGTTTTATGTATGATCTCACAATGACTTGTCCCTTCCCATTGCCGCGCAGCTTGATCCTTTTTGAATCTCACAGCCCTTTATGGAAGTGTTTTTTTAATTTTTTTTTTTCACTAGAGCTTTTTGGTGCTTTCCATCTTCTCATCGAGACAGTGAGAGGTTGTGAAGCTCGGCGGACTACTATAATCTTTTTTGCTTGAGCCATCAGACTCAGCTATGGAATATGATATTTATGTGTTCATCATTTTTATTGTCGTTCATTTGCATCATGAGTTTGAAATTCATAGCTACACTGTTTGTTTGCATCCTTTGGTTTCTTTAAGTTGTGGTGGCATGTAGCGATGAATTTCAAACTTATAAATATATATATATATATATATGTAGCTATGCATTTCAAAAGTCCACCTTTGTTGTCATTGGTTGAAGAGTTCCGCAATATATGTGATTTTATTGAACCGAAATCCTTTTTTTTTCCTGCTAATTGAGTCATTTCACGGGCAAGCAAAAACTCTTCAACCATAATTTTGATTAACTCGACATTAAGGGACTTACTGCGGATAGCACAGGCCCGGGAAAGGAAGATAAGAGTTCCCTCAACAGAAGAGCAAGCTGGATATCCATTAGACGGACGTTTTTTAGATGGAAAAACGACCGAGGAAAGAGTCCATAAACGAACGAGAATGGCCATGGAAGCCATGTTTGATTTCGGAAGCTTTGTAATTGATTGGACTTGGAAATCTGAATGTTTTACTTTCACTGTAAAGGAGACTTAGCATCCAAATTCTAATGTTTTTACTTGAATCATCACCTTAAGAGATATTAACATCGGATTACAAATTGGAGGAGATAATAATACTCATGTTATAAGGTTCAACTCCAGTTGTAATTCAACTCATTTTATGTTTGGGAGGCACCAAATTGGTGCATGGTGCTTTGAAATGAAAATTAAAGACTTTAACCCTCAACCTTCGGTTATGAGATACCACTAGACCATACAACATATGAAAACAATTAAGGAAAGTATTAAAAAAAAAAAAAAAAAAAAAAAAAAAAATTACCAACTAATAATTATCAATTTATCACCTAAAATTTCAATAATTATAATTCCTCTTAAGGACTTAATTTTCAGTTTCATAAAACTGTTTAATTTTGACCATGATTTAAATGCTTCACATTAAAATACCATTTGCATTACAATGGCTCAGATTTGTAATCTCTGAGCCTTTCCCATTACCTCCTCTCATCCCCCTTCCAGACACTTCAACGAGAAATGCATGTAACATGTCAAATTGTTAAATCCATATCTATTCTGCAAGAGTCCCTAAAGTGAGAATGGTGCTTTCACAAAAACAAATCACAATTTATTTATTTTTTATTTTTTCTGTCAGTGGAATGTTAGTAATGTACACGAACTACATTTGAAGAATTTTGTGTCCTTTTACACGACGCAACAATAACTCACAACTTTGAATGCAAGAAAGTGCAATGCGCAAGTTCTTTGTGAAGTACCATTTGTACAACAACGTTTATAAAAGATACAACAAACTGCCATAAAAGAATTTGGAATGTACTTCGACAAAAAATTGATACATCCATTCTGAATGAAAGAGATAAGTTACTTATAAAAAAACAAAAAATGAACAGCCAATGCAATACCCCAACTGCCTTCTTAAACCCCAAAGATGAGAGAAAAAAAAAATAGAGGTTAGAATCCAAATTCAAGATAATGAAGTGTGCCCATTCCCAGTCTGCTGTGTTAAATGCTGTGAAATTTCGTGCGACGTAGCAGAGTCGGTAGACCCTGTAATTTTGTTCCAAAAGTTCAGGCTGCCAATTTTTTAAACAATTACAAAAGAATGTTTCTTATCCCAAGTCAAATTATAACACAGCTAAAGCCTGTACATTTGAGTACTTTAAAAATTGAGACATCATCAATAATTAAAAAGGCTAACCTCTTTGGCTTGACGAAGAAGTTTTGAGGTTGGCCCGTAAAGACCACTACTATGATTGCTGCAGATGCTTAAACTCGTGACAATCAGCTCCAATTTCATTGAGCGCCAAGTAAAGCTTCGGAACAATCTTAGCCAACATTAGCTTGAAACCAACTGAATTTGCGTTCGGTTTGCTCTTATCACTTAGAGAGGCATCCTTTGTAAGAGAGCCGATTAAAAAGCCTTTCATATAAGTATCACAGGCCTTGAGGATGTAATAACCGCGCCTCCTGAAATGTTCTCCAACAAGCTCTTCAAAGTCCTAAACATGTTATTAACATGGTCACAATTCAAAAATCATTAGTCTAAATTTTAGCAGCAGTGTGTAGGAAATAGAATCATCATATTAATTAAAATGTAGACAAAAACAATTCCAGACAAGACAACTTTTATTATTGAAGAAAAAAATAATAATAACAAGAGTTTGTATCTAACTCAACATCACTCCTTCACATGTCCACAACGCCCATCCTGAATAAAAGAATGAGAATGGAAGAAAAGTGCAAGAACCAAATATAGTACAATTTACAAGATTATGCTTCTTGATTATGATAAAATGCATGCAAGACACCTCATTCAAATTTACCACATATTATGCATTTATTATCAAGCAACTATTTGTTTCCATTATACGATGCCACTGACTATTAGAAATCTTTGTTGCATGGTTCAGCCGATCCCACATTCAATAGTCATATTAAATTCCAACCGAAACACAGAAGCATGCCACCGCATATCCAGACATATATGCACAATTGCAGTTTCAGTCAAACAAGACATGTGACCTATATATTGACATGTGATTCATGTGGGCAAGGGGCAGCAAACAAAAAAGAAAAAAAGAGAAAAGTACAAAACAAAATGTGGATGATGGGAGTGAAACTGCCATGGAGCTTATAGGCAGAGCAAATGGGAAACATATAATTTTATATGGTACACAAATCAGAGTTTGGTTCCTTCGGGGTGATGGAGGAAAAATGTACCCATCTGTCACCTTAATCGCCACTATGCATGAAATTTTCACCTCAAAGCCCAATATGAGAGAAAAAGGTACAAAGCACATTAATGAAACTAGAAGAAAACATGAGGAAACAGTAAAATTGATGGCCAAGGGATACCCAAACCTTCCATAATCTTTAGTGATCACTCATAAGAGTAGCTTCAAGATTTTGGCCATTAGAAGCACTTGATTGATGAAGCAGAGAAGTGCTTCAAGAGTCTAATGCTAGTAAAGATGAACAAAGAACATTTAATAGTAAATGGCTATATCACCACTCTAGACCTTTTATTAGTTAGTCCCCATAGGCCCCCGCACAGGATATTTTCTGAAAACAAGTCCTCGAGAATGCAAAATAAAAGACTCCTTATTCTTATTTATGTTTATTTTCCCTCATTCTTCTTTATAGTTAATTTTCATCTTTGATTTATGTTTACTTCTATTGAAATTTAATTTACCAAATAATGCCAGCTTTGTTTTATGGCACATAATGTTAGGCACCAAGAAACAACATGTTTAAGCATAATCAAAACAAGGATGTTGAGATTGACTAGAAAGGCAAAAGTAAACAAAATAACAGAATATAAAAGAAAATATCCATGAAGAGTTATAGGTGAGGGGAAGTTATTGAATAGATGAGATGAGGATAACCGCCAATGTACAACAGGAGTGATCTAATTTAAATTTAAGGTTTAACAAAGACAACTAGAACTCCTAAAAGATGCAAAATAGGTTATTAGAATGACCAGGAGGGCACGTGATCAAAATAGAGGATATAACTAAAACTAAAGCTGAATAGGAAGAAGAATTTGTAAAGCTGAAATACAAGCAATTTACTTGCAGGTTAAAATGATTAGAGTTAAGTTATTTTTTCATTTTCATTTATATTATATGTAGTAAAATCCAATGCAAAGCAACTAGCAAGCTTGTTGAAATCATCGTAGCTAGTATAGATTGCAAAAATAATCAAATAAATAATAAAATCAATTAAATATCACAAGTTCATAACCGATGCCCATCATAAAGTATTGTTTTGGTCATTAACAGCAACAGCAAAATGGCATCTCCAAAAAACAGAAAAAGGCAAAATATGAGGAGTAGTATGTCACCTTAGGGGGCTTTCGAATAAGATACATCATTGTTTTGCAGTTCAGCAAGAATGTATTCTCGTTATAGGACAACGAATTCTTCTCTCCCTCAGCCGTTCCAATTTGCTTATCATACCCAGCTTCATTGAAATATGGCTTGGAATTTAGCACGAGCCCCTGGAGTGAAACAAGTACTTGAAGGATGCTCGAGGACAAAGGATCCCAGACTTCATTTCCTCTGCCAGTCCAGGTATTTAAAAGGCTAAGGCACACCTTGCCTTCTTCGTACAAATTTGGATTTATTCGCCACCCACCAGAATGATAGTATGCAGACTGCAATATTTCAGAAAATATCCGGGGAAAAAAAAAATTAAAAGCGTAATAATCTTTATACCAAACTCAAGGGGATTCATGCAAACTGAGTAATGTAAAATAAGATTCTCAGGTTTTGACCATTAGAACTGATTGGCTCCAAAAAAGCAACATTAATATTTCTTACCGGTGGAACGTCAGGATACTCTGGTGGAAGGTGAAAGTCAAAGAAGAAAAGGCCATCCTGGTAAGGTGTCCCATATGCTCCAACTATCACCGCCCTCAAGAGATCCATTTGATCTTCGTAAACACGTACAAAAATCCCATCTGTTTAACAATTTTTAACTGTTTAAATCATCGCTGAAGATAATGGATAGTCACCAGAATATTAGAATTTAACATTAAGTCAACAAACTGACACAATGCTTACCAGGAAGATTATTCTGAAGGATACTCCAATCATTTTGAACCTTCTTGAGCCACTTCCTTCCAGCATTATTCTGCATGTGTGGTTAATGTGTGAAAGTCTAAATATTTTGCAGATCCTACAGTGCATTAACTTGATAATGGGACCAAGTTCAGATCAAGTTCAAAATTCCCCACCTATTTGTAATCACCTTGAAAATCTAAATCCTATTCAGACCTTCTATTAAGGAGATCAACTTGACACCAACCACTAACCTGATTCTTCTTAAAACCTTGAACACTAATAACCAATAAAAGTGATATGTCCTTGCCAATTTTGGAAGTGAAAATTACACAAGGATCTGAGACACTTCCAATTTATAAAAAATTAAAAGGCAGTAGATACTTGTAGAAGTCCACCAAATATGACAGCCTTACTACAAGTACAACATATTTTGTATGAAAGAATATAATGTTTGTACATACATATATGAGATAATGATATACCACCAAAGCCTTGGCTTGAATCAAATAGGAGGTTGAGCGTTTAAGCTTCATTGGGCGCATGTGTGTGTACGTAAATTTACCGATAGGGGAAAATTTTACATAAGCAAGGAAAAATTTTGATTACCTGTCTACTTGCACCAAGAAAATAATGGTCCAAAGGATCTTTAGTAATATCAAATCCTTTGAAACTGGAAGAGCGATCCTCAGAGCTTGCTGAAGTGCCATCTTTATTTGTAGCTTCATGCTCCATGTTGCTTTGAGCTTCTGCCACGTCCAATAAACCTGTGCCCTCTGCAACAGCATGTTCATCTCCTTTTCCATCAGAAGTTTGTGCTCCAAAATTATCAGCATCATTAGGCTTATGAAAGCTAGACTCATCTCCAGAATCTCCTCTCTCAGAGAAGTTGAGAATCCCCTGAGACTGAAGTTCCTTTTCACTAGAATCCAAACTTAATGGATCCAAGTGTTTTTTTCCTCGTGAAAATATTCCAGTGGCCAGTCTGGTTACAAATCCAAGTGCAGCTAAGGGAATAGACAGTGCTCCATTCCTTCCAGAACTTTCTCCAACCATTGTGCTCTCTTCTGACCCAGAACTGATGTCAGTAGCATTTTGTTGCCCAATTTCCTGAAGAGATACACCAATGACTCACACTATTAACTTGACCATAAAAAAGAAACAATTGATTATTGAGTGATTGAATAAATAGAAGCTATCATTCTAATAGAATTGAGGGGACAGTCTTTAAGAATTTTTAATAGCATTTTAATATATATGAACACACTGAGGGAGGAACCAACAATTTGATGTTCCCTTCAAGATAACCCAAGCTGAAACACCCCCAACATAATGATCACTTGGCCCGTGATATAAATCTTAAATAAATAGATATTTAAGATCACTAGACTAATGATATCTACATCAAGAGATGAGTCACCACTATAAAATCTTTTTTTTTTTCCTAGTTCACCTATAAAATCTTGCCAGACTATTTTCTGCAAATATTGATCCACATATCCAGGGGATGAAGCAACAGTAGGTCCAATTCCTGTTGCACACACCATGCATACTTGTGGCTAGAACACCTTCCTCTAGTAGACAATAAGCTTCCGATTTTTCCCTCTTTGTTCATAAGTGCAACAGTAAAAAATCCCTGTGGGGAAAACCCATGCGTAACACTATCCACTACCTTCCAGATGCCAACTGAGGCTAAGGGTTGTTGGTTAAGGTAAGAAAATTAGATATAAGGACATTCATAGTGCTGTTGCAAGCAGAAACAAACCTCTTTTGTGTTCTCAAGGGCATCCATCTCATCATCCTCAACTGTCTCCCAGCTAGCCGCATCATCACTAACTTCACTTCCAGCAGCAATTGACTCATCATCGTCGTCACGACCAACAACATAAATTGCTTGAGGCCCAACCTAATAACAAACCGAAGCTCCTGTTAATCAAGAACTGTGGCAACTTCCTTGTAAAGAAAATGAATAATAATTATATGAGCGGATATATTAACTGAAAAATGAATACGGAATTTCTTTCTCTTTTTTTTTCTTTTTTTTTTTTTTTTGAAAAAGAGAAGAATGTTTGCTCCAACCACCATTTCATGCCCGAAGAGTCATAAAATTCCTATTTTTCCTTAGCAACCAACGGCAATTTGAGGGGAAAAAAATCAGTGCCAACTATGACCTTTTAACATGTATCATTGACATCTCCTAAGCTTCTAATGTTACATCACCTACCTCCAATACATGAAATTAGATATATTAATTCAGCTTACAATTTGTTTCATGTAAGAATATAGTAAGAGCGAGCAATGAAATAAAAGAGACTACTGCCTTTAAGCTTTTCAAAGAAAGCAGCCAATGTCATTGGGAGGGAAGGAAGAGTAGATAAGTACTTGAATTATCAGTATATATAAAAACCAATTACTAAGCAGAGATTTAGAGGTAGATTATATTAAATTAATGGAACACGGTACAACCCCATGAGAGAAAAAGCAATTAATAGCTCAGAAGGCTTTGGCTAGTTAATATACCGTTGAAACCATCGCATCAGCCCATGTAACTTCGATATCACCATTTCTTAGACCAGTAATATTCCCAACCCAACCAAGATCTGAGAAGCCTGTACAAGCTTCGTCAATGGATGCACCCTCTTTCTTACATTCCGAAATTTTCAGATCTCTTTTAACCTCGTTTGGATCAGTCAGCTGCTGTGATTCCTCAACTGAGCTCCCAGGAGAAGCTGTTTGTGTATTTACAGAAACAGGTGACAACCGAACAACTACATCCCCATAACAATAGTCATAGTCCGGATGACCCTCAAGCTCATAGACGCTAACCACTTCCTCCTTATCAAACTCTCGGGGATCTTCTGCTCTGACAACTGGCTTTAACCACCTAACAGATGCTGTCCGTTCTTTCGCATTAACACTTTTCACAACCCCAACACGCCTAACTTCACTGGTGCAATTGCTATCATCAATGGCCTTCTCCACTACATACTGTTCTGCAACAAATTCATGATCACCAGGGCTATCAATTGGAATCAAAGTTGTGGAATCAAGTCCGCACTCTGTTGTTCCATCCTGCCATGCCACATCAACTCTTGTCTTAGTACTGATAATTAGAAGGGCCCTTTCAAAATTTTCCTCTTTTTTTCTAGCCTTCCTGTCTCTCCGAACCACAACTTTACGGATCTTTTTGCGATGAAGAGGCCACGGTTCATGGACAGGCTCCTTTGAAACTGACAATGAGCTACTGCATGAACTGGATTCTTGTGAGGCATTAATTTCTGTATTTTCGTTATTTCCATCAAATGCAGCCTCCATTTCAATGTCCATGGATCCACAATTCCCAGTTGATTCCTCTGCAGTGACAACTTCCGAATCGCACTCAAGTCTTGTTTGAATACAAACCAATTCATCATTTGTTGACAAACCCTTGTCCATGGAAATGGAGGACGATAATACAGGTGATGGAAGAAGACACCAATCACCCAATTGCCAATTTGCATGCGCAAAACAAGAAAGTGACTTTAAGTTCTTCGGACTCTGCTCTTCAGCCGGTGCAGTAGAAGAATCAGGCCCATATCCAGCAGATGCTATCCAATAAATAAAGACTGAGCCAACTGAAACTTTAGTTACTGTACCTTCCAACCGGTTAGCTTTCCACAAGCCAGTTAGCCACCTAGAATTCTTGAAAACTGATGAAGAGCTTGCCTTTACACGCTGGCCGGGATAGTAAGGGAAATGCCCATCTTCAAGGATATTCTTCCCAACTGGTTTCAGGCGCAGCGGATCAGCCTTCATAACTTTACACACAGAACCATCATCAAATAACACAGTCACATTATCCAAGACATCGTCAACTCTACCTAACCAGGGACCAAAGACTACATAATCACCCACAGCAAAATCTCTTACGCGTTTCACGTTTCTAGATGAGACATCTTTAAGAATAGATCCATCATTAGTTAATAAATCAACAGAAATATTGACATCAACCACAACACCCACTTGACCCGTTGGGTCTGAAGCAGCAGCAACGAAATCCCCATGTAAAAATCCCCTATCAACAACTATGACGTCATTAAGATTTTGTGATGTCTCAGAGTCGTCCATCCAAAGCACTCGAACCTGATCAGCTGGAAGAGGACCACTCTTATCATTGTTATCACTTCTGTTACTGTCACCACTCCTATTACCATTATCATTGCCATCAGTACCACTTTCCTCATTTACACCAGCCTCTTCATTGTCATTGTCATCGTCGTCGTCATCGTCATCTTCGTCATCAGTAATGCTGCTATCGGAATCCATGTCGCCCGCAACTTCAGTCACGATCCCAATCCTACCACTACTGTTGCCCCTTACAACATCTTGCCTATAAATATATGTATTATTCTGCAGATTCCTGACAACCTCGCTAGGTTTGCTTTCAGAACAAACACTTGGTTCGGATTGGCACAGGGTAACATCATCATGTCCAGTAGTTGTGGGTTCGCTGACTTTGGAAACATCACCGTGATACTCAGTTTCCATCTGTCAAAACACCAAGGCACAATGAGAAAATCATTCACAACCCTAAAGTTTAATCCAAAATATAAGCACAATGGGAAACAGCACAGCCATTCCTTAACCGGTATAAAAGATTCTACTATACAACAACATTTTTCGAATAATTTGGATTGGCCATGAACCCAATTGATATTCCACACAGTATAAAGGACTATGAATCAAATATTCAAGACAATTCCATATAACTGCTTGTCATCTTTAATTCCCTTGGACACCATTTTATATATAAAAGCCAGATTTACAATTGAAGTCAAAACCAGCCTTTGTATGAAATACAATCAACCCAAAAAACTCATATTTTGATATAACTATTCCCACATCATTACAAATTTACAATTATCTTTTATCAATTTCCTTTTTATATATTTTAAAGAATTTCATCTGTATCTTAACAACCTTGGGTTTCAAGTTACCAACAAGTAAAGAGGACATGAACGCCATACTACCTAAGACCTAAGGAACAGTAGTTTCTTCATCAGCAACTCATGGAAGTCATAGAATAAAGGAAAATCACCGGATAAAAGATTCCCTACCAAATTCACACCCACTGACAAATACCTCCACGCTGCTGTTTTATAATCAAAATAAAATACCATAATTAACCGAAATCTATCAAATTTTGTTTGGGTGCAAAACTAAAAATTAGAACAAAAAATTGAACCTTTAGACCTGATATATCGAATTCCTCCAGGACCTCCACTAAAATGTGTCATATCCAACTACTTTTTTGCCTTTGCCAACCACATACATAACATGTAGATTTAATCTTAATTTTCTTCCTTTTCCCTAAGCAACCAAACAGATTATGAACTAATCAATATTTCAAATAATGACAATCAGGACTCAGAAACCAAGTATTTCTATAAACAAAACCCTAGAGCAGCTCAAAAACTGCCAGATGAACCGACCTTCACTTAGAACCGATGCATCAACGAGCTCAAATTCACGCGATTCATTTGAATAATTATTTGAAACAAATGCATTAGATGACAGATTTGTGAACAGAATAAACAATCACGCCATTAATTGAAAAGGAAAATATATGCTACATATACACACGCATATATATGTATATATAATGATTGCAGAGATTGAAGAGAAATCTTTGGGAAAGAGAACAAATATGAAACCTTTGAAATCGTAGAATTTGAAGAAGCGACGGAGATGAAGACGCAAAGCTTCTCTTCTTTATTTATGGGAACGAACGGCTCTTCGCCGTTCTACTGATCGTAGAAAATAAAAAATATATGAAGGAGACGAGAGCTGAAAGCGGTGCAGGGGCAGAAATGTACTTTACGTGCCGTAGAAGTGTTTCGGCGTATATATACGCATATACGCGCGGGTTAGTGAATTACCCAAACTACCCTTGCGTTCCTTAAAATGCCAAATCAGAATCAATCTAGTGGATTCATCCGGACCGTCAAAACTCCAGACAGAAGAAGATGGTCTTCTCATATGCCAGATCATACTGACCGTTGATCGCTCTATTCAATTGTGTGTGTGTGTGTGTTTTGGTGGGTGTGTGTGTGGAGGAGGGGTTGGTTCGATGATTTAAAATTTGAAAACCAATCTCGATTAGGAAATTTTAATTAAAAAAATAAAATAAAAGATAGTAGTAATTTTGCTCGAATTCATGCTCATTTTGAGTATTTTACAACATCAATTTCATTTAACTATTTTGGTTCAACCCCTCAAAAAAAATAATTGTAATTGTCACAATGTCTCACTTATCAGAAGATTACAAAGGAAATAAGAAAAATATAATATAATAGAGAAGATCAGGTTCAGGAATTCATAGGTTAATCTTGTTAATATTTAGAATATATATATATATATATATATATATATATATATATATAAAATTAAAAAAAAATATTCCTCCTTATTTTAATCAAACATGTGATAAGCATCAATCCTTTTCTTTATTTTTCCCTTTTCTATTTTTAAATTAAACATACCTCCTTTCTTTTCATTTCCATCCAAATCTCAATTCAAATGCTATATGAAGAAAAGAATGAATCACAAGGAAATGACAAAAAGAAAGAAAAGAGAAGTATATGATTTGACCATCATATACTTTAAATTAATATAAGAAAAAAAAAATTTTCCCGGGGGGGGGGGGGGGGCGCGGGGGTGGGGTGTGGGGGAATGGTGAAAAATTGTAAAAGAACGAAAAATGAGGACCTCACCCTTTCCTCCCACTTTTGTAACGAAGGGATATGGACCTATGGAAGAGGCTTTCCAAGTATTTCATTCCAAGTTAAAATTTCATACTCAAGCAAAGAATTATGATTGTTTTGCAAAGAAAGCAAGCGGTTGTTATATAACCCAAGTAGATTTGAAGTGAGGGGAAGGAAAAAAAAAGTCTCTTTTTCAAAGGCGAGTGACCTACATTAAAATTCAAGTTAGGTTGTTTAAGGGTCACGGTAGCCCTACAAGATGCCACAGTGAAATCATACCTAATTGCTATTTAATACTAAATATTATACGGCAAAGATTAACTTGCTTAGAAACGATATGTTTAATAATTTGAAGAGAATAAAAAAATAAATGTATATTGGTTTTCTTTATTGGTCAAAGATTATTACAGTGTGATTTTGAAGTAAAACTCAGTTTATGATTAAGTGGGAGAAATTCAATTAAGATGGTTTGATCATATGCATCAAAAATCGAAGACTTCCCGTTGAGGAAGAATAATGTTACCTGACTATCAAAGGAAGACAAACAAACTCAAATCATAATCTTGGATAGAGTATATGATTCACACAACCAACCATAAATAATCAAAATTTATCTTTATCGAGTCGGTTGGAGATGATGAATGAATCAAGGGCTGGACCAGCGTCCAGAATAAAATCCAAAATAGCTTGACAGTAATTACAAACACCAAAAGGAGAAACAAATTGCATAATATAGAAGTAAAAGCAAGTGTTGTGGTTGATGACAGGTTCAGTCCAATAAAACCAAAAAATCCTTGTGGAAATTTTTTAAAGAAAACTGCTGCACCACCGCAAGAAAGCATTTCATAGTGCAAACCAGATGCCACTGGAGTAGAACATTACCCTGTCAAAACTCATCATCATCCTCCTCTGCTATATGCTTGGCAAGCTCTTGCTCCTGCTGTTGTCTCTCTCTCCTCTTTTCGGCACTTTCTTTCTCCTTGTGAGAATTAGGAGGAAATCGAAGAGCACGCACTGCCTCATTATGCATATTAAGGCAGAAAGCAATCCTTGAGTTAAATGCAATTTGTGGCTCGTTTGTAGAGTAGATGTCCCCAGTCTCCTTTGATACCATCCACCCATTTGCATGATCCACTGTGGCATCAATCGCACCATCTCTGATTGCCTTGGATACAATACTCTCAGCATCAGCTACTGGGTTTGGAGAGTCCAATCTCAGTTTTTTGGCTACATCAGCCAGCGAGATGCGGGAATAAGAGATGCTGATGTTGCGTAGGCCAGTCCTTATAACGTTATGACGCAGTCTAACAATCAAATTGTGGGTCCGGTCCAAACTGAAAGTACTGGAGAACTTCTCAGCAACAGTCTTGAACAGCTCCAGATCACCAATTTGAACAGCCTGAAAAAGCCCGCACATTGTCTTAATTGTTGGCAAAAGCTCGAGTAAATACCAGACTTGATGGAATGAATGATATGAGGAGATTCTATTTGGACAAATTCACAATCACAAGTATCATCAACCTATAATAATAAAAGTGCTACCCTTTCTTGACTAAGCAACTTCAAGAGACATTACCATCTCACTCCAAATTTCAAAATGACAAGTACAAATTAATCTATATTGAGACTAGTTTTTATGGTAAAACAAGCTAATCTTGAACCACTATTTTTCAGATATTGTTATTGGGGAAAGAATATACGTAAAGAAAACAGACTTCCATACTCACGTTTGTAAGCTCAAAGTAAGGCCTCAAAGCCTTTTCCATGCCTTTCTGCACAAACACAGTCCTCTCAGGGATTTCTCCTAACAGAAGGCGGACTATCACAGCCCACTTGTTGCATTGAACTCGGAAACCAAGAGCTGCAACAGGGGCTTTGCGAGCAGCTTGCAGGAGGGACTCTTTTGCATCTGTATACTCCAACTGAATTGTCCTAATCTTTCCAAGATAAAAGAGGTACCTGCAAAACTGCAAGAGAAAACAGCGTCAGAGAAAGCAGATAGCAAAATATAATCATTTTGACGTGCAAAGGCCAGGAGACATCAGAACAGTATATGATAATGAAAACCACCCCAAAGTGCACAAATGCACATATATATATATATATATATATATTGATCCTAAAATAATGACGGCAACAATAGTTAAGTTTTAGCCTCAATCTCTTTAAGTGAGCAATTAGAATGTTAAATCATATATGTTTCCAAACACTCAATGAAAACAAATGTATAGAACAAGAGATGTACTCCCTCTGTCCCAATTTAGATGTCGCTTTTGGGGAATAGAAATTTTTAAGGGAACATGTGGGACATGCCTTGTCTCCTTGGAAAGTTACTAATTTGCCCTTATATTCAAGTTTGAAATTTTAAACTCCAAGGACATATATGGAAAGATGTAAAATATATTGTTTGAAAAAGGAAAGTGGACAACTATTTTGGGACAGACCAAAAAGGAAAACATGACATCTTTTTTGGGACAGAGGGAGTATAACAAAAGTACCTTTGAATGTCAAAAGAGAGGATAGTTATGGCTTTTAGGCGTCTGAATTGAAATGGAAAAAAGAGGGAAAGCCAAAGAAAACAAGGAATGTATCTAGAAATAATTCAACGAGGAAAAGCCAAAGAAGACAAGGTAGGTATCTAGAAAAAAATTAATAAATCAATCTTTAATTAGAGAGATACTATCATAATGAAACACGATTCATGTTGCCAGCTAGCTCATCACATCTTTTTCTTTTTTCAAGTGCATTTTAAGAGCTTGTGTGGGTTTTAGCAGTCACTTATGGAGTTCCTCCACACAAATTTTATTCTCACTACATTCTTGACGATTCATATACTTTTATAAAAGATAAAAATTCTATTTTTAACATTTCTCAAAATATTAATATATTTTTGAACACTTCAAATGTTTATGCTCCCCAAAGTACACATGCATAAATATATTGATCCTAAAATAATGACGGAAACAATAGTTAAGTTTTAGTCTCAATCTCTTTAAGTGAGCAATTAGAATGTGAAATCATATATGTTTCCAAACACTCAATGAAAACAAAGGTATAGAACAAGAGATGTATAACAAAAGCACCTTTGAATGTCAAAAGAGAGTACAGATATGGCTTTTAGGCATCTGAATTGAAATGGAAAAAAGAGGAAAAGCCAAAGAAAACAAGGAATGTATCTAGAAAAAATTCAACGTGGAAAAGCCAAAGAAGACAAGGTAGGTATCTAGAAAAAAATTAATAAATAAATCTTTAATTAGAGAGATACTAGCATAATGAAACAAGATTCATGTTGCCAGCTAGCTCATCACATCTTTTTTCTTTTTTCAAGTGCATTTTAAGAGCTTGTGTGGGTTTTAGCAGTTACTTCTGGAGTTCCTCCACTCAAATTTTATTCTCACTTCATTCTTGATGATTCATATATTTTTATAAAAGATAAAAATTCTATTTTGAACATTTCTCAAAATATTAATATATTTTTGAACACTTCAAATGTTTATGCTCCCCCCCTCCTCCTCTTTCTCTCTTTCTCACACACAAACAAAGACCCACACAGAAGTATTGATGTAAGTGTATGTGTACTCTTTCCCTTTTCTGTAAGTTCTTACTACTCTTTATTTCTTAAAGCCCACTATCAGTCCTATCTGAAAACCAGTTCTGACCACTTGCATCAAGTATGTATTCTGACCATGTGTTTTGAAATTTTACCACACCAAATCTAATTTTTAAAATTATGCAGAGTCATATGTTGTTTATTTCATATTCAAGAAAAAAAAAAAATATATATATATATATATATATATATATTACATACACATATACATGTTAAACTTCAGCTCAGACAGTTCCACGTGTAGAAATGCCACTGCATATTCTTTAAAAATCTAACCATATTCAACAAGTGTCCTGCCTAAAAAGCGTAGGAAGTGATAATAGGAGTTGCCTGCTGGTTTGAATGGGCTTCAAAACGGGGTGCCTTTGACCTCAACTTCTCTGCCTGGTCATATAAGTTGTAGTGGAGGTAATTGCGAAGGAGCAGGTTGAGAAGTGTTTCCTGCATATCATCATTATATCAAAAGATACGACGCTGATGTTTAAAAAATAATTAATTAGTAATCCATTTGGAAAACAAACCTGACCCAACTCATCATGGCGCAAAGTTGCAATCCGGTGCAAAGCAAGGAGATTACTGTTAGAAAATGAGAAGTAGATTAGACACAGAATAGTGAAAGAAGAGGGAGGCTCTACATAGAAAGCATTTCGAGTAATCAGCTGAAGTAGCATTCAACTCTAATCCTGTTCTTTCTTCCTGTATTTTGTTGGAACATGCAAGTATATATTACTCTAGGACTTAGATAACACAAAGATGATTGCAGGGATAGGAATACATATTAATATCAAACTCACCCCCGAATCTCAGCTAGATCACCAGTAAGTTCATAGCTGAGAGAGTAATAGAAATAGAGCCTGGATGCTAGAACATCAACAGTTCGCCTATTCAGGTTCTTTAGACGGGCAGTGCTTGCTGAGGAACAAGCTTTTGCCTGAAGGATAGGTGGCCAACAACATAAGCTAAAAAAGAATTCACTAAACATTACTAGTTTTGTAAAGGAAATGCAATCCCTTGACGTGACTATATAATTCCGTACCTCATTGTATCGCTTCTGATCAATTAAAAATATCAGCACAAGCAAGTAGCAATAAATCTCAAGCTCGGGCAATGAGTGCTTTGCAGGAGATTGAGTGGCAGATGTTGCAGTATCAACTTCCATATCGTGTTCATCTCCCTAAAAAAAATTTAATCTTGTAAAGCTTGAGTGGTAAAAAAAAATGAATAATGGTATTGCCAGTAATAATATTAATACATATTAGCACAAACTTTCGAGTAAAAAAACACAATGAAGGCAGGCATTGTGAGCTTAGCCAGTGTACTTATGTATTGCACTACAATGTAGAGACTTCGTTGGGTTTATAAATAAGTTGATACTGTCTATAATCACATCAAAATGTAATTAGACATGACAAAATATATAACATTTAGTAAAATAATTATAATAATAATAACAATAAATGAATAAATAAAAAAACTGAAACACAATCAATCCTCATTCTGTTCTAAATCAACATAGCAGGCTTGCAATGAATTCATGATAAAATTCTGCAACTCCATGTTTAAAACACATTCTGGCCTCTATATGTAGAAGACACATGATGCATCAAAAAAAGATTCAACAATCCTATTTTTACCATAAAGGAGGATTAGCATGTGGATCAGGATTCCGGTTGCCAACTAGCATAGAAGCCCTGAACCATCTCTCTTTTTTTTTTTTCAAGTGCACTTTAAAAAGCATATGTTGGTTTTAGTACTCATCTAAGGAGTTCCTTCACTAAATTTTTTGATCATCTCCTTCACTCAATTTTTCAATTATCTCCTTTTTCATCTTCCAAACTCAATTTTTTTAAAGTTTTCTTCTCACTTCTCTCCCTTGAATATAGTGAAATTTTAATCTATACTAAAATTTGTCAAAATTTTGATAAACTTAACTTTTTCATTTTTCCTAAATATATATCAGCATATACCCCCTCTTTTACAAACATGCACAAAATTTGTCATTGTACAGACTAATTGGACAAAAACGGAAAGAAGATGCCTAGTTGTGAATTGTGATTGCATATAGCTTTGTGAATAAAAAGGATAAGCACCATTGGAAGCAAACAGAGCTTCTTTTTGTTTTTATATATCTCACAAGTATGTGACAAAATCACATCCCCTGATCATGTTTGTATCTATGTTTAACAACTTTAACCATACACACTTGTACACAGATGTGCATATATGTATATATACATTTGCTTATATTTTCACGGCATTTTGGGTTGTTTTAGAGTATGTTTTTGGACCACAATTCACATACATTTCAAATCGCTTTTTCCATTTTATACTTTACTATGATTCAGAGGTGTAATTACTTCATAAAAGCTACAGAAGCTCTCCTATAATGTTACCCTAACAGTTTTTCTACCAGCTACGAATCCCCTTTACAGGCAGGGCCAGCTCAAGCCTTGGGCGAGTTAAGCGGTTGCCTAAGGCCCAGCCAATAAGAAGGCCCCATAATTTTTTATTTCTTTATATTATAACTTTCCTAAAACAATTACAGTATTTTCTTAAATTATTAAACTTCAACGTATAGAGAAATTTGACAGTTGACCTAAAAGATTTCTATTCTTTAATTTTTTTTTGAGGGCCCCCAAATTTTTTTTTTATAACTTACCTAAATATTTGATTTTTTTTATATATTAAACCTCAACAAATACAAAATTTAATAGTGTGCAAAATATTTCTATCCTTGTATTATCTTCCTCTTTTTTTTTCTCTCTCTCTCTCGCATCCTCATTACATCAGCATATATACACACACATTAAAATTAAATATTAAATATATTTAAGTGAAAATTGCTTAAACTTTCTATATTTTTCTAAGACTCCTATTAATTTTTTTTTTCTTTTTTTTTTTTTTTCCTTATTCCTCACATATTTTTTCTCCTCTCTCATTATAATTTTTTTATTTTCATCTTCTCCACAGTTACAATTTACAATCTCACTCCCGAAGAAGGTTTTGAAATTTGAATACACTTATATTCTATTAAAGAATTTATTGGAGCATTAGACCAAATTATTCAAAATCATTTTTTATTATTCTGTAACTTAAATTAGTTTATAGTTTTATTAATTTTTGTTATCATAAAACTATATATTTTGTTTATAATTTTTATTTATATTGTTAAATATGACTATTAGAAAGCATATAGCCAATTAATTAATGATGGAACTAGAGTTTGGAAAACTTTTAGTCATAGGTTTAAAAATCACTAAACAAATAATCAGCTGGCATAAATATATGGATAGATCTAATTAAAAGGCCACTTTATTTTTTTTGCCTAAGGCCTCACATTGTATTGAGCCGCCCCTGTTTATGGGCTACCTAATTGATAAATACTTATAAGATATAAGTAGGATATACGACATAAGACATAAGCACACGTGCACTAAATACAGAAAGATCCAAACTCACTCTACTCAAGAATTACCTTGGGAAGATATGAAGATAACCGACCATGCACCTCTGATCCTGGTGAAAGAGCAAAATTCAGGAATGCATAAAGCACAGAGGTCTTCAGCTTCTGTCTTATTGCCATAGTTAAGCGAACAGCGCGCACAATTCGCCGAACCTCCCTTGCATATGCACCGGTCTCAATAACAGATGCAATCTCCTTCAATTCTGAAATTCAGTACGTCCATATAATATATATATATATATATATATATCAAAACAAATCAGAATTTATGTGCATATATATATATATACACACACACACAAACAGACATAGATGAATGCATATAAACAATTTTACTACTCACGCTGCAAAATAGAAGGACCAGTTGAAGAAACAGAATTGGAAGGAGCTGGAAGTTCTTTCATTTCCACATCTTGAGTCATTTTGTTGAAAATCTACCTAATCCACAAAAAAACCGAGATAAACTAATACTAATTGTCCATTCTTTAGACAGTCAGAAGCGAAAGATAAAGCGATAAAGAATCCAAATATCAAATAATTTTACCTCGAAAATCGAATTATCGGACAAAGTGAACGAATCGTGTTCGATCTGAAGCGATCCGCGACGGAAGAGCTAGGTTTTCACCCACTTTCTTTCAGTCAATTAATTTAATTCTAATTCTAAAGATACATACCATAGAAATACAGAGATAGAGAGGAGGAGGATAAGATTCCAACCTGCGATTTGTTGATTGTGAGTAGTGAAACCCTAAAATTATAGGGTTACGCTCTTCTCCTAGAAAGAACAAAAGCGTAGTGGTCGATGCGAGACTGATAAAGTAACCAAGTTCTCAGAAAGAAACTCTATAGGGGCTTTTCACGACAATGGACGACAACCAATGGGAAGTTGCTACGTTCGTGCAAGTAAGGGGCTTTTAGTCCGGATCAATTTCGTGTGTTTGTCAGACACAATTAAGGACATCTTGAATCAGGGAAAAAAAAAACATGGGACAGCTATGTTTGGAACTCTGAATTGATGGAAAATAAAATAAAATATAAAAGATTTGGAGGTAAATCTTTAATTTGTGTTTTTAAAATCTAACCTGGCGTGAAGGATGCGGATAACATATGTTATGTTTGATGTGCAAAAAAAAAATACAATGTAATGTCGATTATATCTATTTATTTGTTTGGTATATAATTTTACGTGAGAATAACTATCCAATTGAAATAAAAATTCATTTCACAACTAAACTTATGGAATAATGATTCCATTCCTCAGTAATGTTTTTTATAAAATCAAGTTCCCAAACACACATTCATGCTCTAAGTCTAAAAACCACCACAACCGCCGCGGACTTTCACCGTTGCCACCGCCTCTATTGTCTTCCACCGCGGTCACTGCCACCGCCACTATTATTGCCACCTTCAATCACCAAACCGCTGCCACCTCCACTGTTGCCTCTACCGTGGCCACTACCTTCCACCACTACCACCTTTGAACACTGCCACCTCCACAACCTTCTACTACCGTCATTTCCACCACCACCATCACCATTGTCGCGCCCTTCACCATCGCCGCCACCTTCCACGACCACTGCCGCCTTCCAGCACAATCACTACTGCCTTTCACCACCATCACTGCCATCGACACCACCGTAACTGCCTTCCATCACCATCACACCGTCGTTGCCTCAAGCCCTCAACTATCTTCCACCGCCTTAACTAACTTCCACCGCCACCTCCACCGACTTCCGCGGCCGCCACGACCACTGAATTCCATCACTACTGCTACCTTCCACCACCGTCGCTGTCACCTCCACCTCCACATCCACCTCCACCGCCACCAACTTCCATCACCATCACCACCTTTCACCGTTGCCATCATCCATCTCCATTGACTTCCATCACCACCACCACTGCCGCCACTTCCACCTCCACCACCACCGACTTCCATCACCATCACCACTTTTCACCGTCGCCGTAATCCACCTCCGCTGACTTCCATCACCACCGTCACTGCCGCCACTTCCACCTCCACTGCCACAGACTTCCACCATCGTTACCTCCACTGTCGTTTTCCACCACCACCGCCATTGTCACCTCCACTGCCTTCTACCACCGCCTACACCACTATCGTATTCCACCACCACCACACCACTACCACTATGCCTTCCACCATCATCACATACACCACCAACGTCTTCCGCCATTAGCACCACTGCCGCTACCACTACCACTGCCTTCTACCGACACTCTGTTACTTTTTGCCACCACCATCACCGCCTTCAAACACCTCCGCCTACATCACTACCGCTTTCCACCTCCACCACCATCAACCGCCGTTGCCATTTCTTTAAAAAAAATTATAAAAGAATGTTATTTTGTCAATTTAAATTATTTGTCACTTATAAGGTTATTTTTTATAATTCAATTTGAAATTCATTATTTTTTATATTTTACATTAGTCCATTCTTACATGTTTAATATTTGTAACCAAATAATAAAATGAGAATAACCATTCCATTCCATTATCACTTGTATGACATTTCATTCCTGCATACCGAAAGCAACAATAGAGAAAGGATAGAATTTCTACTTCCTCTTTTTATTTTTTAAAGGTAGGATAGGAATGTTCGTAATAACTGTTTTGTTCTTATTTTTCGTAATTCCAATTTTTTTTCCAGGTCAATTACAAAATAAAACAATATTTTTTTACTATCTTTTTCAAAAAATTCCAACACTTCAACTCGCGCTTATTCCAAATTGTAATATCATACTAATAAAATAAAAGAGACATAAATAAACAAATAATAACTATAAAAAATAATTTGAAAACTTTTGAAACTTAATAATAATTTGATTACAAATTTACCTTTCAAAGGAACACTTGGTTATCCCAAATTGTAATATCCTAGTAATAAACTAAAAGAAACATAAATAAACAAATAAAAATTATATTATTATAATTTGAAAACCTTTGAGACTTAATAATAATTTGATTACAAATTTACCTTTCAAAAGATCACAAGTGTTGATTCAATGATTCCCTTACAGCCTTAGCTTCAATAGTTATTCTTCCCATATAAATCACTTCGAGGTTAACCTAGGTGTAGAGATAATACCTAGTAGGAGAAATTCACCCACACGTAAGCTACCACACAATTCTAATTAAAATCATAAATATGGATTTGTGAAAACATTTTTTTTATTAAAATTCATTCTTATTAGAATTTATAAATAATTCAAGTCTTATGTTTTTTATTGTTTTGTTTCCTTAACTAAAGTTCAAATACTATATATTTATATTTGTAGTATTTTAAAATTTTAAAACAAGTGTGTTTAAATACCCTACTATAAATATAAAATTATTTATGAAACATATAACATTAAAAGTATAATAATTATACACTTTTCTTGATTTTGTTGGTTTATCAGGTTAGTATAACTTAGTCGTAAATCCCGTCCAAAATTAATTCGGGTTATAAAGTTTAAACTCAATCATGTCACCCGATCTCAAGTACCCTGCTTGCGGTGGTAAAATTATTAAGTGGGCCCACCAAAGTCCTTACCCTAGGTGGAGGTCTCGTAGCACCGGCTCCAGTGGAGTATTTAAGGGACTTGGATTCTTTTAAATTAAATATTATCCAAGTTATCATAAATTAAGTCACATCAAAATTTAAATTTTTTGAAAACAGGAACAAACATATTAAGAGCGGCTGAATATTAGTTTTGAATAAAATTATGACATATATATATTTTATATTTGTTTATTTATATAAATCCATATACAAATATATTTATTATTATTTATTCCACTAATGATATAGGTAATAAATAAGTTAATTTTTCTCACTAATATATGCGTGAGTTATTTGTAAGATTCTCCAATTGGGAAGTTTTTTTTTTTTTTTTTTTTAATATTTTCAAACATGTATAATTAATATATGTATATCGCAGTAACAGTGCCATACAAGACATAAGTGGAGTTTAAGTAATTAATGTATATATTGAGTAATAGTGTAAGTAATAAATGCATATATGGTAACATAGGTGTTTCATACCGGGACTATTATAAATTTAATTATATAGAGTGAATTTGTATGAAAATCGCAAATTAGGAAAATAAATTCGCGAATTGCAAAAATTGAATTCGCGACCAAATAACAAATTTGCGTGCAGAGCTTGAGAACAGGGACCTATTTGGGCTAATTGTGTGACTAAGATCCTAAGTTGAATCCCCTACTTATTGACGTTTAAAATCTATATACTATTGGTATTAAATCACGTCAACTAACTTGAAGAAAGTTTGAAAATTGCACCATTTTGAAATAAGAAAAAATTACCAAAGTTTAAAAACTACACCGTTTTGAATTAAGAAAAAAATCACCCTACTTTAACGACGTTTAACATCGTTATTTCTCCCTCATATTTTCAAAAAAAAAAAATCCTCCCTCTCCATCCTCTTGAAAAAAAAAAATCCTCTCTCTCCATCCTCTTGCTCATTCCCACAATTGGGGGAATATTTTGGACAAAAAATTAATGTTCTTTGTCATGAAATTAAGATGGACGAAAATGTGATTGCATAACATGCAACTTTTTAGGAAAAAGTACTGATTATAAAATAATATATGTGTGTGTGTATATATATAAGCATGTATATTGATGGAGTTAGGAAAATATAACCAAAAGCCCTATATTTGGAAAAATATGAGAGAGAACGTGAGATTAAAAGATAAACAAAGACCATCGCGACTTGTTTAAGATAAAAATAAAGAGGAGAGTGTGGGAAAATCTTTTTTTTTGTAAAAGATGAGGAAGAGATAACAACGTCATTAGAATATGATGAATTTTCCTTAGGGTATGCTTGGTTAGCAAGAACTAGCTAGCAAGAAAAAGAAAAGGAAAATATTTTAAAAAATTATGCATTTGGTTATGGAAAGTGAAATTTTTTGGGAAAGTAGGATTCTTGTTGTTGTGAATTCTTTTTTTTTGTATAAAATACGCGAAAATTTACTTTCTCGCAAAACTTAATCACTTTATATCTTAGTTTTCTTTTGTGCCCTTGTCAGTTGTTTCTTCCCTCGGTTTCTCCATGCTTCTCTCATTGATTCTCTCCACTCTTCAGTCTGTCACAAACTTCATGCAGATGTAAATTTCCTTCTGTAAATTGATATAATCCTAATTTAATTATTTATATTTTTATATATGCATGTAAAATTAATTTTTTATTATTATTATTTTGGGTTCTATAATTAATAATGATGGAGATCTATTGGTATACATACATGTTTTTTTGACTGTTGGTGTTGTAGGCAATTGGGATTCTTAGTTTAATTGGAAACTTATCTCCAGTTTTGGGTTTTACAATTGCTGTGTCCGTTAAAGATACAATATCGATTTTAATAGAAATAATTATATTATTATTTTACTTTCCTTTTATTTATTTTGTTAAAAATAAATATAAACAATTAGGTATAAAGTGGTTCATCAAACACGAAACAAAGTACTCTAATCTAAAGGCAGAGTCCTAATATATAAGGCAAACTTCACAAAAAAATAATAAATAAATAATTTAAAGAGACTAATACCAAATACGTATGTGAACATATATATTTATTCATAAATCCAATTGTATATATTAGTTTATTAGTTTTATTATTATTAGTTTATTATTATATTCATTAGAGTAATTCAATTGTATTTATTATTTTACTACTACTATTATTATTTAATTGTTTATATTATTATTTTACTATTAAATTCATAAGGGTAATTTTGACATGTAAAATCATTTTCCTTTCACTCTTTTGTTATCCAAACTAATTAAACAAAATTTTCTCACAAGTTTCTTCAAAAATATTTTTGATAACCAAATGCATAACAGAAAACTAATTTTCTTTTCTTTTATTTCACTTTCCATCATCAATTTATAGCTAATCAAACAAACCCTTAATTCAAAACAATGCATTTTTTAAATATTGGTAAATTTTTCTTTATCTCAAAACGGTAGAGTTTTCAAACTTTTTTTAAATTAATTGACATGATTTAATAAGCAGTAGATAGATTTTAAATGTCACGAAATTCAACTTATGATAACTTAGATGATTCAAGTCCGTATTTAAGTTATCTGCTTTAAAAAAAAAAAAAAAAAAAGCATTTTAGTTGTAGGGAAGGCCAAGAAGGGATGGACGAGGGGGGGAATAAAAAAAAAAAAATTTGTTTGAGCGAAAGAAAATGACAAGATAGAGAAAGCGAGGGATGCATCATTTGTAATTTTGTATTAGTCCAAAATTGGAGAAAGAGGAAAGAGAAAGCACGATAATAACCAATAAATTTGTAGTTTTTATTTTTAACCTTGTTGTTACATAATTTAGAATGGGTATATATATTTTAAATATTATATAATAAGGTTTATTAGTTAAAACAATATAAAACACTTATTCTCTTATGCTACGGGAACAAGTAGGGAGGGATAGTTCTTCATATTTTTCTGTTTACTCAATTTTGGGAGGAAGAGAGGAGAGAGAAAGTGAATAACTACGTACAAATATACAATTTACAATTTTAATATTTACAAAAAAATTCAAATGAATATCTACCTTTTATTATTTTACATGGTATATTGATAAAAAAAAATTATAAAAAGTCTTTTTCCTTTTCTTCCAACAAAAATAAAAAAATTTTACTTCATCCAACCTTTCTACTATCAATTTTATTCAACTAAACAAAAAACAACAGGAGAGACGCCTTCCCTTTCTTTCCTTTTGTTATGATCTATTACTCCCCTATCTCTTCCATATATTTTTTTTATACCTCTGACCAAAATAAACATTATATTATTATTAATAAAATATACACAGGGAGACAATATTGGTATTTCGCTTTTCTCTAATTACACTATACTTACCTTTTTCTTTTAAAAGAAATGACAATAACGTATTTCATATTCTGTTACTTTATAATGCCAAATAAATAATTTATTCTATATCGATAATTTTATTTTTGACAGTCAAAAGAAAAAATTTATTCAATATTGATTTTATTTTTTTCGTCTTACAAATCAAACACATAATTTATTCATAAAGATAATTATTTATTTATTTATTTTTTCAGTCTTGTCAAAATACCTAATTTTTTTTTAATCTTTTTATAAGTCCCATCAAAAGAAATATTTTATACAACAGAATATATATATATTGGGTTTTATTAAAAGAAATAATTTATTTGATAAGGATTTTTTTTTTTAATCTCGACAAAAAAGATAGTTTCGTAAACAAATATATATTTTTAGGGGGGGTTTTGTTTTGCTATAAGATAATTTATTTAACGGCTAATTTTATTTTATTATTATTTTATTATCTAGTTAAAAGAGACTATTTATTCAATATAATATCTTTTTGAATAATACTTGCATCCTGTGGAGGGAGGATTATCCTCCCCTACGGCCCAATGACGTGCTGACAAGTGTCCAAAACTAAATATTTAGGCTGAGATGGGCAATGACCCTTTTTGCGAGTTCAACCCGAACTCACCGGTTTAGTCGCTTCTCACTGACCTGGAGACGGAGTAGTCACTATAGCAACCGAACAGTTTGAGTTCTCGCCGCTTCACCGCCTTCTCGCTCTCTGCCGACCGTCATCTGCCATCACTGCTTCCTCGCGTGGCCGTCTTTCTTGCTCATCACCGTCGAATCTCGCCGGAAAGTTCAGCAGCTGGGACACTTCCTCCATCGTCGTCAGCAGGTTTTCATTGCTCACGACCAATTGAGGTGTCCACCGCCTTGCAACGTCGCTGATCTATCTCCGAGGTCTCCGTCTTTCCCACGGCATCCACCGTCGCCGCTGTGTCCTGCCACCTCCTCCGTTGTCGCAGTGCCGTCTGAGTCCCACCGTTCAATTTCTGGCCCGTTCAATCTCGCCGCAGGTATACGGTGCGATTGGCTTTGTCGTGGGTGTGATTGGCTTTGTCGTGGGTTAGATTGGGTGGCGATAGGCAAAAAAAAACAAAGAAAGATTGGGTGCTGATGATGGTGGTAGAAGTGATGGTGGTGGTGATATATATATGCATATATATATGATTCTATGGGTGGAAGGTGGTGGTGTGGTTGAAACTGGAAATTGGTTTGAGCGAGAGAGAAGAGGCTGACAAGTCCAAAAAGGAAAACGGGTTAAACGGAGCATTGCTTACGTCAGCTTTAATATCTATTGTTGGACACTTGTGACCCTTGGCAAGTATTATTCTAATTTTTTTTTTCGTCTTGTAATTTGTCTTGTAAAAAAAGACATAAAATATTAAAGATGAGTGATAAGTGCAGATAAAAAAGGACAGTTATGTAATAATTATTATTTATTTGTAAAATTAGAGTTAAAATTGCAATTTCAAGATTGTAAAATCGGAGAAAATTGGCATGCGACTGCCTCCCTAGTAAGGGTATAAGTCATTCTGTACCCGCTTTAAGTCGGAGACTGTTGTTTGCAGATTTAACGTATGTATAGAAGGTAAGGATGGGCGATGGCAACAGAGGCACTTCAGGCAACAACAATAGGCCTGAATGGCTACAACACTACGATTTGATCGGCAAGATCGGCGAGGGCACGTATGGTCTGGTCTTTCTTGCCAAGATCAAGTCCAATCGGAGCAAGTCCATCGCCATCAAGAAGTTCAAGCAGTCCAAAGACGGCGACGGCGTTTCCCCTACCGCCATCCGCGAAATCATGGTCCCCCTCTTTTCTCTCCATTTTATTCTGTTTGGTTGTCGAGAAAATACAAGAATAAATTTTGTGTGTTTTCAAAGTATCCGAAGTTCTAAATTTTAGATGGGTTGATGACGGACGTGGGGAACCGAATAAACCAATTAATTTATTCAAGAATCATCTGTTCTGTTTGGTTGCTGAGAAAATACAAGGAAAAGAAGTGAATAAATTCTTAATTCTCAAAGTTCAGGGTTGTTATTTTATCTATGTAAATTCTTAAATCTGAAGTTGGAAAGGTTGCTGGCCATGGGGGACACCGATTAAACAAATAATTTATTAAAGAATCCTCTGTTTGGTAGCTCAGGAACCCTGCGGACACACTAAACTAATAATGTGTGGAAATCACTTGTTTCCTGCTTTAGCTTACAACTCTCTTTTTATTGTTGGGGAACAGAATTTTAGGTTTTCATCCAACTCTTTGTTGTTAATTAGGATGTTACTGATATTATAAAATAAAACAAATTTTTAGTTAGTTATACAATTAATTACTCTAGATATAGATTTGTATTGGAATGGGTTATAATTAGGATAATGTTAGTCTATTTTAATTATGATAAGGCTATTCTTGTATTAGGCTTTGGTTGGTTTTTCTTCAATCAGGAAACTAATTATAAAACTTTAAGCATCAAATATCTGCTTACTTTTCTCTTGCTTTTCTTTTGTATTATTACCAACCAAATGAAGATTTGTGATGGAAAATCTCAGAAGGAATTTTTATTTCATTTTTGTAATGTTGAGAGCAAATGATGCAGTTACTTCGGGAGATATCCCACGAGAATGTGGTAAAGCTTGTGAATGTACACATTAATCATGCAGACATGTCACTATATCTGGCTTTTGACTATGCGGAGCATGACCTCTATGTAAGTGTATTTGTCCATCTCTTGTTTTCTGTTTGATTACATGCAAGGTTCGGAGATCACGGAATGATATATATTTGTGCAGTTCCAGTTTAGTATACATTTTATCATCCTATATATATATATATATATTTTCATTTATTACAAGGGAGTTGATATGCTAATATTGAAATCTCGCACACAAACACACACATGCGCATGTTCATGTACGTTTGGTTTGAGGGTTATATTTTGTCTATGATATTTTTCTTCAAACATTGAAGAAATGTCAAGTTTTATCTTAAGTACCTATCATTGGATTCCCACAAAGGAATCTGCAATCCTATAAGGAATTTTCATTGTTAAGAAAAATCATATTTGTGTTATTCATATTTCATGATAAAATATCCATGTTCTACTATTTTAATTACAATTTCGGATAAAATGTATATCATTGATTCACAAAGACTTCTTCAAATCCACAAGAATTGCTACTCCTACTCTGTGTTGTAGGCAATTATGTTTATGGTAGTAGGACTTGGACTCTAATATAGAGACATGAGTTCTGGTTCAAACATAATGCAAAATTGAAAGATGTCTTGCATGTTGTAGAGTGCATTACCTACCAGGAAATATAAAAATATTGGCTCTGAGTTATAAAAATTGCAAGTTATGGAGAAGTAAAATTACATTACTCAAACAACACGAATGTGGCTTTGAGTTAGCATTTGCTTCGTGAGCCATCATATGTTTCTGTTGATATGTTTTTAGTACTATTAGCTTTTTAGTCCTTTAATAGAACTCATGTTTTTTGTAGAATTTTAAGGATTTTCTTTTGCATAAGACAATATGATTGTGGTTTTGAGTTAGAATATTGCCTATTTTATATGTTCCTATTTCTTCCCCCCACAACCCCACTTTCCTCTCCTCTATTAGCTTTTCTAGTTGTTTAAAAGTATCTTATGCTTCAATACTACAGTTCTCTTGCATCTTAGTTTCAAATCTTGAAGAATTTTGTAGCAGATTGAGGCATTTTAGTTAAGACATTTAGAATGGTTTGAATATGATGCAAGGATCTTTCTGATAGGTTATTATTACGGTTATCAGAATCTTGATCTGAGTCGGGGAATCTTATGATTCTAAGATCTAAAATTTCAAATCAATTTGAGTTGCTAGAAAGCACGGACATTTCTCCATGTAGTGCCATGGCAGTATTGGAGACTCAGACATGTGTAGGACATGACCCAGACATGAGTCTGACACGGCTAGAAGTGTCTTGGATTTTGAATAATTTTTTTTAGGTTGGACAAGGTTGGACATGACATGGGCACACTTGGGACACTTTCAGGACACGACGGGGTAATTTTGTAAACATTTTTCATAAAAAAATGTATTTCCAATGCGCTCTTAAAATATATTATGGGTTAATAAGAAGAATCATATAAAATTTCTGATTTAGTGGGAACCTTAATAATCTCTCTCCACAAATAATACTCTTTTGATATGCATCTTTGGATCCCAAAAGATTCTTGTTATTCCCCTTGGATCACCAGGCTTTGACTTTTGTATTCATGTACCCAAGTATTCTTACAATAGAGTTATAATTCCTTATTTAAATAGTACTATGAATCGTTTTTTTGGGTAAGGGAGAATTTTATTGAAACAAAAGTGTATACTGAATACACGGGGCATACACCAGCAACCAGAAGGCAAACCTAATGGACAAGAAGGAAAGATAGCTACAGATTGAAACAGCTAAGACAAGAAAAGTAGAGATATGGCATATAAGGGAAGACTTCCAAAAATAGCCGCATAGGGTAAAGAACACAGCTGGTACTCTGCAACAGAGTATATGAAGGCAACTCTTTAAATTTTGCTGCTGCCAGGGGATTCGCTGCTGTAAACCGGGATTACTGCCATATTTCAGACCAGAAATGCAATGCATATAATTGAATAAGCTAGAGCAAACATATAGGTATATCCACATATCAATAAGACATTCCGGAGGTTGGAGTCTGGCAGCAGAGCAGGATATATTTGAGGAGCCTGGAGGAATACTGTTATTGTTTGCTTGCAGCTCTCACCTGCCATATCAAGAACACAGGGATATTGGTACATTGGCTGGTCAGATTGATAGGTACGGAATGCTGAGTGTGAATGATAACTCCAGTAAGGCCCCAGGATCAGAGAATGTGGCCATAGGATTGGCAATATATGAAACTAAGAGATGGCCGCCACCTTATGGTCATTAGATAATGTTTTACACTTGCTAAATCCTTGAAGCATTCTTGAGAGTCTAGCATTTTGTTTCTTCCATATGTAATAAACACAAGCAGCCAGAGTGGTTTCTTGGATCATCAGAGTTGTGGAATTGCCCTTTCATTGGGTTGTAGCAGAGGAAATATAATCAGTCCAGGGGCATGGGTTCCAAGGCAGGCCATATTTATGGGAAAAGTAAGTTCAAATTTGGCTTCTGACATGACAAGAGAAGGAAAGATGGTTGTTGGACTATATTGACAATCCACAGAAGACAAAAATTGACTCTGAGATTTGCTGGGTGTGAATCCTGTCCAAGGTGCTAAGCTTTTATAGGATAGCCAACTAGAGGATAAAGCTATATCCTGGCACAATTCTTTGGAATAAGGTAAGGTGGTTCCAAGGAATGAGGACTTGAGCGGAAGAAATGATACTGGAATTCTTGTCAGGGGAAGGAAGCCATTGGATGGCATTTTCATTGTTTCTATCAGTTAGAAAGAAAGAGGGAATGGTTGGTTTGATTTCATTGAACTCACCAGAAGTGGCAGAAGGCCAGTTCTGTTGTGATTGATGGCTAATGGATTCAGCTAAGGTGCATCTGCCCAAAGTAGCACTGTGAGTGATTCTTTCTCCAACACTGAGAATGAGGGGACCCAGAGGATCACTATAATTTAAATACCTAAATCAGCAACACAAGTTTTCGTCGTAGGGAAAGGTTAGCTTAGTTTGAGAACTTACTTTTTTATATATATATTTATATTCCTTAGGAAAATTTTAAAATTAGAAACTACTTTAAAAATTCAAGTAATTCGAATTTTTAACATGATGTGATTAGATATAAAGTTAAAAAGTTAGGGTGATAAAAGAAATTCCTTCTAAACAAAGTCTCTGTGCTGGCACCACCAAATGGTGTTCAATTATTAGAAACAGAATATCCGAAAAATTGGTTACTAGACGACGGTATTCAGATAAAAATCTTATTTTCTCTGTCTGAAACCTTGGTCCAAATCTAAGCTACGATCCTCTCATAAAGATCGAATTAAAAAGAAAGGAAAAGTGCAAAAAAATATGTTTTTTTTAACAGTTTGGGGAATGAAAACCCACCCTCCTTTTGGTTCTCCTCGAAAATGGCAAGAAAGATTTATGGGTCCTCTGATGGCGGAGGGTAAGGAGAAGATGTAAATTTTACTTGTTTTGGCATTCTTTCAGTAAAAGGTCAACATTAGATATCAAGTAGTAATGTGATGAGCAAATGGTGTGTGTGTTTGTGTGTTTTTTTTCTCTTCTTTTGATAATTTGATTTCCTTTTTGTGGTTCCTTTGTAATACAAATGTACAAGGATCCATTGGTTAGAAGATTACCGTGGAGCTTTTTTGCTTCACTTGTTTTACGTATACCTTATCCCAGTTATAAATTGAAGAGAAAACTTATTCACAAATGAACACGGTTTCTCCTACTTTCAGCAACATGCGTGATATACTAAAAGAGCTCAAACTCATTGGTAGAAAGGTTGTTCTTTGTACTAAGTTCCACAACATATTTATATATAATGTAGCTATCTGTTTTGTTCTTTCTTTATTACAGTCTTCCTTATTTATGCATGTTTGAAATGTTCTTTAGCAAATCTCAAGTTGTATTGCTGATACCCACTCATTAAAAAAAATTGTTCTGTTGATGCAAAGTCATATTGAGGCTCACTATTCAATGGAGGCAACATTTTCCACCACTAGAAATTGTGTTTGAAGAAGGCAAGAAAAAGAGCATAGAATAATTTAACCCTTTTTTTTTCATGCATTCGACAAGTTCTTGGCATTAAATAACTGGCTTTATATCCAAAAGCTATGCAGAAGCACTCTAGATGTAGCCATGCTTTTAATTTACTGAAAGTCACACCAAAGTAACTTGACCAATTGTTCCTTCTCGTGTGTGTCAGGAAATCATTAGGCATCACAGAGATAAGGTTAACCAGGCTATCACCCCGTATACTGTCAAATCATTGCTATGGCAGCTGCTTAATGGGCTGAACTACCTCCACAGGTAAAGTTTACTTTTTACAATCCTGATGGTTATTTTCAGTCTCAGTGTGCCAGTATTACCATTAACATATATTTGTGTATACGGGACATCTGTGCAGTAACTGGATTATACATCGAGATCTAAAGCCATCAAATATCTTGGTATAGTTCTATAATCATTACCCAATTGTTGTCATTCTTATATATAAAGTACCTCAAGATTATTTTCATTATATATAATGGAGAAATTTTCCTTTTCCTTGATTAAACCTGTGCACAATGTCCTGTTCTTGTGAACTTTCACTGACCAGGTTATGGGTGAGGGAGAAGAACAAGGAGTTGTTAAAATTGCTGATTTTGGTCTTGCTAGAATATATCAAGCTCCATTGAAGCCGTTATCTGAAAATGGGGTAGGATGCATCAGTTATGTTCTTTAGCTCATCTGCTAGGTTGCGTCATGGTCTCATATTTTTTATACATTTAGATAATGTAGAAAGATAGAATTGGTTTGCGCATTGTTGCATAATGTATGTCCTTGTAAAGTTGTAATACTAATTTTTCAAATGCATCAAAATTATCTAATTAGGTTGATTTTTGACTCGCATTTTATGATCCAAATAGTTCTCTTTGGAATACCCTGCAATGACACCTATTCACTGGTGTGGAGTTTTGTTATATGTGAATATCCCATTTGCACTATGCAAGATAATTTTCCAATATTATTGTATTGCTTGCTATTAGTCTCTCATGAGTCTGCGATGCTTACTCCGCAGAAGGAGGTAGTTTGAAACTGTCTTAATATTAAGCGACTATTTCATTAAGATTGTTAAATACAAATGCTGAAATCTGAATATTGTACATATTACATTTATTCCCTCAATATCTTCTACTCGTAACATTTTTATTAAAGATAATATATATATAAAAGCATATATAGAACGATAAATTTTACCCAAAGAAATATATCAATTTAACAATGGATATTAATGACAAAACTGATCCCATGTAAAATATTAATTCGAACTTAAATAATGAGCATTAGTCATTCAGTGCTGATTAACATTATTTTGAAAACGAATGTCTCAAAACTTTAAATTAAGATAGACATATAAAAATGTAAACTCGAAAACTAAATAAATAATTTGCAATTTGGTCACACAAATTAACCACCAACAGATCAGATCAAATTTTATTAAACAGCATATTATCCTAATTGAACTATAAAAAGATAGATAATGTTACCTTTACGTAATCATCCCAATTTTCTTCACTCCAGTTGTTGGTGTCAGTCACTTGATCATCCCCATGTCCAGTATTTCCCATCAACTTTATCCACGTATAGTACTTTTTCTTCGTATAATCTCATTGATTTTTCATTTGTCTTTGGTTAAGATCCACATTTTTTTTCTTTCACTTAGCTAATATTTTCTTTATCTTGTCCCATGACTCTTTTTCAAGACTACCACCACACTTCCCTCCTTTATTTGCTTTCAAGGCACAAATCTAAGAAGATTTATATAATTCTGGATCCTTTCAATTATATTATTAGTAGCCATCCTACCTAAATTCCAGCAACAGTCAAAATATCCACCTTGTATAAAATATCCTACTATACCAAACACTCCAACCATCCCATCTGAATTCCAACGACAGTGATAAGAATTCCGTGTAACCCGCCAATTGATCAAGAGCCTCGTGAGCCTCTCGATTATACGAGGGTCAGTTGGTTATTAGATATTTTATTATTTATTTATTTATTATTATTATTATTATTTTAAAAACCAAAACTTACTACGGACCGTGTTCTGCGATTAGCGACCTTCCTATCACTTATTTTTTTATTTTTTATTTTTTATTTTTTGCCTCTAAGTGAAGTGGTATTCTAAGTCTTTACCAAGCATGTTTAAATTTTAAAATCGCTGACCGTGTTCAGTTTTAAGTGCTGAACAAGGTTATCTAACTGGGCCTGACAAGGTAGGGGCAGGGCAGGACCGGTCGGTTGGAGATTCTAATCAGTATCAGGGCTTGGGGAACAACATAGTAGGGGTAGGGTGGGAAAGGGATTTTTGGCAGGGAGAGGGAGGGTGGGATCTTTTCTTACACGCGGCAGGGGTGGGGAAGGGTCCTCCTATCTTAAACCACCTCATTGCCATTCCTACCTGAGGCATGAAATTTACATACGACAATATGTTATGTTGTTGAGTTTCCCTGCTTGAGCAGAAATGCAAGAGCAAGTTGAGCTCCTGCTGGAAATCTTAGCACTAACTTTTTAGAAATATGGCTTATCCCTTATCCGTTTGTGGTTTATCACTTTCTCTTGCTGCTTGCTTTACCTGATTCATGAGCAATGAAGTTTGGAGCTGTTATTCCTTGCAATCTGTAGTGCTGCACAATTATTGACATCCTACCAAGTCTTAGAAGTTGGCACGACGGTCAAATTCAGATTTAAAATAACTGAAATTTGGCGGGTATGAAAAGAAAAGGAAATTAAGAATTGTACGTATAATTGGGAGTCAACACCACTACGTAACCAATTAAGAATTGTACATTTGAATATTGCTTCCCTATCTATAAGGTTTTTGTGTCATGACCACTGAATATAGTTGTATGGTCACCATATTTTGGCTACTTGAGTAGTAAAGTTGGTCTGCGTGCTGGCTAGTTGGTAGTGATTGTGTACATTCATAAGAGATTTTTTATATTTATGTAAAATATGTTTGTATTTACAATTACTGGCAGGTTGTGGTAACCATTTGGTATCGTGCCCCGGAGTTGCTCCTCGGGGCGAAGCATTATACTAGTGCTGTTGGTATCCTTGGCGCTAAATTATGTGTTATTTTCATAATCTCGTGGGATTGTTCTATGATTCGGTGTGTTTGTTCCTATCAAATAAAAGAAATGGGAAACTAATGTTTAAAGTAAAACTATTGTATTTCCTTAAAGCTGTAATCAGATATGTGGGCTGTTGGATGCATATTTGCCGAGCTTCTAACTTTGAAGCCTCTATTTCAAGGGCAAGAAGTTAAAGCCACACCTAACCCTTTTCAGGTAGATAGGAATTTCTGATATGGCGTTCTTTCGTGCTATTGCTTCCTTGTCTAATTTTTCGTCCTAAGATTTACACACTAATTTGTAATACTTGTATGCATATGTGAGAACAATTCTGTTTTCTAATATGAATTGCCACTTTTGCAGCTTGATCAACTAGACAAAATATTTAAGGTTTTAGGTAAGGAAGTCAAAATGGTGATTATACCTCATTCTGTATTTGTTGTGGAACTATATTACCGTCAGTCATCTCATTAGGTCATCCTACCCAAGAGAAGTGGCCAACACTTGTGAATCTTCCACATTGGCAATCAGATCTTCAACACATTCAAGGACATAAATAGTTAGTCCATTCTTATTCTCTTGTCTATACGATTGATAAGATATTACAGGGATTTTGTTATTTTCACTAGGTTTTATTTGCTTTTCCAATTAATTGATTGCTTTTCCTTTTATTTGCTTTATGCTGCTGACAGTGACAATCCTGGACTTTATAGTGTTGTTTATCTATCTCCAAAAACTCCTGCATATGACCTTCTCTCAAAGATGCTCGAGTACGTGTCATCTTTTAACTTTATGATAATTTTATGTTTACTGTATGAAAATATATATATATTTTTTGACTACTACTTGTTTGTAGCATGATTATAACTGCAGTTGAAATTGAAAGGTTTGCGATCGCATAAATTTGTTTCATCATATTGGAGTTTATACATATATGTGAATTGGTTAGGAGAGAGAAATACAGCATTTCTTCTTCCCTTAACATATATGATTCCCAGAGTTAGTTTAGATTATTAGAGAGAGAGAGAGAGAGAGAGAGAGAGTACATCTGTTGTAAAACTTGCAACTCTTTCAAATTAGAACCTTATGTTATATTCTTCCTAAAAATGTGAGTTTATGGATAAGATTGTGATCTCCTTTGTTACTTGGAGTTGTTGCAATGATGTATCATCACTGGTGGGCTTGTTGGTGCATAGTTACTGTAGGGTGTGAGATTGGCAACACCTGTGTCCATTTGTTCCCAAGGAATGTAGGACTTTGATAGAGAGTAGCGCAAGGCCCGTGATCTAGATCTTTAGGAGTGGTGAATAGGTCTTGCTAAGTTAAATTGACCGATTTTTAACAATAGGTCTTGTTATGCTAATTGATTAATGTTAACAATAGCTCTTGCTAAGCTAATTAACTGATTTTTTTATTTTAACTAAATCAACATCAACTTAAAGGTTAAACTTAACTACCAAACTTACAATTCAGTCCATCCATCATGTCATAAATCATACAAATAATAAATAAGTCAAAGCAAGCACACAATGGGTTCAGATTTCTACGTGGAAACCCCAATGGGAAAAACCACTTGAACTAGTCCAGGCAAATTAAAATCCACCAACGAGAAAGATTTTTTATTTTTTTGAGAAGCAAGCAAGAATTCAAAAAACGAAAAAGAAGTATTACAACTAGGTTGACCAGTTTTCTCAAGCTTTACAAAACCCCTAGTTACCTCTTGACGTAGATCGACATCAAACTCTCATCTTGAGTCTCCAAGCTCTCGGTTCTCTCAGCCAGTAGATCTGCTTTTCTCAAGATCCGCATCTCTATAGCACTTTGATCTCCTCAATTAGTTGTCCAATCCAAGTGTTCTGGGGTGAATACTCCTTGTTTGGTGCGAGTAGCTGGTCAACACCTTAAATGCGAACTCACTAGACTATATGGAATGATGAATATGAATAAAACCATTATTCTAGCAGAGATTTGCGAGATTGTTCTCTTAATTCACCCTATATGCTCCAAGTATTCTCAAAGAGAATAACATGAAGAATGCATAGCTTTTTAGAGTTTAGATTCATGAAATCATTAGGGTTTTAAGAGATTCTATCTCAAAAGGAAACTGCAATCTGCACACCTCAATCGATTGAAGCTAAGTGTCGATCCACTGACATCGAACCAGTGTCCTTTGAAAGTGCCGGATTTTGATTTTAAGAAGTTTCTAGAAACACTTTTATGCATCATACATGCAATATATGAAACCTTAATTGATGAATACATGTACCCTAATTGGTGTGTGCATATAAGTATGTTTAATTTACCTTTTTGCCCTTAAATGTATTTTTGAATTTTGATAATTCCCCTGGATAAGAAATAATACTAATTTTAACTAAAAATAGAATAAAATTACATGCTTGAGCTTTCGACATTAAATTTCTCAACCTGTGGAAATTTTTTTCTTAATGTTTTGTTTAGTTATATCTTGAAAATGATTTGGTTGTGATAAAGTGTTGTAGAGCTTGAAAATGATTTGGTGTACTAAGAAAGTGCACAGTAGGCACTGTTATTAGCATGCATTTATATGTCAATACAAGCGTTCATATTGACATCCAAATAGGCCAAGTATATCAAACGTATGTGTGTGAGTATATTTGTATGTGCATAGAAGTTTGTTCCTGTTTTTGTGTGTTTATATAATGGTGGGCATGATCAACTTACACTTGGTGTAAGAATAGTTAATTTTTTCTCTTATACTTGCATCAATTGGTATCAAAGCCCTTTGTGTTCTATATCAAGTGGTATTAGAGCAATCTTAATTGGTCCTATATCATTTTGTCAATAGAAAATGCCAATAATAGTAAAATTATAAAGAAAGAAGGGGATGGGAAGGAAGGAGATGAGATGTGACTAGAAGGAGGAGATAATAAGACATATTAAGGGGGTGAGAAGGCATTGAAAAGATAAGCTGGATAGATTGAAGGTGAAGGAGAGCAAGAACAGTGGAGAGAGGAGAACTAGGAGAATTTGAATCACAATTATATTCCAATAATCCAAAACTGAATTGCTTATTACATAAGAACCTCCTTTATACGGACAAAGCATAAACGAATTTAAGAAACACTTGAACAATAAAATACTAAAATATCCTTAAAATTAAATCGTTACTGAAATAAGAACAAAAATAAGCAAAATTAACCCTAATAAGATCAAATCCTAATTTCATCTATCTTTGCCCCTTATCCAAAAGTAAAGGCCAATAAATTGTGGTTCATGCATGAGGTTTCTAGAACTCTTGTACGGAGAGTTAAGCTGATAGTATCACATCAAAAGGCCGGGATGAGAAACACTACTCGATGGCTAAAAATTATCCTCAATCCATAGTGGCTGAAATGATGGGATAACTAGTTCTGTTGCTGAAGATGTAACTCCTGTAAGAACACATACTAACAAAATAGGAGGCTCAAAGATGCCTTGGTAGGTGACAAATAATTCACATGGAAATCTGGACTAATACTATTATCTAATGGCAAGTCAAATATATAGTATTCTTATTGAAATATCAGTAACCCAAGCCCAAGCCAAGCGCAAACTCATGTTTAGAAAGAAATGCCTAGTTGGGTTCGAGCTTGGGTTGAGAAATTTATACCTTAGGTTGGGCTCAAGTTGACCCCCCCTTAACCAGTGAGTTGCATTTCTTATTTTTATTTTTAATAAAATTATAATTTAAATTTAAAAAGATTTATTTATATATTATTGAATCAGTAACACCACCTACTTGTTGATTCTTTTGAGAGAATAGTTCTGTGTATATTTCTTCAATATGTTTACATCTTGTACGAGTATATAAAGGAATAAGGGAAAAACTATACAAGGAAAAAAAAGTCTAAAACAAAACCGTACAATCAGCTTCTAAGTTACAACAATCATAATAATGATATCCCTAAAATGAAGGATCTAAATATGGCAGCAACTATAGAAAGTCTTAAGGCTGGAAGGTCTGCTGTTTATAGAGCTGATATTAGCTGTCACAACTAACATCTGCCAACACTAACATTTACTGGAAAACTTTTAGATGTTATTCTAGAACAATTTGACCTTGACTTTTGGTTTATAATTGTGTGAAAGATCCTGTAATGAATCTAAATAAGCCTGAATTGGTTATCTCTTATCTGTGTGTGTTTTTATCTTTTTTGGGTTTAGTTTTATGTTCCTTTAATTTGGTTGGGTTCTCCATATTTATGCTTATGTTCTTTTAATCTTTTGTTTCCCTCATTCTATAATTCTAAACATTTTTTTTCCCTTTTCTTTTCTTTTATTTATTTATATATATATTTTTTTGTGTGGTGGGGGAGGCTAATGTTCTTCATTTCCTGATTTCCAACAGCATGAACCAAATTTTAATGTGAAATTCACAACAGCTGATGGGTCAGTTGTGACATTATGCCACTTCACCACAGCTGATGGGGCAGTTGTGACATTATGCCACTTCAAAATTGTACTGTGAATTGTACTTACGAGTCTTATTCTATGTAATTGCCCCATCGACGATGATGGCTTTGTTCTAGGAATGAAGCATAAGACACAGTGAACTAATGCTGGGCAGTCAAGCGCGCACTACTTGAATATTTCTAGATCAAAATTGTCTGTTTTTAGAGGACTTAATCCTCAAAGTGGCCTTCAATCATAGTGGATTCCTTCTTAGCAATCATTTGTTTGGAGACATATTTAAAGTATAACTCGTAAGCAAATGGTGTACCAATCAAATTATGTTAAATAGTTTTTGTTTTTTTTAGGGGCCATTGCTTGGTGCATTGGTCAGGCTGTCTAGTATGAGAATGTTTATTTTAGTCCTTCAAGAAGCAACTCTGTGCAAATAATGTCAAAAGTTAGGTAACTTAGGTTTGTATCCATTTTACACTCCTGGCACCCTTGATTAATGGGGATGACATTGGGTAATAACCCTTCAGTTTTAGTTGTATCTAATAAATGTACTTCATTTAGTTTTATTATGGGATGCTTTAATGTTTTCAGGAAGGGAATTCACTAATAATATGTTACAATAGTGGGTGTTGGGAAAATTTTAATTAGGCTTTATTTGTTTTAAGGATCTTATGAAGCTTGTAAACAGAATTTATTGGTGTAAAGTGGGATAAGTTGTTAGTCATAACCGAAATTAAAGGTAAATGTTTGAAAGAGCTTTAATCTCTCTCTTTCTCTCTTCACCTCTCTTATATTTGAGAAGCATTGGAGTACTTATTTGAATCTTCCGTTTGTAATCATCTCCTCTTTCTTTCTTTTCAAATTCTCCAGGAAATGAGAGGCTTGTAAAATATGTTGCAACCATCTCTCTATCTCTCCATTTTTTTTTTTTTTTCTCATGATATGTGTGTGTGCGTGTATATATTTAAAACGACTTAGTTTATCCAAGGCACCACTGTTTGAAGAATTTACTAAGAGAGTTAGCCTATAACACTTAATGAAGATGGAGATATGAAGTACACATATTGAATCACATATTTTATCTAGAATCATTTATACAATGGAGCACATTGAAGTATTTTTGCTTGACAAATGTTGCACCAACTGCAATTTCAGTTGCTAAGTCAGTGCCAGTGATTGGTTTCTTCAATTAGCTTATTTTGATAAAACTGTTTCTGCCACAATGTGATGAAATATCTTTCTTTCATTTTCTTATAGATAAAAATTAATTATGTCCACCAATTATAATCATTTAACAATTTAAGGCTAATCTTATTTGCAGATATGATCCTCGAAAGCGAATAACAGCGGCTCAAGCTCTTGAACATGAGTATGAAATCTTCCCTTCACTGTTTGTGGGTTTTTTTTATTTTATTTATTCTCTCTCATGCTGTTTAATATTTTCTCTCTCATTACTTTGTTGATGAAAATATATGGTGAGCTATAAAATTTGAATTTCAGATTTCAGCTAAGAAATGGTTGGACATTATATTTAATGAAGGGGTCCTTAATATATAAGCACATTGCACCCATACTTATTACATAAGTGTGGAACATAGAACACTTACTTTGGAATTTTATTGAGAAAAGCTATATCATTGCTTTCCTTTTTTATTTTTTTTTTCTGTTTAGTTTGACATTTTCTAATAGTCATGGAATTTGTATGGCAATAAATATTTTAATCTACTGTCTTCGTTGATTTATTATTTCATTAACTTGTTTTAAGCATCTCAAAATTTTGTTTCGTAGGTATTTTCGGATGGAACCTCTACCAGGACGCAAGTAAGTGTTTTTAATTGTTTGACAGATCTATATTCTACTTGAATTATGTTCATTTGTTGCTGCATATAGCACGACAATTTACAAGAAAATGATCTCCTAGTAGATTTCATGGGGAAGCATGCATTTCGTCCATATTTCCTTATATTTGACCAGGTAAATGTAACATCAATGCTCAGTGCCTTGGTACCTTCCCAACCTGGAGAGAAAGTTGTGAATTATCCTACTCGACCAGTGGACACGAACACAGATTTTGAGGGAACGACTAGCCTTCAACCTTCTCAACCGGTAAACCTACATGATTTGGAACTTGTTGGCTGTTGTATCAATCTAGAGCTGCATAACTTTGAACTTAAGTTCTTGGGTGTGCCTGTGTTTTTTGATGATATTATTTTCTGTAGTAATTAGTATAATTGTTTGCAGAAATATTTTTCACTATAATTGTGATGTATTTCAACTTATCATCTTATTCCGTTAAACATGGTATCAAATGATTACTTTTTTTTTTGATAAATAAAATTATAAAGAAGCGCTCAAAAGGGGAGTGGAACCCAAGAGAAATACAAAAGACCACAAAGGGCCTCTAAGCCTTCAGAGAGGCCAAAAAATCAACAATCTCTTCTAAAGATCTATGATCTCTCCCTGAAACCCAACAAAAAAGAGTGGAAAGAAATGAGAATTTAAGCACCGAAATCGACATCGCCTTCCCTTCAAAATATCTCATATTCCTTTCAAGCCAAATACACCACCGCACACAGAGCGGCGTAGCCCTCCACGCATCCTGAATGTGAGCCCCCACAGGGCAACCTCTCCACACCTAACCCAAAGAAGCCTAAATAAGCCAATCGTCAAATCCCAGCACTCTTTAGCCATAGTGCAATGAATGAGAAGGTGATCCACTGTTTTCTCATCATGAAGACACATATAGCAACGATTGACCACCACCTGGTTTCTCCTTCTTAAGTTATCCTGGGTTAAGATCATTCCCAGAACCGAGGTCACGCAAAGAAAGCCACCTTGAGAGGAGCCTTAGAGCGCCAACAGACTTCCAAGAAAAGCGAACTCCAGGATCAACTGAGAGACACCGGAAGAAAGACCTCACCTCAAAATGCCCCTGAGAGTTTGCAACCCAAGACCAACAATCTGAATCCTCAACCACAATCCTCTGGCGATATAACTCCAAGAAACGAATGGCCTCCTCGATCTCCCAGTCTTGAAACAAACGCCTGAATCGAACATCCCATACCAGTCTCCCACTATCAAGGTGATAACAGTTGACCACCATGGCTTGCTTATCCGAAGCAATCCTGTAAAGCTGAGGAAAAGCGAGAGCGAGAGAAACATCCCCACACCAAACATCATCCCAAAAACAAATCCTCCTCTCATCCTTGAGTCGAAACCGAATGTGTTTGGAAAAGTCATCCTATCCCTTCCGAATAAAATTCCAAACCCCTACCCCCTGAGGACCCCTCACTTCCAGAGAACTCCACCCTCCTCTCATCTCCCAGAATCGACAAGCCACTACCCTCCTCCAAAGCCAGTGTCTCTCCACACCAAACCTCCACAACCGTTTCCCAAGGAGAGCCTTATTGAAAGGCACCAATCTACGGAGACCCAAACCACCATTCCGAATTGGCTTGCAAACCTGCTCCCAGCGCACCAAATGAAACTTGAACTCTTCATCTCTACCCCCCACAGAAAATTATGCTGCAACCTCTCAAATGATTACTTTCTCTACTTCCTGCCCTCAAAGCTTCCTTGCGGACATCAACCTTGTGTATAATTTTCTCAACAGCGAGTTTTGTCTCTTTCACATAGTATCATAGTTTATATGGGGTTCGTCAAGCCCATAATGCAATTGATCAATCTAATGTGTACTAGTTTATTTTTTTGATAAGTAAGATTGTATTAGAAGCGTTCAAACGGGGACCGCATCCCGCAAAAGCTACACGAGGCTAGAAAGAGCCCCTAAATTCTTGATGAGTCCAAAAAAATTAACTACCTCCCCCATGGATTTACAATTTCTTCCGAGAACCCAACAAAAAGGGGAACTAAGTGTTGAGAAGGGCTTATTTGTTATTACTTATATAATATTGGGGCTTATGTGTAACTTCTGAAACTTATTAGTATAAATAGAATGTGATGGAAGGATGAAAGTATTCTTTCATTCTTTCCCCATCTCTCTCTTTCTCTTTCTCTTTCTCTCATCCCTTTTCTTCTCTTTTTCTTATTCTTATACTTTATTCTTGATTTGATTATATCTTAAAGTCAACGTAGTATCAGAGCAAGGTTTGTAAAGCTTTAGGTGTGTAGCCACCCTAGGGCAAGTTTGTGTAAACCCTAGTGGGTGTGAAGGGTTTTGAAGAGATTCCAAGATGGGGTAAGTTGGCTGTTTTTGATCTATTGCAGTCTCGATTGGTGTTATTTTCGTGTTCACGAGGCTTTGCAATGACGACTTTTTCTTCGTTGTTCGCGATTCTGGTATAGTCTACTTTGTTGCTTTCTAGGGTTTGTGTGGTGACTGTGACGTCTCTTTTTTATGCATCTCAGAAGACGGTAATCTTTCTAATGGAAGTTTGTGTGTAAGAGAGGTGGTTTTTTACGTATTTTGTTGCTGTTTTTGTTTCTGAGGATTAATACCCAGAAACTGTTTGATAAAATGTCTGGCTCAGATGTAACTTCAAAAGAAGTTGGGTCTTCCCCAAGTTTGACTCCAGTATTGGGAGGTAGTGGTGATCACCATCCAGGCTTTTGTATTATGACTGTTTGGCTGGATGAGATGAACTATATGGAGTGGGCTTAATCTACTCGTATGCATATCACTGGTCGTAGGATGATCGACTATATCGAAGGGACTGCCACGTATCCCTCCAAGAGCGATCCTGAGTTCAAAGAGTGAAGTGCAAATAATGCAATAGTTATGACGTGGTTGTTGCAGTCAATGCAGCTACAAATCAGCAAAGGGTTTCTGTTTGTGAAAACAACTAAAGAGCTATGATGGTTGTAGAAGAGCCGTATTCCTCGGTTGGTAATTTTGCAAAACTGTATGAACTCTAACAACAGATTTCAAGATTCAAGCAGGAAGACCAAACTCTTGCTACATATTACCACACTCTACGTGGTAAATGGGAAGATTTAGATCACTACCAAGACTACATACCTGTGTGTGCAGTTGATGTTAAAGCATTTCATGCTATGATAGAAAGGAATCGAATCTATGAGTTCTTGGGTGGTCTGCATCCGAGATATGAGCATGCTAGGGTACAAGTGTTAGCCAGGTATCCAACCCCTACTTCTATTAGAGATGTGTTTTCGTATATCCAGGCTGAGGAGAGTAGAATGAAGGCTATGTTTGCACTTATATACACTAAGTCTGAGAGACAAGTACCATTGTCTGAGAGGTCTGCTCTTGCCACACAACAATGGAACAAACCCAATCCTCTAAAAGGAGGGAAGCAGGATGACAAGAGTAAGTTGAGGTGTGATCACTGTGGGTGTACGCGCCACACTAGGGAAACAGGCTGGAATCTACACGGTCGTCCCACTCAAGCGAATGCTAGGCCAAGGCCTGGTCCATTAAGGGGGTTATCTACGACACATACTGCTGAGCGTGAGACTGCTTCTACTGGTCATGCCTCCTCAGGGCTACCGAGTGTTTTTGTTCGGGACTAACTTGATGCTCTCCGACATCTACTTGCACAATATGCCTACATTTCCACCTCCCAACTTTGCTCAGACAGGTACCTCTCATTCGGCACACCAGGTTTCCACATTATCTGGCGGGTCACCCTGGATCATTGATTCAGGAGCCACTGATCACATTACTGGTATGGTATCTGATTTTTCTTCATACATTTTATGTTCTGGTAAGGATTAGGTTAGAGTGGCTGATGGCACCTTCACCTCCATTGCGGGGAGGAAGGGCACTGTTTCTGCATCTCCTAATCTTACCTTATCATCTGTTCTTCATGTCCTAAAGTTTACCAATAACCTACTTTTTGTCAGTCACATTACAAAAGGCTTGAATTGTAGTGTAACCTTTTTTTCCATCTCACTGTGTGTTTCAAGACTTGGATACGGGGAAGACGGTTGGAAGTGGACGTGAGGACAATGGCTTGTATTTGCTAAACGCGAGGCCAACTTCTTACTATGTTACAAATCAATCTAGTGTTAGAAATACTAATATCAATAAAGATTTGTTAATGCGATGGCATAATAGACTAGGTCATTTACCTCTTCATGTTTTGAAGCATGTTCTTCCCTATTTTGCTTTTGTTGAATTTTTTGAGTTAAATTGTGAAACATGCGTTCTTGCCAAACAATGTCATGTTTCTTAATAAAAGTACAACTCCTTTACAACTTGTTCGTTTTGATGTGTGGGGTCCTGAATCTACTACTTCATTACTTGGTTTTCGTTACATTGTTGTGTTTGTTGATGACTTTAGTCGATATACTTGGCTTTATCTTATGAAAACCAAAGATGAAGTTCGTTCCATTTTTAAAACCTTTCATAGGATGGTATGTACTCAGTTTGGTTGTCCCCTCAAAATCCTTCGATCTGATAATGGAGGGGAGTTTATGTATGGTGGCCTTGCCTCCCTTTTTGCTGATAACAGGATTGTCCGTAGTGTCGATACACCAGAGCAGAACGGTGTAGCTGAAAGAAAACACTGTCATATTACGGAGGTTACCCGTTCTCTTCTAATCGGGATGGGAGTGCCTAATAGTTATTGGGTTGATGCAACCTTAACAGCTATATACCTTATCAATCACATGCCTTCTAAGGTTCTTGGCTATCAATCCCCCTTCTCTGTCTTACACCATAACACTGCCTTGTTTACTGTCCCTCTGAAAGTGTTTGGTTGTGTTTGTTATGTTCACATTCATCATCGCAAGGATAAAGGCAATCCGATGTGTCTTTATTGGATACTCCACCACTTATAAAGGGTATCGATGTTATAACCCCACCACTTGTCGTCGCTTTGTCTCCATGCATGTTACATTCTTTGAGTCTGTTCCTTTTTTTCCCATTACTCGAGATTCTCTACAGGGGGAGACTGCCATACAGGTAGAGAACCTGTCGTCCATTAAAAGGGAATGCCTGCTTCCTTTGCCTATTCCCATTCAAGGGGAGGTTCCCATTTAGGGGGAGCTTCTTATTGAGGTGCCTACGTCTAGTCCTCCTAACACTAATGATTTGCAGCAGGGAAAGCAACCGATTGTCTACATTAGGAGGGCAAAACCAGTCATTGACTCACCCCAGGACCAAGAAGCCTCCCTCAATCCAGGTAATTCCTCAGTTGACATTGATACTCCTGATTCTTTTCCCAAAAGCAATCCTGTTGATGTTGATGTCCCTATTGCCTATCGTAAGGGTGTTCATAGTTGTACAAAACATCCCATATCTCAGTTTGTATCCTATGATGCCTTATCTCCAACATATTGTGCTTTCACTTCGTGTATCTCCTCTGTATCTGTTCCTTCTAGTGTTTCAGATGCTCTCAGTCAAACTCTATGGAAGAAAGCCATGCTTGAAGAGATGAAGGCCATTGAGAAGAATGGTACTTGGGATATTGTTCCATTACCTAGGGGTAAGAAACCATTGGGCTGTAAATGGGTCTACATAATAAAGTATCATGCAGACGAAACAATTGAGAGATATAAAGCCCGGTTAGTTGCAAAGGGATTCACTCAGACCTATGGGATTGATTATTTGGAAACATTTGCTCCAGTTGCCAAGATGAACTCTATACGTTTCCTCCTTTCTTTGGCAGCTAATTTGAATTGGCCTTTACATCAGCTGGATATAAAGGATGCTTTCCTTTATTGGACTTGGAGGAAGAGGTGTATATGACTATGCCACCAAGGTCTAAGCTTGCCAATGGTCAGAATTTAGTGTGCAAGCTAAATAAAGCCTTGTATGGGTTAAAGCAGTATCCACGTGCTTGGTTTGAGAGGTTTAGCACTGCTGTGAAAAGAGTAAGGTACACACTGAGTCAGGTAGATCATACTCTCTTCATCAAGAAGCACTAGGGCTGCACCACTGCCCTTATTATATATGTTGATGATATTATCATCACTGGAAATGATTCAGAATAGATTCATCGAATGAAGTCACTCTTGGGGATAGAGTTCGAGGTTAAAGATCTCGGATTATTGAGATACTTTCTTGGCATCGAGGTTTACAGATCGAAGAAAGGGGTATTCATTTCTCAACGGAAGTATGTGTTAGATTTGTTGACTGAAATAGGCAGGCTTGGAGCTAGATCTATTGATATTCCCATTGAGCAGAACCATAGGCTTAATGATGTAGATGGAGACCCATTAGATGACGTGGGAAGATTTCAGCGATTGGTTGGGAAACTGATTTACTTATCTCTCACGCGGCCGGATATTGCCCACGATGTTAGTGTGATTAGTCAGTTTATCCATGCTCCACGTACACCTCACCTTGAGGCAGTTCACCATGTTCTTCGCTACCTCAAGGGTTCACTTGGTAAGGGGATATTATTTGGCCGTCATGGCCACTTACGTGTTGAAGCCTACACTGATGCTGATTGGGCAGGGTCTGTGACAGATCGACGATCTACTTCAGGATATTGCACATTTGTTGGAGGTAATCTTGTTTCATGGCGAAGCAATAAACAGTCTGTAGTAGCTAGATCTAGTGCAGAGGCTGAGTTCAAATCTATGGCACATGGAGTTTGTGAGTTGTTATGGCTACGAACGATGTTGGGTGAGTTGGGTTATCCTGTTTGCGAATCAATGGTGACAATAAGGTTGCTATTAGCATTGCCCACAATCCAGTTCAACATGACCGGACAAAGCACATTGAAGTTGATTGACACTTCATCAAGGAAAAGCTTCCTCTTGGGCTGATTTGTACTCCATAGGTCAACACACATGATCAAGTTGTTGATGTTTTGACCAAGGGTGTGAGTGAGACTTGCTTGCAAAACATGTTAGTCAAGCTGGATATGATAAATATCTTTTCACCAGCTTGAGGGGGAGGAGTGTTGTCAAGGGCTTGTTTATTATTACTTATATAATATTGGGGCTTATGTGTAAATTTTGAAACTTATTAGTATAAATAAAATGTGATGGAAGGATGAAAGTATTCTTTCATTCTTTCCCCATCTCTCTCTCTTTTTTTCTCATCCCTTTTCTTCTATTTTTATTCTTCTTCTTATACTTTATTCTTGATTTGATTATATCTTAAAGTCAACACTAAGAATAGAAAACTTCAGCACCCCAATACGAGACTCCACTCCCTCAAAGGATCTCCTATTCCGTTCCAACCATATACGCCACCAAACCCCTAAAGGCGCAGCCCTCCAAAAGACACGGGCTTGGGAGTTGGGCCCCACTGTACATCCTCTCCGAACCTCAATCAAACCTCTGAGGATAACACTCCCTGGGCAAATCAAAGATGATGAATTGTCTTCGTATTTGTCTTGCACAAACAGCACCAATTGACAACCACCTTGTTGTTAGGGGCTTATTTGTTATTGCTTATAAAATATAGGATGCTTATTTGTAATTTCTGAAACTTGTCAGTATAAATAGAATGTGGTGGAAGGATGAATGTATTCTTTTAGGGGTTTTGCTTTTAGAATTTTAGGGGTTTTGCTATTATAATTTGGGCCCTATCGTGTTGCTCTTCAGGTGCAATTTGGTATTAAGCATATTTTTGAGTTGAGTATTGTTTGTGTTTGGCAATGGCTGCATGTTATAGGTTGCTCGAGCTGGTGTTGACCTCCAGCTCCCTTACCCACATTGGTTGCAATCATAAATGATAAGCTGCCTAGTGTACAACATTTTCATTCATTTCTCTATTTTTATAAAATATTCTTCTTTCACTTTTTTGTTTCTTTTAATTATTATTATTATTATTATTATTTCTTTTTTAATTCTTTGGATGTGTGTGTGTGTAGTCATTTTATGGTTTTCCTATCATTCTTGGAGAAGTGATTATAATTTTCTCATTGGTTTTCCAAAACGTTGAGGCTGATATTCTAAGTTGGAGTAAGAGTGTTATACAATAATGCAGTGAAAAATGAAAATGTTCGGGTAAATATTTCAGAGAAAAATGCCTCGATTTCCCTATTATACCGGTCAGAAGAAGTAAGAATTAAACTAGATGTAGCTTCTCCACGGCTGAGTTTATAATGTTGTTCATGTGCATCTGGGAGACAGCGTTTTCTTCTAATATATAGGGTAGAAAGTTATTTCTAGTAGTGTTTTATAGTTTCCACGCAAATAATTAGATTTAGATGATAGCTCATCCTACATGTATGAAAAGTTGGGTAAGAAAGTAGTCACTGTTTGATTTTCTTATAAAAAAAAATTCACTCAGTTCCTTAATTGTAAATGATTTCATAGTTGAAACAAAGATTATTACTACCCGGATTCTTTCCTAGCTAGTTTGGTATTCTATAACAAAGATTTTGATTGGAGTCACCCACATTTTAAGATCCTTGCAACGGAGCGTTAGACTTCTTGTACTCCTATACACGAGGACCTGAGTCTCTTTCATTTCTTATATCGATAATAAATGATTATTTTTGTTCAAATTTTTATCATGTTGCCTTGTCTTTTGCCGGAACTCGTAAATGATATGCAGCCTGCCAGCTTGTCTCACAGACAATGATTCTGGAGTACAAGGAACACCACTTCATCTCTCTACATTTTCAATTAAGAGAACAAAAGTTCAATTTTCCATGTTGAAATGTGTGCTCAAGCATTTGTAGTCATATTTTGATTATTTTTACCAGGTATCATCTGGAAATGCAGTTTCTGGGAGCATGGCAGGTCCACATGTAGTGCCAAATAGATCTGTTCCTCGACCAATGCCAATGGTTGGTATGCAAAGGATGCAACCTGGCATGACAGCTTATAATCTCACTTCTCAGGGTGGGATTGGTGGTGGAATGAATCCTAGTAGCATTCCAATGCAGCGGGGTGTTGCAGCACAGGCTCATCAACAGCAGCAGGTTATGTCAGTTCAATCTGAACCTGTCTTGTCATGGATGTATTTGTTCCTTTTTCTGATGCATATACCATTATTCTGGAACAGTTGAGAAGGAAAGACCAAGGGATGCCTGGATACCCTCCGCAACAAAAATCCAGACGCTTTTGAGGTAACTCTTATTGAAATGCACCCATGTAAGCTTCTGAGAAAGTTGTTATTATATTTTTATTGGTTAAATATATGGGAAATTACAAATACTATTGGCATGGTTGCATGGAACACCTTTTTTCCTTCACCCAGAAGTTAATGCTAAAATTTATATTGTTATTTATCTTGAAAATGCCTAATGGACGTCATAATCATTATTTTCATTATTGTTCTTGGAAAATCTGTGATGCTGGCGTTTCATTTGCCTGTCAATTATGCATCTTGCCAATTGTCTTTTGACACTTTAGTAGCATGGACACCATACAACACATCAAATCCTAAAAAAATAGGACATGGATTTGTTTTATTTTTTGGAGGGCAATGTTGTACTTTTCCTTTTTTTTGTTAGTCAACCCTCTTTAGGGCATATTTTATTCCTTTGTTATTGTATTAATTCTGTAATCATTGATTGGGGAATATACAAAGTACTACTTCTCTTCTCTCTCTTCGAATCTGCGTTTGTTTCCATATACAACATGGATACGGCAATATAAATTATAAATTTTTATTTATAAACATCTACTGACTATAATAGAAATTTAGTTCATTTTAAATTGCTTTACTAAGAGTTACCCCGATATAATTTAGAAGATGTAATGATTATTATATCATAAATGCTACTTTTCAACTCCTTTGTCATTACTATTAAGTTCTTGTCCTATATGAAAAAAAAAATTGATTATATGCTTGATTTTTGAGATGTGTTCATATTATTACCAAGATTGCCTAACTCTAGAATCTAGATGTCTTTATGTTATATAAAACTTAAGTTAAAGATTATTTGTCAAGTGTCTGAAGAGTTGGTTAGGTATCCAAATTAATTAAATTTGTTTTTAAATTATAAACATGTCCACAAAGTGTCAGACATGTGCCTATGGAGTGTCCATGGAATGTTGGTGACCGACACGGATACGGCTCCTTCATATGTGTCTTCGTGCTTCCTAGTTGACAAGCAATATTATGGAAGATAACATGTACTTGAACACAGTACTGGTCCATTAGAAAGAATATGTGCACTGAAGCATTCCTTTTATTGGAATAGTTTAATTTTCTCCATCATTTTACTGGTTGGAAAAACTTCCGGGTATAGAAGAACTCAATGTCGTCTACCTCTTTAAACACATATGGAAAAGGGTGGAAGAGATGTACACGGGTTCATTTTAGGAAAATGCTACACCTCATGTATTATATTCATGATTTAGAGCTCGAATGATATAGCTGCTGATATGGCAATCATACATATTTGAGATTTAACGGCAAAAGAGCCAGTATGGTCAGCTTTTTTCACCAAAGTTGTCGGGTTTTCCAAGTCCATGATGCTGAAATATTCAGTTTTTCGACCAAAGTCTGGCTTCCTGACCTCATTTGCCTCGAGACGGCAGTAATGCTTCTATGTGAGGGTTCGTAAATATGTCCAGACCTTTGCTACCGACTGTGATTGATGGCAATCTCTACTTTCAAACAAAAACTTGCTATCCTTTCTAGAATTATTTGTTTTACTCTTCTGTGTTTGTTGTGCTAAATGTATATGTGCATATAAATATCTGTGTATATAGTTTCGATGGAAACTCAAGAAAAAACTAAATAACCACCAAATTCAGGATGGATGGATTAACATCAACCACAATCTTTGATTTTTAGATTGTTTCCTTTCTTCAATTATAGTGAGAGAAGAGAGGGTGGATTAGTTATACTTTGACCTGTGCTTCAATCTCACCCGACGTAGACACAAACTCTTATCTTCATGCAAGAGATGGAATCTTCTAGTGAAGTTCTTACCAAAGAAATAAATTCGATAGAAGTTTCTGTCACATCATTGCATTGTAGATGCCACGTCATAGCCACAAAGATTCGCGATGTGTATCCTGAAAATAACTCTCAAGTGTGCAGCGTTCTTCATTTTAAATATTACATTTTCAGTTATTTGTGGTACAATGAGTTATCCAAACAACATTTATAACCTTGTTAATGTTAACCATTCCCATTACACTCTCAGTACTTTCTTTGTGTTTGAGTAACTTCTGTCTAACAAGATCTTCGTTTAAAATCTCATTGTCCTGAATAGGCTAATGCAGGGAGATGGTGGATGTGGAAATTCGTGCATAAGTGGGGCTCAATCCCCGAACACTGAAATACATTCAGTACTCGCCGATTAGCAGAGTACAGGAGGAGGTTGTTTCCATGATTGCAGACGTTGGTTGCACGTCAGGAAGCCAATTCATGTTGTATGATGCATTTGAATCTGATTTCTTCTCTATCAGAGCCTGGTGTAACTTTATGTTAATGTCAAGTTTTATACCCACCATGGTGGATTAGTTATCTCTTTATCAGTGTAACAGATCGGAGTGTAGAATTGCGATATTGGTGTATAGCTATGTAAAATTAGTCTTTAGGTATTTATCGAGTTAGTTGTATTATCTAGGTAACCCATCTTCTTAATTTTTTGTTTCTTTTTATTTAAACAGTCGAGAATTGAAGTGTAATGTTTCTTTGACTAGAAATTTTGCAAAACCTTCAAGAAAGATATTTTCTGGTGCGGAAAACTACCTCTACTGTTCAATATATTTAAGACATTTTCCTGAAATTTAGTTCCATTTGTCTTTGCATCCTCATCGAATGTGACGAGTTTGAGGGATATGGGTAATGTTACATCAACCACAGTTGTGAATTTCTACTATATTAGCAACAAAACAGAGACCATAATCCGTCTAAACCTACCTAGAGTGATTATAAAAGTTCCATTTAAATTGTAGAAAAGTTACATTTATACAAGGGTTAAAATCTTAAAACCCCTACTACTTTTAAATTTTGGTTACAAAAATCTAACCTGTTTTAAAAAATCTCTACACTTTTAAAAAGTAATTACATTGCCCCAATATTTATATCCGTACCGGTGATCGGGCTATGAAATTACAAATTTAACCTTATTATTTAATGTTAAATTAAAAACTGATAATTATTTTTAGAATTTTTAAAAGTATCCTTTAATCTTCTTCTTCACACACACACTCTCTCTCTTTAAAAGTCTCACCTCTCTCTCTCTATGCCTAAAACATAATTTTTGTAATTTTAAAGGGTATTTTTGTAATTTTAAAAAATTATTTTTAATTTTTAATTTAACATTAAATAGTAAAATTAAAATTGTTATTTCATAACCCGGTTAATGGTCGGATATGGACATTGGGCAATGTGATCACTTTTTAAAAGGAATTTTCTGAAACAGATTAAAACTTTATGATCAAAATTTGAAGGTAATGGAGGTTTTAAGATTTTAACCCTTTCTATAATTGCATTTTTGAGAACCTTATTTTAATATTGAAATATGATTTTTTTTTTTCCCTATGAAAATGGTAAAAGAACTCTCAAGAAATTTTCTTAGGATGCATTAATCAGTAATTTTTTGGAAAGAGGGAAGATAATTTATCAATATTCTTTGATTTCCAAAGCGGAATATCAATGGATGTGCATTAGTTCATATGGTACAAGCTCTTCTTCTCAAATGGAGATATTGAGTGTTCTAGTCTCGGTGGAGGCATAATATATATGATGGGTGAGTGTATTTGTTTGAACTTTTAAAGAAAAATAACATAGAATTAACACTAAAATTAATATTAATCATCCTCAAATAAAGAGGCTATGAGTAGAGCAGCAGAGGAATTCAACATAGCACAAGTTGTTGAATCAAGAAATACAGAGCTTCCCACAATCATAATCAGCCCTTTTAAGTAGCAACCCAGATAGGAATGCAGCCAAGAATTTGTCTCTCAAAAAGTTTATCACCATCCCATCACTTTGCTGTATAAAACCCACCATATAAGCCGTGCTAACGAGCTCAAAGGCCCTCCATTTCCTTTCTTCAGCAAACTTTTTCAACCCCATCTCAATCCTCTTGCATTCATCTTCTTCTTCAGTAATATTTACCACGGTTTCGCGACTTGACTTCTTATACAAGGCTTCTGCCAAACACCTAGCTAAAACAACACCATCTTCCAACGCGGCGCACCCACCCTGCCCAATGTCTGGTGTCATGGGGTGGAACGCGTCGCCTGCCACGCAGACATTGCCTTTGCTTGTATTTCCCCATAATATTTCCCATGGAAGTCTGAGTCTCAATGGAGCACATATGATGGTATCCAATTCAGTGATCTCAACCACAGCCTTCACTTGGTCAGGTAGTTTTCCAAGTTTGCTCAACACAAACTCCTTCATCATTGCTGGGTTCTCTTCCATCTCTTTGTCTATATGTATCATTTACCAAATATGAGAATTATACCCTATGGTAGCAAAAAATAAATATGCACAAAGATTATGGATCCAAGCTGATAAATCAAAATTTGGGTGGTCATTACTTTGATAAAATGAGTCATTATTTATTGCTATATATAGTAAAACTTTGGCAAGTAAGAGGAAATCAATGATATATAAGAGAATAATGAGAAGTAGCTCGAAGTCAGGTGCATCTAATTGTTTTATGTGAGTGGAGGACGATGTCATTAAATATAATGAAGCCATCCCTTTCTTACTCACATAAATTTAGTTAGATGTGTTCGACTCTCAAATTCTGTATCACAACTCTATAAGAGGAAGTCATTATATACAAAACAAAATATAATAGGTCAATTTTGGGCTGATTACTTGTTACTTGCTATCCATATATAGATCATAACAAGCATTAATACCCATTTACATAGGGTATAGCATCAAGAGCATACCTTTGGGGGTTGGAATGTAGGTGAAGAACCAATAAACAGTATTATCATCACAGGGAATGAAACCAAATCGGACACCTTTCCCTGCACACTGTCTGTATCTGGGCTCAAAGCCATGGCTTCTCTTAAAATCTGCATAGCCCCTGATTGAAAATCGACCCGCGAAAGCAGGCTTCTTGAATCCCAGCCATTTTGCCACCACTGAGTTTACTCCATCGCACCCAATCAATACCTTTCAATATTCACACATCCATGGAAAATGAGATTTTATTAATTAATTTTCTTAAGGCTTCAGTAATAATATATATGTGTGTGTATAGCAAGGAAATATAGATAAAATCATGGATCCTAACTCCAAAGGAATGGTACTCAAAGTGTACATATGTGAACACATTCACTCAGTAATAATGTGTGTGCGGGGACAGTGGTATAAAGGAATAGTTCTACCTAGTGATAGGAAGGAAGTGGGGAGCACAATCAAATTTGCGGATTGTTTTGGAGGTTATTTTGGTATTTTCACACTTATAAGGTAGTTCCCAATTCTATAACAGTATAGTGAGCCAGGTTATTTATTTTGAATTTTTTTTTTGAGTAAAAAATTCATGCGACTCAAGTTGCTCTTTAAATTTTGAGTGAATCACGGAAATATTGTTTAATTATATCTTTAATTATTCGAGAAAGAGATGGAGAAAGACTTCTCTGCTTCCGTGGATGTGGCCCTGCGCCTTCAATGCTTCTTGTTCTAATGTTTGAGATTTGAAAACATGAACTCTTATTAACTTATTATTAGACAATCTCATAATTACATATCAAATGGGAATAGATTAAATAGTTATTCATCCTAATTAATAGTTTGTAAGTATGATTAATGTGTGTAATTGTATCAATATTACCTTTGTCTTGAGGATAGTTCCATCAGCAAGATGGAGAAGCTTGAAGTAGCCTGAATCCTCAATAGAAACCACCTTAGAGGAGTACTTGATGGTGCCACTTGGCAGCTCTTTTTCAAGGGCTTCCATTAACAACTTCCTCTTCACACATCTAACTTCAATGGGTGCCCCACTATAATTACATCACAACATTTTCACATCATCTAACGGTAAGAAATTCAGGAAACACAAAGACCATTGGAAAAATTAAATAAATATTCTATGATTTTGCCCATGTAAGAATTAATTACACTGCCCCTTTGGTCTCAAATGACACTTCTGAAGTGGAAAGTCCAGAAGTTATAGAGTTGGTCTTTATCCTGCAATCAGATACCCACACATCAGTTTCATGCTAACAATAATATTACTTGTTACACATCGGGCTGTAAATAAACCGAGTTATTTACGAATAGTTCGGGCTCGACTCATCAAGGACTCGTTTGTTTAGCAAATGAGTCGAGCTCGAGTCCAATTTCTAAACTTGTATATATATATTATGATTGCACCTTATACCCTCACTAAAAGACAAAAAAATATTAAACTAACTCCCTCACTAATAATTTAAGCCTTTTATATTAGAATAGTCGGGTGAACAAATGTAGAGACTTGATAAAGAAAGAAGGGGTGGTCGAACCCATTACACACACACACTAACTTAGGACCTGTTTGACCCTTAGGCGAGTTAGGCGATTGCTTAAGGCTCCAGCCAATAAGAAAGTCCCATAATTTTTTATTTTTGTATATATTATAACTTTCCTAAAACAATTATAGTATTTTCTTTAATTATTAAACTTCAATGTATAGAGAAAATTGGTGAAAATTTCTATATTTTTCTAAGACTCATATTAATTTTTATTTTTATTCCTCACATATTTTTTCTCCTCACTCACTATAATTATTTTTTTTATCCACAGTTACAATTTACAATTTCACAATCTCACTTCAGGAGAAGTAATAGAATTTATTGGAGAATTAGACCAAATTATTCTAAATCAATTTTTATTATTCTATAACTTAAATTAGTTTATAGTTTTATTAATTTTTGTTATCATAAAATTATATATTTTGTTTATAATTTTTATTTATATTGTTAAATATGATTATTAGAAAGCACCTATCCAATTCATTAACGATGGAACTACAATTTAAAAAAAATTTAGTCATAAGTTTAAAAATTACTAAATAAATAATTAGTTGACATAAATATATGAATATATTTAATTAAACCACTTTATTTTTTTCGCCTAAGGTTTGGTATTGTATTGAGCCGCCCTGCACCGACTGGCACTCACAAAGTCACAAGAAGCCGACGTCTTAAATGTGATGGAGAGAGGGAGAGAGAGAGAGAGAGAGCAGTCAAGTTTACCCACAGAGCTGTTGATGTTGCTGGCGAAGGGACTGACCGATGCCGATGGCATCCAACGCCCTCCAAGCGTTGGTCCAAGTTGTAAATGCAAATCCTGTAACTCTCAAACTATCTGATGATTCCAACACTAAGCTCCGGATTCCCAGCCTGCACAAAATTAACCAATTTTGGTTTATATAATATATATATATATATGTGTGCGTGTGTGTGTGATTTCGCATATTCATGTAGATATAAAGAATTAGTTGTATTTTGTTGGTTGGGTAGTACCTGTGGAGTCCTAAGGATGTGGCAAGGCCAGCTATTCCACCTCCAACAATCACAGTGTCTTCAGCCACTTCCATGCTTTTGGACCTTCTTTGCTGTTATATATAGTACTAGTATATATATATTCTACTGGCTTTTGATTATTGAGGCTTTTAATTGAGGAACGAATATATGTTTTGACCAAAAGAGATTGAGGACGTGGATATATAGGAAGATATATATCTTAAGGAGGATGAATGGGTGGTAGGAGAAATTGATGGAGCCTTTTATAA